AGAACAAAGGCCATTAACTCGCTCAGACTTACTCTCTCCAGCCTCGATTAAAGAGCAAACCTTCAGAAAACACGCTCTATCAGCTTGAAGAAGAAGGTTTTTTTTCGGTCCAGAAAACCACGTCGGTCTCTGTGGTGTTACCGCCACCTCTGTGTGACGTAGCATTGGCTGAACAGCGCCTCCTGTGCCCACACGTGGTAATTACAGGTTTCCAGACAACATGAACCAGCAACAAGCACCTCAGATGTGTTTCAGTAGAATAAAACTGGTTTGTGTATACGGACTTTGGCTTAAAGCTAGCCAACAAGAAAAAGGCTGCCTGCGATTTTAATTTACAGTTATGAAGCTCCCGCTGCATTTCTGTGCGGCGCACAAACGTCTCGATCGAGCGTTTCCTCTCGTGATGTTTGCCAGCTGAGCGATAGCCTCACGGGTAAAATGATTTTTGATGCTGTGACTTCTGTTTGTAACTCTGACTCGCAGCGTCTGAGTGGTGATGTCATGGTTTCTGAGAACAACGGAGATGTTAGCATAGCGCTGAGCTCCATCGTTACCACAGACAGTATAACAGACGGAAGTGATGTTGCCCGCTGATGTCTGAAGCCTCTAGATCAGCGTGTGACATTTTGAAACCAATGTCCCACGCTGTATCAGTCCCGCCCTAAGAAAAGGGGCGGGACTGATACTGCTCACTCATTGGCTAACAATTTCTGAGCAAAAGTTTAAAAAAATGAATAAATTATAACATGAACATAAATTTTTATTCGGTTTGACATGAAACAATTGATGGAGCTCAAACTCGTTAGGGAAGTATTTACCGAGGTGACAGACGTCTACAGGACAGGAAGTCTTGTTGCACCCACAGCTGTTGCCCCCTGGTGGCCTTTAAAATGAGTGCAGGTTTAAGGCATTTCTGCTTTGGCAGCAGTTTTCAGTTGCGTCCATCTGTTATACTGCCTGTGAGAGTTAGTATGAGATGTAAACCTTACATTTAGATCTGGTCTTGTTACTGAAGCACCTGCAGAAACAACTGAAGCTGTGGACTGCTGGACGTTCTCCGTTCTCGTGGCGTTTAGCTCGTGGCTAGTGCTGATGCTGAGAATGTGGCGCTGTGCCGCCGCTGAGGTTCCCTTTAAAGTCTTTTACTGTAGCTCATGTAGTCCTCATAATGCTCCGAGATTAAGCTCTCCACCTGTACAAACACATTTAGATGAACATATTCAGCACATTTAGCCTGCTGCATGATGGATCACATGACTGAAGTTCTGTCATTGGTTAGTTTGAACGTTCTGTGCTCCCGTGGTGGAGGAGTGGATGATTTAACCTGATAACCATCTGTGTGTATGATAGCTTCCAGTACTGTAAATACTCTGTGTACGTTCATATGGGACCAACTACCACAGTGTATACTGTATACATGCTCACAGCACCTCCCACACAGCATGCTGTACAAAGCTGCAGATTAAAGCTGCTGCTTCATGCTTCCATCCCCACATGTTGTATCTCCATGTAGACATAAAGTATCGCACGCTTCACTTCATCATGAAATAAAGAGCAGAGGATCCATGTGTGCACAAGTTTCATTTATTATGTGTACTTCCTGTGAGCAGGTGTTCATTAGCAGGTGACTGAAGTGTGAGAAACTGCATGATTGTGACTTACAAACATTTGTTTCTGTGCGTCTGCATTTCTCTAAGCGGGTTTTATGGAGTGACACCTGCAGACCAGAAGAGTTATCATTTGATATTTATAACATTTAATATCTGAGCGTTATGTAAACCTGAGAAAAATAAGAAAATACTGATGGCTTTTATTTGGTGGAGCTGGACATTTTATACAGACTGAAGTGGAGAGTGTGTCCTCAGTTATAAGGTACGGATTTTAAAAGATCTTCAAACAGAGTTTGGAGTAAAATAAAGTAAACATAAAGGAATAGAAAGAAACTTCCACACAAACTTTACTGTATAAACAGCTTTTATGTGTCATGTTTTATAGTTTCATTGCATGTTTAGGGTGAACAGAACACACATTACTTGATTTAGATTGTATTCTTTACTGGAAACCAATAAAAGCCTTTTTAATTGTCCTATTTTTAAGTTGCTCTCAACACCGTGTTTAGATTTTGAGCGTGGGAGGGGAATCTTAAATATGGCATTTTCTACTGGAGTTTGGCGGGAGTTACGTGACAATAGCGCAACGCAGTGGTGTAATGTCAGTATTGCAGAAGACCGGCTGTTGGCACCAGAAGGAAAGTGAAGCATGTTTTTGTTGTGGGCGGAGGGAGCCAGCTCGTATCAGTGGGCGGAGCTTGTCAGTCTGCAGACTAGTGATGTGCGATACCACTGATTCCCTTTCTGATCTGATACCAAGTAATATTGGTGGTATCGGCGATACTGATCCGATACTTTGTACAAAAACTTATTTTTTTTACTGTATCTTTTATTGTATCTCAAATTATAGCATCATAATGATTACAGGACACCAGATTACTTGTTCTTATCGCTGAATAATGCAGAGTTCATCATATAGTAATAAAAAAACAGAAGTTGTGCCTATTTGAACACCTTGCCTGCCCGCAGCACTAAAGCACTCCGCGAGAGACGTCTGGCTCACCCTAGCAGCATCTGTCCCGCTCCTCCTCTTCAGTTCGCCTCAACATACCACACAAAGATCACTACTCTCCTCAGTGACAACAATACCTATGAAGCCTTAAAACGAGACCCCACAAGCAACTACAAAAAGAAAGTTATAGCTTGCCTTCAGGACCTTGAAAGAGACAAAAATCATTGACCGCCTCACATATCATATCACTTTATCCAGGGGATGCCATACCCTGCATTTATGGACTTCCTAAGATCCACAAGGAAGGGGTCCCACTCAGACCCATTGTCAGGAGCATAAACTCAGCCACTTACAACATCTCGAAACACCTTGCTACCATCCTGCACCTCTTGTGGGGAACATCCCACACCACATCGAGAACTCCACCGACAACGTCCAGAAACTTACCCTGGATCCAGATGAAACCATGGTGTCCTTTGATGTAGTCTCCCTCTTCACTTGCATACCCACCACGGAGGGAATGGAGACCGTCAGCAAACAACTACAAGAAGACAGCTCGCATTAGCATAGCACTGTTAGCATGTTAGCTGTCCAACAGGAGTGAGACAAACATTAAATCACAAACATGACGATATTTAATACAAGAAATCATGATTAGATCTAAACAGCAGATATATATATTTAAATCAAACAGATAGCTTATTAAATGCTTCTTTTTACCTTTTAATCAAAGGTCCACACCTGAACCTGTGCTCAGGTGTTCCTCTAAAGCAGGGCTCTCAAGCTGTGGGCCACTGCTGGCACTACGGTGGCCCTGAGAGGCCAAACAGACTGCAACTTTAAAAAAACATCAGCAATAAGAAAAACACTGCAAAAGTACACAAAACACAATGGAAATAGGAAAAAACACAAGTGTTTCTGGGGAGACAATAACCCGACGGACCCATTGCAGGAACCCAAAACACGGTAGGCGTGTTATATCATGATTCATATCATACTGATGACGGATCTTTAGGCTAATAGTCAGGCTAACACTATTACCTCTCATCTTTTCTTTCCTCACAAAACAGATAGATCCCCCACTTCTTTCAATTCTTACTATATTTTGGTTCCTGTAACTGGTCCGTCGGGTTATTGTCTCCCCAGAAACACTTGTGTTTTTTCCTATTTCCGTTGTGTTTTGTGTGCTTTTGCAGCGTTTTTCCTACTGCTGGTGTTTTCTTAAGTTGGCGCCGTATGGCACTGTCGTCTCATTGGACGGCCACTTTAGTGTTCAAGTAGTACAAACAAAACAAAACAAGTAAACACCCACAAAGATTTCCTAAAATGTTTGGTTTTTTAAATTTCAAATATTGTATAAAAACACACACTTTTTTACCCCCCTCTTAACAAACTGAAGCCTTTCATTGAGTCACCAAATGAACACCTGGCAGCACTTCTGTTATCATTGTGTTCGTATTTAACAAAATAAAAGCGCAGACATAAGTGTACACATTAGTTGTGACTCTCACTGAGCTAACACACCCAATCCCTCAGCATGTTTGTGCTCTCTGCTCATGTTGCCTTCATATTCAATCATTTTTGGGTTTTTTAAATAACTTATTTTAACATTGCACTCAACAACAAACAAATCCCCCCTAACAAAAAAAAGTCAAACATCAAACTGCGTTATATTTTTTCATGTCAATGTACGGGCCACAAGTAGGGGTGATACGGGCCGCGAGTTTGAGACCCTCTAGACTCACACCAAGCTGGCCCAATCACATCTTTGAGAAAACTCCCCTTACAGGTGGGATTGGCCCTTCAGAAAAAGAGTGACAAATGAAATGGATGGAACTGTGGCAGATGATGAAGATGGGCCCACTGAGGAAGACCTGTAGAGGCTGTGTGCAGCTGAAGCTAACGGTGGACTGTTAGCCCATTAAATGAGAGGTGATGGTCCACGTCTCTACACTGGAACATCAGACCTGTATGGCTCCTCCTGCAGGTGTATCTGAGCAGTCCCTCCAGAGCCTGGCTCCGGGGCATGGGGTCCTGGGCGAGATCATTAGGTTATTTGTTTAATTGGACTTAGTCTAATCCCACATTCACATTCATATTTCCCACGGAGACTCATCAGTCTGGTCCTGGTCGTGTAAACCGCTCGTAACTCGCCCTGATATCCAGGGGTTACTTTATTCTGACAGTTAAATATTATAAAACAACACTGACGTGAAGGTTTGTTTTCTGTATGTGACAAACAACAAGCAACGGGCCACTGAATAACAAACTATATAAAAGTCATTAAATAGAGCACAGTCCCATTAACTTCACTGAATTATCATGTTTCAATCCACCTGAATGTAATAATTATCTGAATGGGAAAATCGGGAGGAAATCCTCAGATCACTGTGAAAATGCTCCATCATCTCCACACAATAAATCCAGACGAGCGTGTGTGTAGTGCTGAAATCATGCTTTATTAAATCAGTAATGCACAAATCTCAAGGAGGAGGAAACAATTCTACATCAACAGATCAATGAACTCAAAGTGCAGGGCGAGACTTAACTGCTTTCTCTTCACGGGACATGAAGTCCCTGTGGCGAACGAAGGAAACCCTGACTACTGACACGGTGAAACGACTAAAAGCTACAAACACTCAAACACACAAAGCATGTTGCTAACTGTCCTCCGAGAGACGGCGCTGCTTCTGCACAGAAGAGCCGGCTCTGACTTTCTCTTCACTTATTTGGCCAGGAGATGTTCTGTTTTCCAAAGCCAGGCCGGCCGTCCTGTGCCAGAAGCAGCGCTCTTCATTAAAATGATCTTAACGCTCCGAGTGCAGGCCGCTCACACTCGGAGCCGGTCATCAAATTGTGGTGGTACGACACAGTCGGTCTGAGCGCAAGGCCGTTTTGCGCTGCTTACACGAGGGTAATGAAAACAGCACTCGGGGTCTTACGCTCATGGTACAATTCATATGAAACTGTAATATCCCACGCTCAGGAGCGCGTCCAAAAAACAATAAAATAAAATAAAAAACGTTGTCCTTCTGTTTCTGATTTATAACGTCAGCAGGGAACCTCTCTACCTGCCGAGGCAATCTTAAAGACTTCAACTTACCGTTGAGGCACAGATTTTAGTTTCTTGGTTTCACAGGGTATTCGTTCCAGCGGAAACTTTCTCCTGTTCAAACATTTGTTCTTTTGTTTCAGTTAATATTATATTGTCATAAATAACAATGCATACATTTCCCATAACCGTTAAATTCGGCTATATACATTATGTACATGTCACAGAAACGTCTGTCAAAAATCCTAAGTCATAACTGTCCAATATGGCACATTTTATAACAACTTTAGACTTTAGTCTAGTTTGGCATAAATTAATGTCAAAAATAGTTCATATTTACAAGAACAGAAATCCAGATCTTTATCAAGTAGGATTATTGGTGCTGCGTCACTAAATAAAGAGGTTCTGGATGAGGGAAACGGGGGACGTGAATTGACTTTGTCTTCCTTTTTACATGGACCGAATGCGAATGTTGACGGTTGCAGAGTCGGAGCCGAGCTCGTTGGACAGTCTGAGGGTGTACGCTCCGGCATCAGCCTCCTTCACTGCAGAGATCACGAGGGTGGAGAGGTCAGTGGTATTCTCCACGTGGTATCGCTCATCCCCATTGGGGAGCGTCCGACCTGAGCGGACCCACTGGACAGAGGGTGTGGGGTCTCCAGAGAACATCCCCACTACGGTTAGAGACTTCCCCGGCTCTGCGCACACATCCTCTGGAAGAGCTTCGACCTTTGGTGGAGTGCCTGTTAGAGAAGAGAACGTTGGATGAAGACTCTGTTACGGTCAAAGGCTGTGTGAGAACAGCAGGCTGCTGGTGACGACCATGTGTTTGTCTTCCCTCGTATGTTGTTGCAAACATATCAGTGCAGATATTTGAATCATAAGCTGATGATAACAGTGAGAGGAGGAAAGGAGAAATGCCACAATGCTTTCACCATTACAGTTGCTGTCACACAGAAACTCATTCGGGTCCTGCTGTCTGAGTTTACATGCACATTTTGAAAGTCGTCTCACCTCTTTTAATCCCCGTGGTGAGGGCCTTCAGTGAGGACGAGGACTCGGCATGCGTATGAGCAGACATTTCCATCATCGTGCTCCTGGAGCTCATGGAAACCACCGACTCGGCCATCGTGGCTGACATGCTAGTCGCAGACATGCTCTCAAATGAAAACCCGGCAGCAGCAGAGCGGGAGCTGCTGCTGACACTGCTGGCCTGCATGGAAGCTGCTTCCATGTGAACTGAGGAGGCCATGAATCTTTTCTGCATGCTCACTGCAGTGTCAGTAGAAGCTCTTTGTTCTGCGATTATAATTTTTGTCGGTTCTTCAACAAGAGCTGTAAGGATGCAGATGACAAGCACATGGCTCATATCACAATGTGCACAGTTACTGCAAACCATTTGCGTACACTGAGTGTAAGCTGAGGATGCTCAAGTGCCTTGGATTTCCACTAAATAGTGACTTTGGTGCAGTCCAAGACTCATTAGCATACAAGCTAATTAAACACACTGTGACACGGTGTCTGAAACGCAGCGGCGGTAACTTACTGAGGACGTTGAGGGACGCAGTTGCAGAGCACTGTCCAAACTGATTTTTGGCCTTTACTGTGTATTTCCCACTGTCTGCAACTGTGGCTTCACGTATCTCCAGAGTATACACATTCTTAGAGCGGCTCAGTTTCAAGTTTGATGTGACAGATATCTGCAAACAGTTAAGTAATTTAGAATTGGCTTAAAGACTAATTCAACTGGCTGATTTCCATAAATCTTCTGAAGAAAACACTCACAATCATGTTGTCTTTCAACCACTCCACTTCAGGAGAAGGCTCTCCTGCAATTTCACACATGAATTTCACATTTTGTCCTTCATTAACATTCTGGGACCTGGGCTGCACCAGAAAATGAGGCGCGTCTGATCGCTTGGTGGTGACCGTGGTGTTAAACTGACACCGGACCAGTCCTCGCTGTGTTTGCGCCTCACACGTGAGGATCCCCTGCTCATGCTCAGTCACCGTCCTGATGGTTAGGGTGTGGTCACTTCCAGATACTCCATATCTGTACTGCTCCGAGTTGGTCAGTTCAACCCCGTTTAGGATCCATCTGACGTCAGAGGCACCAGGGACGCTCGCCCTCAGTGTTAGAGACTGGCCCTCTGTGATCGACATCTGGCTGTGGGAGGTCTTCACCTCCTTTACAGAAGACGAGATTTCTTCATGGATCATTTCTCTTTTTACAACTTCCTCAGAGATTTCAGCTTTTGTTTTGGAGCTCTTTGAGCCTAGAAAAGACATAAGAAAGACATTATGTCAGGAAAGAGTTTAAACTAGGCGTGTCAAACTCATTTTACAGCCATCTCCACACGATAACGAAAAAGCTGCTGTGATAAAGAAAGAAATCTGTCAGCACGACTCTTTGGAGTTAAATGGGAGAACACGCATGAGGTTTAAGGCCTGGACCTTTTGTCCAACACAATGGAAAATGGCTGAGAATAAAAATGGGTATCACTTTACCCAGCTCCTAATTTTTAAAAATTCTGCAGTCGCCAATTTCACTGAAATGCAGACGTAATTTTGACACCTCTGGTTTAAACATTTGTAGGTGTACAAATCAGGTGTAGACTTACCTTGTACACTGACAGTACACATAGTTGAAACTGCTCCAGCGCTGTTTGTAGCAGTGCACTTGTACACCCCACTATCAGAGGCCTCCAATTCATAGATCTCGAGATGAGCTGAGCCAGAATCCTCAAATAATTCATACTTTCCACCTTGAGACAAAACCTGCCCATACAGAAAATATGACTGGATTTCTAAATAAGGTAAATATGATGCATTTCCCTCAAATATTATTAAAAACAAATTCTGGAATAGTTCAAGTGTTTGATTAGGTTACCTTTCCATCCTTCATCCACGAGATTGTAGGTGTGGGCTCTCCTGTCAACTTTACTGACAGCTTCACAGCAGAATCAGAGTACGCTGTGATGTCACTCAGCTCAACAGAGAAGGACGGCTTCTTTCCAAGAGGCGGTGACATCACTCTCTTTGGCTTGATTGGAGAAATCGCTCGTTCCTTCTGAGATGTGACTGGGGATTTGGGAGTAGGAGATTTTGGGGTTGGAGATTTGGGTGTTGGAGATTTTGGTGTTGGGGATTTTGGTGAGACTGGAGACTTCACTCTCTGCGGTGACTTGACTGGCTCAGGGGATTTCACCCTCTGGGGAGATTTGACCGGTTCAGGGGACTTTGCAAGAGGGGATTTAGCTTCTGGAGAAGTTATTCTGGGAGGGGCAACCACTTTCTCCTTTGACTCAGACTTCCGGATGGTCAGGGTGAAATGGGCTTCTTGTTTGCCTCCAGCGTTTTCGACTAAGAGAGTGTAGCTGCCTTCATCTGACATCTCAACAGAGGAGATCTCAAAGGAGGAGTTGTACTGAGTAGACACAATGTGGTGTCGGGCAGAGGGAGCAACAACTGCTCCTTCACGCAGCCAGCTTATAGAAGGTGCTGGTTCGCCATCCACATCACATTCAAATCTGGCAGTGTGTCCCTCCTCTAAAGTGAGGGACTGTGGCTTAGTCAGAATTTTGGCAGGGACACTGGGCTTCTCCTTTGGCTTCTCAACAACAGTAGTGGTCTCCTTCACAGTCTCAGTTACAGCTTCCGTTACTGATGTTTTAGAGGATGAGACGTGATATACCTCTGTTTTGGTCATCTCTGGCAGATGGGCAGATGGAGGCTCCTCATCTTTGCGAAGTGAAGAGAAGGCAGCGTATTCATCTGCTACATCTAGTGTGGCATAGTCAGAAGTCTCTCCTTTGGCATTCTTGCAAACCACACGGTAGGTGCCAGAATCTTCAGTCATACAGTTGATGATCTGGAGAGTCAGGACTCCACTGATGTTGGTCATGGTATATTTGCTGCTCCCATGGATTTGTTTTCCATTGTGGAACCACTTGACCTCAGGTTCAGGTTTGGCCTGGATATTCAGGGTAAATCTTGTGTTGGACCAATAAGGTACACGATGAGATCGCATCCTGACAGTAATCCGTGGGGGATGGTCAAGGCTGAAGGGTGCTTGTGTCACCACCTCAACCTTTCTCTCTACAGATCTTCTCTCTGATCTCAGAGCCTGCTTTCTCTCCTCATACCTGGACATGAAGTCAACCTTAGGGAGTGTCACATCTGTCTTGACAGCCTTTTCTGGGGTAGGGGATCTTTTCCTCACGGGCTCTGGGAGCTTTTTGATTGGTTTAGGGATATATTCTGAGGTAAAAGCTGTCAGGTGCTCAGATTCTGTGACTTCAGAGATTCTTGAAACAGCAACAGTGCTTTCCTTTTGTGAGATTCGTGTCTTCTCCTCAAACTCCATTCGTTTGAGTTCACTCTTGTAAGAGGTGATTCTCTGAGCAGTCGTGTGTGGCCGCAGCAGCTCCTGGTCCTCTCGTTCTTCATACACCCTCTGCTTTTGTCTTGGAGGTTTATAAGTTGTTTTGTCATGACGCTGGCGGAGATCAACAAAACTTGGGCCAGCCTCATATTTGGATGGAATTCTGTAGGAATCATATCTGTGAACTTCTTCTTCCTCTTCATTGTCACCGTAGGTCCTTCTAGGAGATGAGGGACGCAGGGCAGACAACTCAAAGCGAACTGGACTAAGGCTAGGTGGAGAAGCGGAGTAGCCAAGCTCCAGTTCTTCCTCCAGACGAAGCCTCTCCTCCTCAGTTCTCTTCATGGACAGATACTCATTCACAGGAAGCAGCAGCTCCTCATCTGACAGGTCACCTAGAGACCTCCTCCTGATTCTGTGGTAGGTCTCCATCTCAGGAGAAGGAGTGCGATGCCTTGCTGGCCTCACAGTCTCCAAGTCATCCTGAGTCATAGATGAAATGCGCCACTTTGGCTTATATTGGTCCTTAATCCTGATTGGTACCTCATAGAACTGCTCCCACCGAGACAGACGGATACGCTTCATCCTTTTCTGTGGGATTTTCTCCATTGGCTCAGGGAATTCATACTGATCCCGCAATTTCTTATACCATTTCATGTCAGAAAGAGGTTTGAAGTGTTTTATTTCTACATCTTCTTCAAGAACAGCTGGGTTAACGATACGAGGTGTGGGGACAACATAGGGCATACGCAGTCTCTTCTCATCTGCTCTCTTCTTCCTCTCCTCTTGCTCTTTCTGTATCTCAGCTTCAGTCTTCTCACCCTTCTTAGTTGTAACAGCAGGTTTAAACATGGTGGCGGCTTCCCTGACAGCTTCTACTGCTGCAGGTGGTAGGGGGGTGACAACAGTGCCAGCCAAAATCTGAGAGAGCCTAACTTTTTTGTCTAATTCTTCCTTTCTGGCAATCTTTTGCTTCTCCTTTTCACTGGGCTCATATTCCTTCTTTACATGAGCGGTGCGCTCCACTTTCAGTGTGGCCTGGCAACTGGCGGATCCAGCAGAGTTGGTAGCAGTAACTCTGTACACACCAGAATCCTCAGGAAGAGTGTCCTTCACATGAAGAATGTAGTAATCCAGGCCCTCATGGACAACCTCGATGGATGGTCCAAAGGCTAAAGGCGTGCCATCCTTCTCCCATTTCAGTGATGGACGACCAGATACTCTGATCTCAAAACGTATGTCCTGGCCCTCCTTACAATCGATATTTGCAAGCACACGTTTAAACATGGGCCTCAGGGTGAGATCTGCTGGTTTAGGTCGAGGAACAACAGTGAGACGAGCCTTGCAACTGTCATCCCCATACCTGTTACGGGCCACAACGCTGTACTCTGCATCATCTTCGGTCTCCACATTGTGGATAATCAGCTGGTACAAGCCCTTGTCACTGATGAAAGTGTATTTCCTTTCATCATGTTCAGGGATAAGCTTTTGTCCAGATTTGTGCCAGATGACACGAGGCTCAGGGTGTACAGTAATGGTAACACCAAAGCGCACATCCTCACCCATATAAGCTGTATGGTTGACCAGAGGAAGTGTAAACTCTGGTGGCTTCTGAAGCATTCTGGCAGTATCTACTCTGCGCTTTGTTCTCTTAACCACACGGGCAGTGAAGAAATCGCGGTAAGACCTAACACTGCTGATAAACAGCTCAGCGTAGGCACTGTCCTCACCATACTCATTTACAACCTTGCATCTGTACGTGCCATCATCTGCTCTTGTGACCTTATTGATGGTGATTACTGCCAGACCATCTTCATATTCAATTTCATACTTGTCACTAGCTTCAAGTTGCTTGACACCACAGTACCATGTTACTTCAGTAGTGCTATCATAGTTGTCAATGTTGCAAATGAACTTCACGTTGTCACCCTCATTCACCACTGCGTGGCCAATCTGCCCTGCAAGAGGACCATGTTCAAATGGTGCAATTTTCACCTTAGCAACAAAGACGCCACGCTGAGACCTAATGGAACCCCCGCTAGCCACACGGGCACCAGAGACAACAGTGTTCCACTCTTTCCTCACCATTGTCTGGCAGTATCTCTTGTGCCTGCCAGTTGGGATTGCTCTGGCACTGATCTCCTCTGCAGGTTTGGTGAGCCAAGGATGTGCCAGTGCCTCAGCTGCAGTCATCCGATGCTTACGCTCCTTTGTCATTAAGCGGTCTGTGAAGTCTAGTGCTTCGACACTGACTTGCTTGAAGGATTCATCATCATAGCTGTAGGCTGCACTGGAAATGTTGTCGATCGTCTGTTGGTTGGTTTCAGCTGTGAACGGATTAAGGCCACTGAGAAGCACATAGGCGAGAACACCAACCGACCACATGTCAGTGACTGTGCTAACCATGTCACACTGGTGGATCTCAGGGGCAGCATACTCTGCTGTGGTATATTGAATCTTGATTTGGTCTCCAGGAGTCAGGTGTCTGGACTGTCCCAGCTCAATAATCTTCACATTCGAGCTGGTTCTAGTAGTGTATATAATATTCTCAGGTCTGATATCAAAGTGTCCATAACTCTGAGTGTGAAGGAACTCAAGAGCTGAGCAGACTTGCCTGATGTAGTTAACAATTTCACGCTCATTAAGTTCAAACTCTGCTATACTGAGGCGCTCAAATATGTCAACACCTGAGATGAAATCATAGATCATCACCAGCTCCTCCGGGCTGTCGAAGGACTCGTGGAGGAGAAGGTAATTGGCATGTCTGGCCAAATTCAGTGTTGCAATTTCTTTCTTTACTAATGTCTGATCAGCACCTCTCACTTTGACAAATTTAGCCATGTAAGTCTTTTCAGAGCTAATTTCAACACAGCGGTGGACAATGCCGAACTGCCCTCTGCCCAATTCCTCTGCAATGGCAAATTTGTTGTGCAGATTCTTGGCATCAGAGTGTGGAGCCTTGCTCCTGGGGACATATCCTGTATCATCAACCTCCCTGTCATAGAGCAGAACTCGGGATTTGTCCTCTTTTGTCATGACAGGTCCACTTGACTCAGATGGGGCACTCTGTCCAAACTTGTTTTCAGCAATAATTCTGAACTGATAGCTCGTTCCGCCAAACAGATTGGTAACTGTGTAATGGGTGTCACGGGACTGGGCAACACGCTGCCACCTCTCAGCTGTGGTGGGGCACTTCTCAATGATATAGCTGATGACCTTACTGCCACCATCATTTGCTGGTGCCACCCAGTTCAGTGTCACAGAGTCTCTCGCGACATCACTGGCTTTGACACCACGTGGAGGATCAGGCACATCAGCTACATCCAGCTCAACTGTTTGCTGGTCAATGCCAAATCTGTTCTTGGCACAGACGATGTAAAAACCAGCGTCCTTCTTCTCCACTCCATTGGGAAACACCAAAGAAGTGAATGATCTGGTGACAATGACCTGGTAGTGTCCATTGCTGTCAATTAGATCTTGTCCTTTTTGCCATGTGATGACAGGATCTGGTTTTCCACTGAAAGGAATCTTGATATTAACCACCTCTCCACGCAGGGCAGGGATGGCTTCCTTGTCCTTCAGATTCTTTGGCAGGTTGATCTTGGCAGGAACTAGAAATCAGGAAAAAGTTGTTTGAGATTTCATGATATATATGAATCTAAATAGCTCTTATAATTACATTGTTTTTTGTTTTTTACATTTCATAGTTATTTTTTTGTGTAAGACAGCATTTCGGAGCTTACTTTCAACATCCAGAGAGACAGTGGCACAGATGGAGCCTCCCTGGTTGGTGGCCCTAATCTGGTAAACAGTGGAGTCTTCCTCGTCAGCCTCTGTGATGACCAGCTGGTGGTAACCTCCCTTAAACTCCTGGATCTTGATCTTCTTTCCATCAGAATGGACCTCTTTTCCTCGTCTGAACCATTTAATTACAGGCTTGGGCTGTCCTGTAATCTTACACACAAGGGTAGCATTGCTCTTGTACTTGACACTCATGTTCCTCAGCTCCTCCTTAAAGGCAGGAGCACGGATCTCGACAGCTGCGGCTGGAATGATGGGAGTGGTCTCCTCGCTATAGTCACTTTGCCCTCCAAGATTCTCGCATTTGACACGGAAGATGTGCTCAACACCCTCGGTCAGGCGCTTCACAGAAAAGACTGTTTGTTTGATTTCATCTGTGGTCACTGGAGTCCATTCAGTCCATTCCCGCCTGTCCTTTTTGTTCTTCTTCTCCAGGTAGTAGCTCTTGATCTTGGATCCACCATCACTGAGAGGGGGTTTCCAGGAAACCACGCAGGAATCCTTAGTAATTCCAGAAACAACTGGTGATAGAGGTGGCGATGGTCTCTCTGTGAAAGGAGTATATATTTATGAAACCACTGTCAGTATTTCGCATCTCTGTATATGTGACCCATTGTGAAATATTGCCTTTTATTAAACATACCCAGCTGACTCTTGATGAGGATCGGGCAAGTGAGCTCCAGTGGCTCGCTGTTGCCATAGCGATTCTGGGCATAGACCCGGAAGAAGTATCCAGCACTCTCGATGAGGTTGGGCACACGGCAGGATGTGCCATTGATGGATGACGACACCAGTTCCCACTCTGAGCCCTCCCTGTCCTCACGCTTCTCCACAATATAGTTCGTAATCATGCAGCCACCGTCATCTTTGGGAGGCTTCCAGCTGATGATCACTGAGTTCTTCAGCAGGGCATCCAGAACAATGGGACCCTGAGGTATATCAGGTTTGTCTAGGAATAGAGGTATGATATATTTACAAATTGGATAATTTCACGCTTACAAATGTATGCATTGCTGCACTTTCCTTCCCACTGTCGCCAAAGTGCTTGCTTGTAGGGGGTCATACAATTGTTGGGTTTTTCTATGTATGTATTATTGTAGGGTCTACCCTACAATATAAAGCACCTTGAGGCGACTGTTGTTGTGATTTGGTGCTGTGGGAATAAAACTGAATTGAATTTCTGGAGGTAATTAACATAGAACATACCGTAGATTTCAACACTGAATGCGGTGTCAGCTCGGCCAAAGTGGTTGTGCAGTCTTATTCTGTATTTGCCTCCATGGACTCTGCGCTGCACGTTCTTGATGACCAGATGTGTGTAGTGCTCAGTGGTCTCAATGCTTATATCTTCTGTGTTTTCCAGAGTCTTTGCCCCATGCAGCCACATGATCTTTGGCTCAGGACGGCCAATGTAAACAGCATGGATACGCAGAGTAGTTCCGAGGCCAGCAAAATGGATTTCCTTCAGTGGGTAGTCAGGGTGGAATGATGGCGCCGCCTCCAAAACCAACATGCCTGTGGTCTCTGCTTCTCCAGCGTCATTGATGGCCTTGCAGGTGTATTCGCCTTCATCTTCCTGCTGGTCAGTCATAATTGACAGGGAGTGGTTGCGGCCGTCAGAGCTCATCTCGTACTTGCGAGACTCGATAATTTCCTTGCCTGCATGATACCACTTTATTTCAGGAACGGGTCTTCCAATAATCTGGCACTTCATAACTGCAGGCTGGCCAAGTTTGGCAGTTACTTCATCCATTTCTTTTCTCAGGCTTGGTTTAGTTTCAGCTGGAAAAACAAACCAAAGAAGCATATTTATAAAAAAATAAACAGCATACTCTATATATGGTAAGTCTGTCTAAATATGTCTTTTTCATACTGGTTATTTTTTTTGTAATAGTATTGTATTGAATTATAACATTATAACTTATAACCATACCCATGGATATGGTCTGTACCAGTGTGCATACATTGTATATAGTGGTATATCACTAGTTGCCAAATAGGAATGTTTCTAGGTATTATCCCTGTAAATAAATATAAATGTAATAATAAATATATTCTTAGGTACTCACAAGTCAGCTTGGTTTTGATACATGTGGCAGTCCTACGAGGCCTGCTCATTCCCGTCTCATTCTCAGCAAACACCCTGAATTCATATTCTGTGGCCTCAGCTAGTCCACGTGCCGTGAACTCCTTTTCCTTAAGTCTCTCCTTGTTACACTTTTTCCAGGTGCTCTCTGTGGACTTCCTGTATTCCACCCAATAGCCCAGGACCTCCTTTCCACCATCACACTCTGGAGCTTGCCAGCGGATTGTTATGTTGTTGTTACTCACGTTCACTGTGTCAATTTCACCTGGTTGACTGGGCTTGTCTGAAAGGAGAGAAAAGGGTGAGCCTATTTAATGTTTTTTTCTCTTTTTAAAACACAGCGAGAGAGCCCACCTACCTACTTCAATATACTGACAAGATCAAGTAATCGATTGTACAACTGCAACTCATTACACTGATTACATAAGTTTACATAAGATTGTAATGTAATGTAATTTAAACACATCTGTTTAAAATCCCTCAGCGACCTAGTGCATTTCACTTCTAACATTGGTTGCCAAAGACCAATCACGGGTTAGTGGTAGGGTTTATGCTAGCTCAAGGCCCCCTCATGTTTCTAAAATGTGTGCTTATCGGGAATACCTAAATGCAAAAGCTTTCACAAAAAAATGTAATGCCAAAATGTGTGAAATTCCAGACGAAAGTTACCCACTTCTAGTTTCTGAAAATTTGCATGTGGCAGAAACAAACCCCAAACCTAACAAAAACTTTTAAGGACATGAGACTCACCGAATGGATCTTTGCATGTGACTGGGTCCGACACAGGACCTGCCTCACTCTCGCCTATGTCATTGACAGCAACAATGCGGAACTGGTAGTCCGTATCTGGGGTGAGTCCAGGTAGAGTAAACATGGTGGAGGTTATCTTGGCCTGGTGACGGGACCATGTTTCAGCAGACACCACCTTGTACTCAACAAAGTAACCAGTGATAGCAGATCCTCCATCATCCTTTGGTCTGGACCATGCAAGTGCCACTGAGCTCTTGGTGACATCCATAATCTCTGGTGGGGTAGTTGAAGGCTCAGGGGAACCTGATTTGAAAGATGGGGAATTTTTTAATTGTTTCTGAATACAAGCCTGAAGGGTTTGAAAAAAACAAAAAACAAAACAAGGAATACTTACAGAGAGGAGTCATGGGTACCAGTGGCTGTTCAGACTTCAGGGATGCACTGATACCAAATGAGTTTTCAGCTGTGACCTTGAAGTGATACTCTGTTCCCTCCTTCAGGCCCTTAACAAGCAACTGAGTTTCAGTCACTCTACAGTCTACAGTATACCAGGCATTTCTGGTTGCCTCACGTCGTTCCACAATATAACCAAGGATTTCTGAGCCACCGTCATCAATAGGTGCCTTCCAGGACAGCCTGACAGAGTTGGCCTGAATCTCCTCAAAGACTATTGGTCCCTCTGGAGCACTTGGTCTGCCAATGACCTTCACCTTGATTTGGACTTTCTTCTTGCCAACCTTATTCTCCAGCAGGAGATCATAGACACCAGAGTCACTCCTCTCAGCTCCCTTGATTACAAGCTCACTGGCATCTTCAGTGGAGGCAATCATAGCCCTGGCAGACACTAAACCGCCATCCTTTGACCACTTGCAGGTTGGCTGAGGTTTACCTTTAATGGGTACAGATAATCTAAGCACTCCTCCGTAGCGGACCACGTACAGATCTTTGTATTTCAGCTCCAGGTCATATTCAGGAGATTCTGGAAAATATTGATACCAAAAGTTAGGTCCATTCTGTACTAGTTTTAGTTGTACACACATCATCTTGGAGAAAGTCTGTTTGTTCTTACCAAGCATCTCAGTCACAGTAACTGTTCCAGGCACTTCAGCGGGCTCTCCAGAGCCACCAGCATTGCAGGCCATCACACGGAATTTGAACTGCTCTCCTTGTGGCATGTTGGTCAGAGTGTACTCACAAATTAGAGATGGTGTGGTGTTGCATTTGATCCAGGCCATAGTGCCCACCTTCTGCATCTCAATCAGGTAACCATCTACCCTAGCGTCTCCCTCATCATCAGGAGGACTCCAAGCCAGTGACACAGAGGACTTTGTGGTATCAGTGATCCTTGGATTCTGAGGACAGCCAGGTGGATCTGGTTGGGGAACAGAACAATATCAGTATGTAGTCTGTTGCTCTTTTGTGACTTTCAATGTCAAGAGTCATGTCACACACATATGTCTAAAATTCTAGATTTATATCAAAATGTTGTCTTACCAATGGGATCTGTTGCCACTGCTGGTTTGGATGGCAGACTTGGCTTGCTAAGTCCTCTGGCATTGATGGCAGTGATTCTGTGTTCGTACTCAAGACCCTCGATCAGCTCAGTAGACCGGTATCTAGTCATGGTTACGGGGTTCTTGTTGGCACGCACCCATCTATCAGCCCTGACTTCTTTCCGTTCAATGATGTAACCAGAAACTTCAAGGCCACCATCCTCATCTGGCGGCTCCCAAGCCACAGTCATACCATCACGAGAAACATCGAAAACAACTGGACGTCCAGGTGGTCCAGGAACATCTGACGAGGGAAGGGAAAACATGTTACCACTGTTACCATCATATGTATCAACCAAATATAATATTTAAGGGAATGATAGCGGTCTTACTCTTCATGCTTCTGCAGGTGACAATCTCAGACTGCAGGAATTCTCCAGTGCCGTAATGATTCACAGCAGCTGCACGGAAGACATACTCATCTCCCTCGATCAGGTTATCAAATTTAAACATTGGTCGGCTGACAGAGTCAGAGACAGGCACCCAACCAGGTCTGTGGGCATCACGCTGCTCCACCACATAGCCACTGATGGGAGCTCCACCATCTCTGATTGGAGGATCCCAACTGCAAGTGACGGTGGTGGCATCAATCTCGTCAAACCTGATGGGTCCCTTTGGCTCATCAGGTTTAGCTAGTAAATAAAGTTTCATAAAATTAAACGTTACACTCACCTGAATGTACGTAAAGCTAAATGTTAATATTACCTATACCACTGCCAATACAGAAATAGCTAGACTTGACTTGGTAGCAAAAATATAAGCAATACTAAATCAGGGTTGGTTTCTTACAGAGAATGACGACTTTGATGAACTCAGTGATGACACCAACAGCATTCTTCACCTCCAGGGTGTAGTCACCAGTGTCATCGATGGTGGTGTCAGACATCGTCAGTTTGGTGAACTTGCCAGTACTCTTGATCTTGACACGGTCTGTGATTTTTATCTTGTTGTCACCAAAGTACCAGGAGCAAACAGGAGGAGGTCTGCCGATGATAGGCAGGTCCAGATCCAGGGTCTTGCCAGCCAGCACATTGACAACCTTCTGAGGAATGCCAGAGAAGTCCACTACTGGCATTACTGGAAGGGAGAGATTAAAATATAGTTAGGAAAAAGTGTAAAGTGAACAACAACTTTGTAAGTTTTTTTCAATTTTTCTTTGCCTTAAGCTGTAAAAACATTTTAACTGCAAGTAGTACAAGTTGGCTTTGTTTGTTACCTCTCTGTTCCTGTACAGTGACAGCTGCAACAAGTTCTTTGGGTTCACTGGCTCCTCGGCTGTTGATGGCTCTGATTCTGAACAAGTACTGCTCCTTCTCATTCAGCTTCTCAATGGTGTGCTCAAAGTCTGTGAGCTTCAATGTAGCCACCTTCATCCATTTGTCGGTACCAAACTTGCAGGCTTCAATGACATAACCTATCAGTCTGCTGCCACCATCATGTTCCGGTTTCTCCCAGCCCAGGGTGACAGTGCTCTTGGTGACATCGATCACTTCCAATTTTTGTGGTGGCAGAGGCACCTCGCAAACCAGGATGACATCTGGTGTCTCACAGGGCTCTCCAATACCATAGATGTTCTCAGGGAGAACACGGAAATAATACAGCATGCCCTCCATCAGGCCATCGATCTTGTAAGATGTTTTACTGCACTTGGCTGTGACTGTTTTGTAGGCTCTCATGGACGCTTCACGCCTCTCAATGATGTAATTGTTGACAGGAGCACCGCCATCCACAGTTGGAGCATCCCAAGAGATGGTTGCAGACTCCTTGGTCAGTTCCTTCATTTTGATTGGCCCAGTTGGTCCAGGAGTATCTAAAGAAAAGCACATACTTTACTCAAAAGGCCAGTTCATAAAAGTTTCTGTAACACATTAAAAAAAAATCCATTCAACCTACCATAAACCTTGACCAAAATGCTGACTTCCTGTTTCCCGGCAGAGTTCTCCGCCACCAGAGTGTACCTGCCAGCATCGTAGCGGTTGACTTTGTCAATAATGAGAGTGGTGGAAGTGTTGGTGACCTCAATGAAGCCTCTGTTGTGGAGGTCAACACCAGGCTTGCTCCACGTTATTGTAGGAGCAGGACGACCAGTGACACGAACAAATAAGCGAAGGGAGCCACTGGCCCGCAAGCAGATAGTTTTCTTAAGGTCATCGTGGAGCTCGAAGTCAGGAGTTTCTGTGTGAGGTGACAATGATAGGTTTGTAATCTTGGTGATAAAGTAATGTCAAAGTTACCATATCTGGAAAGACTTGCAAATAAACTGTAGTGGAAGAAGAAATGGCACAACAAAATCAAATGCAAATGCATTTAAGTTTATGCTTTTCTAAAGTTTTACTTACCAATTCTCTCCACTGGCTCGGTCTCAGCACATGGGTCACTGAAGTCTCCTGTACCATTAATGTTAATGCCGGCCACTCTGAAGCAGTACTTCTTGCCTGCTGAAAGTCCGGTTACTACATACTCTGTGGTACGCAGGGTCTTTTCATGGGCCTTCTTCCATTCTTCTGCTCCCACTTCCTTCATCTCTAGAATATAGCCAATCACATCAGCTCCTCCATCCTCTACGGGTCGGGACCAGGCCAGGCTGATGCTGTCAGCGTGTGTGTCAGTGATACGAGGAATAGAAGGAGGAACAGGGGTACCTGAAGGAACAGCATAAAAAGATATAGTAGAGATATCATGATGCATTCACTGATAATTCAATATAAATGGATAAAAATGTGGAAGTTTTTGTTACTGAACAAACTCGACTTACATGTTGGCACTCTGCAGACAACATATAGAGAAACCTCGCTGGGCTCACTTTCTCCTGCCTTGTTGATGGCCGTCACTCTGAACTGGTAGATGTTGCCTTCAGTCAAACCGGACACTTTCAGCGTGGTGTCTAAGTGAGCACCATCTCTGTTCACCTTCACCCAGCGAGCACTCTTTCTCTCACGTCTCTCGACTAAGTAATGGATCAATGGGCTACCTCCATCGCTCTCTGGTTTCAGCCACTCAATGGTGGCAAAGTCCTTTCCTGATGCCAGGATCTCTGGAGCACCAGGAGGAGATGGCACAGCTGCAGGAGAGATGACAGGTGATGCAGAGTTAATTTACAAAGAATCTAGAGTAACTATTGTTGCAAATCAAAATACATCAAAAACCTTTTGATTATATGGAGGCACAAACCTGACAGCTTCTGTATCTCCATTTACTTTTGTTTAGCGTAAGAAAAAAGAAATACTTCTGGGACAGGAAAATGAAACAGACTTCCCTCTTTCAGTGGTGGGATGCATTAATACCATAAAAATGATTGCACTATCTAGTATCTCAACATTTTTCAGTTATCAGTTCAGCATTCCTCAGTGCTTTCCAACAACTACAGTGGACATTTAAGCCTGCACCCTGTTACAACATAGGCATAGTTGTTTAGGACTCCACTGCACAGCAAAAACATCACACAGCTCCTTAAACTGTCGGGACATTTACTGTCCTTCTTTAAGAAGCTGGGTTTTTAACTTCACACCATCCAGCAAAACTTGAATCGTGCATTTTCAGATGTATTCTGGGTAGACTGGGAGGTGAAGTGTGAATAAAAGTTTGAAAAATACCAAAACTATCACCTTGAATGGTCAGCATACTCTAATGTAATTCAGTGTTCACAGACTGTATTTTTCCCACTATATGAGATTAAATTACTTCTCGCCTCGTTTGCCAAATGTTTAACAGCATCTGTATCTCACACTTTATGATGCCAGGGCATTTTCTGACCCACACTGTTCAATCCTGGAAATCTGAAACAGACCTAATGTGGGTGAAGGAATTAGGAAATGTATTACAGATAGTCTTTGTCAAACAAAGAAAATCTGGTTACCGATCACCAGTCTGATTGAAAACTTGAAATGAATGTGTATTGGTACTACCAGTACTTGTGGGTTTCTCTTGTAGTTTTTTGTGTAACATTTAAAAAAGCAGCGCTCGGATTGTACGATGATGTCAGTAACTAACTAGGTATTGTTTCATAAGGATGTGGCTGTTATACTTACTAAAGGTGTTTCTGGCGACCATGGGCTCTGACTGGAGATAGACTCCAGGCCCGTACTTGTTGACTCCCCGCACCCTGAACAGGTACTCTGTGTTTTTCATCAGCCCGGTGATGTTGCAGGTCAGTTCCTTGCATTCGGCATGCATTATTACCCAGTTAAGTCTGTTTGTGTCACGCCTCTCCACAATGTAGTGAGAGACGTCATCACCACCATCTTCAAGAGGAGGCTTCCAGCTCAGAGTGCAGGATTCCTCTGTTATCTTACTGATCTCAATGCTGCCCTCACAAACTCCAGGTGTGTCTGAAAGAAAGCCAGATGTACGAATGCTTAGATGCTAGGATGTTCAAAATTAACACGTCCAGTGTAATTTGTGAATGCATTAAAATAAATGGTTAAAAATAAAAAGCCACTCACCAAGCACTTTGACATTGACTTCTGCAGTTTTGGTTCCACTTACGTTCCTGACTGTGAGGATGTATTTTCCAGTGTCATCTCTGTCACAGAATTTGATGATGGCCATGGCTCTAGTCGGGGTATACTGCAAGTGGTACTTTTCACACAAGTCCAGCTCTCTGTTACCCTTGGACCAAGAAGCCTTAGGATCAGGTCTTCCACCCACTGCAGCATCCAGAACCAGGTCTGAACCAGCCCGGACCATCACAGTTTCAGAGAGCAGCTTGCTGTCAAGCTGGGCCTTTGGAGGCTCTGTCAAGTGGTTATGAAGTACAGGGTTTTGAAACTTTGTTTAAACTGAATTGACATGTCTTGAAAATATTTTGGTCTTGGTTTGGTTGTCTTGATGCATGCTCAATCATCCAGGTAAGTAAATCCCCAAAAGTTGATTCTGTTCATCTGGACGTTTTCAGTAGGAGAAACGTTTTGTCTTATAAACAGTACATTTGCATAATGGCTGAAACTAGCACCACTGAGTCAAATGTACTGGTTATAAGATTGGGGAAACCTGCAGTCAGCTGAGACTGAAGGAGTCACCTGGATGAGTGACAAAATGTTTCTCCCACTGAAAACGTCCAGATGAACAGAATCAACTTTTGGGGACTCGGTTTGATTGCTTACACTGATTTAGCAGAAAACACAAGTTTCATTTTACTGTGAATTTATTTTGTGGCATGTTGATGAAACTGTGTCATGGTCTCAAATCTTACCAAAGTCAGTTTTGCACTGCACAGAGCCGGTGGACTCAGAGGGTCTGCTGAAGACCTGGTTGGCATTCTTGGCAATAACCCTGAACTCGTAGGGCTCTCCCTCTCCCAGCGCAGTAACAGTATAGAAGTTGTCAGTCACGTTGGTGTAGTTACACTTCAGCCAGCGGCCCTCGCCAGTCAACGTGTATGGCTTGCGTTCAATGATGTAGCCCACAATTGGACTGCCACCGTCATACAGTGGAGACGACCACTTCAGGGATACTGTGGTCCTTGTTACGTTGGTGACTTCAGGCTTACCCGGTGGATCTAAACAACAAATCAACAATGTTTGTCAGACATTTTTGTCTAAAAACATATTAATTTAGTAACTCTTCATGGTGTGATACTAAACTCACCAACAGGGTTTTGAGCAACTGCTCCCTTTGAGGCCTCACTAGCTTTGCTCAGTCCAGCACTGTTCATGGCATAAACCCTGAACTGATATTCCAGGCCTTCCACCAGACCTTCCACCTTGTAAGAGCACTCAAAGCAAGGGATCTTGTTCTCCCTCACCCACAGGATATTGTTCCTTTCCTTCTTCTCAATCCAGTAACCAGTCACCTTGCTTCCACCATCATGGTAGGGCTCCTCCCATTGCAGTGTCATTGTATTAGCAGTGACATTAAAGATTATAGGCTTTGTCGGTGGACCTGCAGGTGCTGTGATCAGAAATTAGGTATTGCTGTTTTATTCAAGTTCAACATAAGAATCTTATGGAATAGGATGGAAATGAATATTATAAATTCATAAGCTCAAAAGTAACATTATAGAGTAACACTTACTGTAAGGATGCTCAGCGACAATAGTCTCAGACTCAGTGGACTTGCTGACACCAAATCTGTTTTCTGCAGAGACCCTGAATGTGTACTGCATGTATTTGGTCAGGTTACTGACGTGGAGAGAGGTGCGCTTCACGCTGGAGTTGATGAGCTGCCAGGCCGTTGAGCCAGATTCACGCTTCTCTACGATGTAGTTGGTGATGTCAGTGCCACCATCATCTTCTGGTGGATGCCAGTTAACAACACAGGACTCAGAAGTAATTGATGAGATTTCTATTGGTCCACTTGGAGGACTGGGTCTGCCTGTGACATTAACTTCAATAGTAAACGTTCTGGTTCCTGCCACATTCTCCAGAGTCAGATGGTATTTCCCACCATCTCCTCTCATGGCCTCCTTAACTGAGATACTGGTTCTGTCCTTAGTAACTTTGATTGAGACTCTGTCTGTGTTTTTCAGTCTCATTTCCTCCAACTTCCAGGTGGTCTTAGGAGCAGGTCTGCCACTGATTGGAACATCGATGGTGAAAGTGCTTCCAGACCTGCATGTGATGAGCTGGTTGGTGATTTCACTGAGGTCAGCAGCAGGTTCAATGTGAGGCTCTTTGACCAGCACAGGAGCCAGAGTTCCCTTGGGCTTGCTATAACCAGCTTCATTCTTAGCCTTCACACAGAAGTCATATTCATCACCCTTGTTGAGCTTTTCGACAACATAGGTCAGATTTTTGGTGTTGCCAACAACTACCCATTTGTCTGTACCTTTTGGCCTAGCTTCAATGACATAACACTGAATGCGACTACCGCCATCATGCTCTGGTTTCAGCCAGCCTAGTGACACAGAGTTGTCTGTGGTGTCGAGGATATCCAGTCTCTTTGGAGCTGATGGTGCTGCAGTGGCAATGACAGGCTCAGTCAGCTCAAATGCCTCACCCACACCGTGCTGGTTCTCGGCTGAGACTCTGAAGAAGTATGGCACTCCTTCCAGCAGGTCCTGTATCTTTAGGTAGTGCTGTGTGCATTTGCTACCGGACTGCTGCCAAGTGCGGCGGCTAGCCTCACGCCTCTCAACAATATAGTGATGGATTCTGGCTCCGCCATCATTAAGAGGAGATTTCCACATAAGTGTGACTGAGCCTCTGGTCACCTCCATGAAGGCAACAGCCTCTGGAGGTCCAGGAGTGTCCATGACTTTTACAACAAATGTAGTAGCCTTGCTACCACTGGAATTTTCTAGGTTTACAGTATATTTGCCAGTATCATTTCTAGAGCAGTTTTCAATGCTCAGAGAACTGTAACCATCAGTAGTTGTTACCTCTGACATGACACTGAGCTCTCCTTCCTCCTTCACCCAAGTGGCAGTAGGAATAGGCTTTCCTCTGAAGTGGATGCCCAAGCACACTGAACCTCCCGCTTTGACAATGTGTGTCTGCTTAAAGGCAGCATCAATATCTACCTGTGGCACTGTTAGCCTATCTACTGCCTGAGCAGGCTCTGGAATTTCCTTGTCTTCACCTCTACCCACATGATTGACAGCTGCAACACGGAATTTGTACTCAGCCCCTGTCTGCAGACCTGTCACCACATAATTTGTTTCAGTTACAAGCTCCTCATTTACTCTCTTCCATTCCACCTCTTCTCCCTTCACCATTTCAATTATGTAGCCAAGAATCTCCATGCCTCCATCGTCAGCAGGCTTGGTCCATTCCAAACTGATGGAGGTACTGGTGGAGTCCGAAACACAGACCACTGATGGAGCGCAAGGTATATCTTTTGGCTCAGCGGCTTTGATGGGTAAAGAGATGTTGCTAGGAGTTCCAACACCAGCATCATTTACAGCCATAACACGGAACTCGTATTCCATATCCTCTGTCAGGTTGATAACCCTATGTGCACAGTCAGTAATAGGCTTCTTGGTGATCACCTTGTAGAACCGGACAGTCTTCTTTTCACGTTTTTCCAGGATGTAATAATGAATCGGGCTTCCTCCATCAGATTTTGGAGGAGTCCAGGACAAGGTGATGCTCTCTCCTGTAACTTCAGTTGCATCAGGAGTGCCTGGAGCATCAGGAGTGGCTGGGGAAACAATTTTAATAGTGAGTGGAAATGACTAAATAAATGTAATATAGATTTGAAAACTTCCATATGTTGATTTTTAAAACCTTCCAAAATGACAACTTACTGTATTGCATCTGTGCAATGATGGGACTGGATTCCAGAGGTCTGCCAACTCCAAACTTGTTAACAGCAGAGACCCTGAATTGATACTCATTAGTCTTAATGAGCTTGGTTGCGTGGAAGGTGCACTCCTTACATTCATCAGACACCAATGCCCACGAAATCTTGGCTGTCTCACGCTTCTCAATGATGTAATGTGAAATCTCAGAACAACCATCTTTCTCTGGTGGGTTCCAAGACAGACTGCACTTGCCCTCTGAGATGTTACTGAAAGTGATCGGTCCAACAGGCTCGCCAGGTGTATCTGTGTCAAATAGTTGTGAGAAAGTTAAGTTAGAATACAAATGAATAGAATGGTAAATATTGATACTGAAGTATAGGGAGAAAACTTTCAAAAATGCAAACCTTGGACTTGAACAAGGATGTTTTCCTTTTTGGTTCCAGACCCATTGGTAGCTTCCACAGTGTAGCGCCCACAGTGTGAACGATCAGCATCCCTGACAAAGAGGGTGCTGGATCCAGGAACTGTAATAATGTCCATCATCTTTTTTGTAATCTCCACACCTTCTCGGAACCAGACAACTTTGGGAACTGGGCGTCCAGTGATGGTCACCTTTAGCCTGATGCTGTCTCCTGCCTTGACTGTCAAACCTTCAAAGTACTCTGGGCCAAACTCAATGTTTGGAAGAGCTGGTTTGGGAAAAAAGGCATTAGTTTACAGCGGGCAGCTTTAGTAAGCTATGTAGAGGTAATTCTTGGAAAAATGAGCTGAGGAAAACATGGGTAGCAACCAAGGGAAACAAAAGCATTGGACTTCAACTATACTATTTACCCTTTAAACTCTGATTTAATGCTTCCCCAATATCTACACTGTCCAAGCTCTTTCCTGCTATTACTCACCATTTTCACTTCTGACAGCAATCATGCCAGAAGAGTTGGATGGAGGACTGACAACACCCATGGCATTTCTGGCAATGACCCTAAACTCATAGCGTTCATTTGTTGCCAATCCAGTGACGGTATACTGACAGTCGTGCACATCAGTCAAGTTGGCCTTGAACCAGCGTCCATGTCCTTGGCGTTTCTCGATATTGTATCCAACAATCTTGCTACCGCCATCACGTTTGGGTGCATCCCATTTCAGTGACACTGAGTCACTAGTCACATCAGTGTAATCAGGCTGGCCAGGAGGATCTGAAATGCATAATGCACCTTTTAACTCTTTGCCACAGTGTTTTTATTCCGACAACATTTTTCTCAGATTTTATACATAACATGCAAAATTTCCAGCATGTTGTATTTTTCTAGTGTAACAAAGGGATTTATGTCATGGTCTGAATTAATACTCACCAACTGGACTGACGGCCATGATTGGTTTGCTCTCATCACTCATTCGGCTGAACCCAGCATCATTCTGTGCATAGACTCTAAAGGAGTATTCAAGGCCTTCAATGAGCTCCAAAATCCTGTGATCTGTTTCTTTGATCAACATAGTGTTCACCTTTTGCCACATAATGCTATTCTTCTCCTTCTTCTCCACATGATAGCCCTGAATAGGGGTGCCACCATCATAGATAGGTTTCTCCCATTGAATGGTCATACCATCGTTGGTAACATTGTATACAATCGGCTTGCCTGGTGGGCCTGGTGGTCTGAATTGGTGCTTGGCAATAACCATTTGCGAAAGCAGAGGCTCGCTGACACCATACCTGTTTTCAGCACACACTCTAAACTGGTATTGGACACCTTTGATAAGGTTGGAGACTTTGAATTGAGTATCCTGTACACTGGAGGAGGCCATCTTCCAGTCATTTTGGGAGGTATCACGTTTCTCCACGGTGTAGCAAGTTATGTCTCCACCACCATAGTCATTTGGTTCATCCCATGAGATCATAATGCTTTCTGCTCTCACTTCGTCCAGTCGGATAGGTCCAACAGGCTTTGATGGTGGTCCCAGTGTGATGACATGGATGTGGAAGGATTTCCTGTTCACTTTGTTGTCAAGGGTTAAGGTGTATTTGCCCTCATTCTCCTTCTTCACATTCTTAATCATTAGGGTGGCTTTGTTTTCTGTTGTCTTGAAGCGTACTTGATCACTCTCTTTAAGCGGCAGGCTGTCCTTCATCCAAAGAACAGAAGGTCTGGGTTTGCCTTTGTATGGCAGTTCAATGTGCACATTGTGACCCAGGCGAATGCTGATGCTACCATGTGGATATTCTGTAAGGTCTGCCTCTGGTGTAATAATGTAGTCAATGACCTTGATAGGTCCAATTTCAACAAAATCTCCATGTCCTTTCTCATTCCTGGCAGCAACTCTAAAGAACATGTTCGAGTGCTCCTTCAGTTTCTTTACCTCAAACTCACACTGTCTGCTTGTTCCTCCTAATGACCAATCTTCATTCTTGACCTTCTTCTCAATAATGTAGTCAGAGATTATACTACCACCATCGTAATCTGGTTTAAGCCACTGGAGAGTGATGGAGGTCTTTGATGAATCTTTCATTGAAACCTCCTTGACTGGGCCTGGAGTTTCTGTAGCCTTAACAGGTTCATGTGTTTCACATGGATCACCGATACCATTCTCATTCTCTGCTAAGACACGGAAGAAGAAGGATGTCTTTTCAGAAAGATCTTCAATGGTGTATGTTGTGTCTGTGCATTTGTTTGTCACCATAGAGTATGATCTCTTGGATGAGTCTCTCTTCTCCACAACATAGTTAGTAATCTCTGCACCGCCATCAAGAAGTGGGGCCTCCCAGCAGAGAGTCACCTTTCCACGGGTCACCTCCTTCAGGACCAGGTTCCTGCACTGAGCTGGGGTGTCTTGGACTTTGACAGACAGAGTCACTGTCTTGGGCTCACCCACACCATTCTCTATCTTTACTGTATATTTTCCAGTATCAAGCTTGGTCACCTCACGCATAACAAGGACTGTGCTTGTGTCTGAATGGTGGAATTCATATTTGGGATCGTGGTCAATGCATTCTTCTCCCTTGCTCCAAGAGGCAGTGGGCGCAGGTCTGCCCTTCAATGGAACAGACAGCTCAACATCCTTGCCGGCCTTCACAATGTAGTGAGTTCTCATGGCAACATCAGAGTCAATCTGGGCCTCCTCTGGGAAGGGAGTATATAGAAGGTCATACAGGGGAAACTATATGTGGGCAACATGAATACAAAACAAGAAACACATGCTGTACACTGAAGACACGATTTATTTTATTTTCAATAAGTAATGAATTTACCCAGGATGTCCTTAGCCTGCACTGGTTCAGTCATCTCCAGAGGCTCTCCGCGACCAGCACAATTGACAGCAGAGACTCTGAAGAAGTAGTTAACATTTGGTTTTAAATTGTGGACAACATATTCTGTTGTTTTAACCTCTCCTTTGGAGGTAATCATAGCCCATTCTTTTTCTCCCTCCACAAGCTTTTCCACCATGTAACTTGTGACCTCACTTCCTCCATCCCATTCTGGCTTGGACCAGCCCAAAGTGATGGAAGTCTTGGTAGAGTCCACCACCTTTAACTTGCAAGGCTCATCTGGTGGATCTGTAAGTACCATGTATTTGTTAAGTGGAGTGTAGATTAGTAATCATTACTTTTGTGGTAAATCTGTGAATCTAAGTGTACTTACCAACTGGGTCAGCAGCCTTATAATAGTCTGATGCATCAGAAAACGGTCCCTCTCCGGCCTTGTTAATGGCACACACACGATACTGGTATTCATTTCCTTCTGTCAAGTGATAAACTGTCTGTTTGGCGTCAGTGACAGGCTCTTTATAAACTCTGATCCAGCGCAAGCTCTTCTTGTCTCGTCTCTCCAGGTAGTAGCCTGTCACTGCACTGCCTCCATCCACACCTGGTTTGCCCCATTCCACCACCATAGTGGACTTTGTAATGGTGGTCACCTCAGGGGTATGAGGCTGCCCAGGAGTGACTTTAAGAACAGACAATAGGTATGTTAAGATCACATAACAGTGAAGTTAATGACAAAAAAGCCTGATAAAAATAAAATGTGTTAAAAAGAAGAAGAAACACAGAGGATAGCTGCTGTGGATTCCATGCCACTCTAGTGAAACCTACCAAAGGCATTCTTAGCGATGACAGACTCTGACTCCAGTGGTTCTCCAACTCCATACTTGTTAACACCCATTACACGGAATACATACTCATTTCCACGGACCAGCTTGCCAACAGTAATGTACGTCTGTTCACACCTTTCAGAAACTGTTGACCACACCACTCTACTGGTTTCACGTCTTTCAACAATGTAGTGGGTGACTTTGGAGCCTCCCTGGTCACACTCAGGCACAGGTTCCCAGCTGAACATAATTCTTTCTGCTGTGATGGAGTTGAAGTTAATAATGCCAGCTGGGGGTCCAGGTTTGTCTAAGGAAAGATAAAAAATTAAAATAACATGGATGGATGAGATGATGGAGGCTTTATAGTCTGGATTTAAACTGGTTAGGAATTCAGATGTAAGGAAATGTGAGAATCAATAACTTATAAATACCTAGGATTTCAGTTCTGATGGTTGCAGATGCTGACCCCAGAACATTCTTAATCTTGATCTCATATGAACCTGTGTCATTGCGAGTTGCATCCTTGATCAGAACAGCAGAAGAGTCCGTTGTGCTTTCAGCAGACACAGTGGAGGTTGTTATTAGCTCCTTTCCATTCTTGAGCCACTCAATCGTTGGTAGAGGCTTGGCAATAATTCCTACTCTGAGCTTAACTGTAGCTCCAGCTTTGTACTGAACTACATCCAGGTACTCTGGAGGAAGGTCTATAGCTGGGGCACCTGTGACGAGAAACATTTATACAAGTGTATAAATAAAATTATTACAAGTAATTAATAAATGTCCATATAATTTTGGATTATATGCTCACCACATGCATCAACACAAGTCACTGGTCCAGCAATGAGAGATGGATTGCTGACAGACCCAACTGCATTCTTAGCATAAACTCTGAACTCATAAGACTCATCCTGGGTCAGTCCAGATACAGTGAAACCCATCTCAATGATGTTTGTAAAGTTGGCCTTCACCCATCTGCCGCTGGGTGCCTCCCTCCTTTCTACACTGTAACCAGTAATCTTACTGCCACCATCATATGGAGGCCTCTGCCAGGCCAGACTGACCGAGTTCTTCGTGACTTCGGTGACATGAACATTTGCCGGGGGTTCTGTGTTATTAAAGTGAGAAAGATCAAAGTTTAATAAAGTAACTGCAAAGATTTTCAGTTGTAAGCTCATATAATTAAGGCATAAAACTGCAAAAATTTAATACTTAAAATACTGACCACAGGCATCAATAGCAAGCACTTCTTCTGATGTTTTGCTCATTTTTCCAATACCAGCAGAATTTTCAGCTGCCACCTTGAATTCATAGATAAGACCAGGGCAGATGTTTGTGACACGCCACTGGTCTCCTGGGATTGGGGTCTTATTGATTTTCTGCCAAAGGATGCTGGTCCTCTCTTTCATCTGGAGATGGTATCCAACTACAGGGTTTCCACCATCATTGACTGGCTCATTCCAGCAGACTGTGAGACTCTCTCTAGATACATAGCTAACCCAAGGTGTGGATGGAGGTCCAGGCACAGCTGTTACAGAACACACTCTTGTTAGAATACATTAACAAAGATGCCTTGTTCATAAAACAGAAGAATTGGAATTGAAGATACAGGATAAAGTGGCTTACTGTATGGAAGCTTTATCATGACCGGCTTGCTGTCAATATGATCACTGATGCCATAACGATTCTCAGCCTTAATTCTGAACTGGTACTCCTCTCCTTTAGTCAGCTTAGTCACCTTGATCTCACTTCTGGCAATGGTAGTCGACACCTCTACCCAGGCAGGAGTGCTGGTTTCACGTTTAAGAACAACATAATTCGTAACAGGACTGCCACCATCGTACTCTGGAGGAGTCCATTTCAGACACACTGTGGTCTCTCCAACTTCTCCAATCTGAACTGGACCAACAGGAGGTCCAGGTCTGTCCAGCACAACGAAGATAATGAAAATCTTGGTAGTACCTCCTGCATTTGAGGCTGTGATTTCATATTTGCCAGCATCCACTGAAACACTTTCATTTAGGGTGATGATTAAACTATCTGGAGTTACTTCTGTCAGCAGCCTCTTGGATCCCTTAATGACAATATTGTTCTTGGAAACAGTGACCTTTGGCATGGGCCTGCCAGTTAATGGAATCTCAAAGGTCAGATTGGATCCTGCTCTTACATAAACTGTATTCTTGGGGTAGTTCTTTAGGTCAAACTCTGGAGCCTCTGTTGGAAAAGAAAAATAATAACACAGGACTGTGGTAAGACATGGCAGCTTAGTAAAACAATAATAATGTTTATTATTTCGGAAATACCATAGCTTTTAAAAACTTGCCCATTTATATAAATTAGGATTATTATAATTATTATAATTAGGATTAATTATACATAGACATAGCATGTCAGAAATGTACATTATGTAATATGTGTAATCTGAAAAGTTTAAAGTAAAGACAGCAACAATACCGTGTATTTCCTTGACAATAACTGGAACGATCATCTCCTTGGGTTCACTAAGTCCAGCATGGTTCTCAGCACGGACTCTGAAAAAGTACTCAGCACCTTCCCTAAGGCTCTTGATTGTGTGAGTCAAGATCCTCACAGTGGCACATTTCACCCATTTGGTCTGTCCTTTCTCCAGGGCATCAATAAGATAACCAGTGACTCTGCTTCCGCCATCATATTCTGGTCTGGTCCAGGCAATAGTAACACTGTCCTTGGTAACATTTGCAACTCCAAGTTTCATAGGTGGACTTGGTACCTCTATAACAGACAGCAGGACAATTTTATTAAGTCCATAATATTGATTTATGATGTTTTTAAAGAAAAAACCTTTACAAATATAAGCACTCAGTGCATATGTTACCTGTGATCTTTGTCCCAGCCTTAGCGTCCTGAGGGACACCCACTCCATACTCATTTTCTCCAATAACTCTGAAATAATAGATAGCTCCCTCCTGTAGGTCTTCCACCTTGTAAGTCAGAGTGTGGCAGTTGCCAGTCACAGACACCCAGGCTTTCTTACTGGCCTCACGTTTTTCAACATGGTAGGCCTTTACTGCATCACCACCATCATTCTCTGGAGGATCCCAAGTGAGGGTTGCAGAATCCCTGGTCACTGAAGTTACTTTAACGTTCACTGGGGGTCCTGGAGAGTCAAGTACTTTGACAACCACAGGCAACGTTGCTTTTCCTAGTGGTGATTCAATTGTGACAGTGTATTCTCCAGAGTCATTTCTAGTTGACTTCTCAATAGTCAATGAAGTGCTGGATTCTGTTGATTCAATGGTTCCTCTGACTTTCAGATCAACACCCTCCTTAGCCCATGTCACTGATGGCAAAGGGTTTCCCTTGAATGGCACATTAAGAGTAAATGCTGTACCATGCTTAACAGAGAGCACTTTACGCATCTCAATGTCAACATCAAATGATGGTTCTGCAGTTCTGTCCTTTGCGGCAGATGGATTTGAATATGGACTACGCACACTGCTGCCAACTTTATTGATTGCTTTAACACAGAATTCATATTCTGCATCTGTCTTCAATCCAGTGATGGTGAATTCTAAGCTCTTTGTAAGAGGGATGGCCTCAACCCATCTTGCTAGTTCTTCAGGTGACTCAAGTACCTCCTCTTCCTCCTCATATTCTTCTTCTTCCTCTGGTTTCTGGATGTAGTCTCTGTATTCTACACTGTATCCAAGGATAGGAGCACCACCATCATCTGTTGGTGGTTTCCAGACAATAGACACGGTGTCTTTGGTTGAATTCACAATCTTTGGCTTGGTTGGACGAGAAGGAATGACCAGAGGATCTACTGCTCTGAATGTTGCAGATGGTTCACTCGGTGGACTCAAACCAGCTGCATTTTCAGCATAAACTCGGAAGTCATATTCACAACCCTTGCGGAGTTTAGTTACTACTGTGGTAAATTCAGGAACTGGATCTCTGTTCACACGGACCCAACGCATGCTTGTTTTCTCACGCCGCTCAATCACATATCCAGTAATGGGACTGCCTCCATCATTGGCTGGCTTGCACCAGGTGAGGGTCATTGAGTCTCCAGTTATAGTAGTGACATCAACACTAGCTGGAGCAGTGGCAAAGGTGTATGGATTTGTAACCTTTATAACATCACTCTCCAGAGCTTCACCAACACCATGCTTGTTAATAGCAAGAACCCTAAAGATATAGTCATTGTCCTTGAGCAGACCTGTGACTTTAAAGAATGTTTTTGTGACATCTGCCTTCACCAGTGTCCATGACAGCCGACTGGTCTCACGTTTTTCAACAACATAATGAGTGATGTCTGCACCACCAGATTCCTGAGGTGGACCCCAAGACAGAGTGCACTCTGCTGCTGTGATACCTGTAATCTGAAGTGGTCCTGCTGAGGGTCCTGGCCTATCTAGAATCACACAGTTTATTGGCATGGTAACTGTTCCACCAATATTTTGTAAAGTCAGGGCATACTGTCCAGAATCTCTTCTGATACAATCCTTCATAGTGAGACACGTGCTGGTGTCTGTTGAAACAATTTGAATTCTAGCTCTTAGCTCGATTTCTTTGCCATTCTTGGTCCATGAAATGACAGGAGCAGGACGTCCCGCAAGATCCGCATTAATCTTTAGAGTTTCTCCGGCTTTCACAAACACGGTCTCTCTGAACTTCACATCAATCATGATGCGTGGTGGCTCCACATCATCTTTAATAGTGATGGGACCAGTATTGTCTGATGGTATACTAAACAGTCCAGCTGCATTCTTTGCAATGACACGGAAATCATACTGGCTGTTCTCTGTAAGGCCTGTCACATCATAATGGGTCTCAGGTACATTAGTGAAGTTGCACCTTGTCCATCGTCCTTCTGGAAGGTCTCTGCGTTCAATTGTGTAACCAGAAACCTTTGCTCCACCATCATATTCTGGTTTTTCCCAAGATAAGGAGACTGATGTTCTGGTGATTGCAATGATAATGGGTTTACCTGGAGGGTCACATGGATCTCTTGCTGCTACGGCTTCACAAGCCTTGCTACATTTACCAATACCGGCAATATTTTCAGCATATACACGGTATTCATACATCATGCCCTCTTCAATTCCAGTGACTTTGTACTCTGTATCTTTGATCATTCCTCTGTTCATCTTTGTCCAAAGAATGCTAGAACGCTCCTTCCTCTCCAGGTGGTAGCCCAGAACAGGACTACCACCATCACTAACTGGCTCATTCCAAGTCACCAGCATATAAGACTTGGTGGCCAGTTTCACTATGGGTGTAGAAGGAGGTCCGGGCTGTTTAAAATTGTACTGAGCAGTGATTCCAGGTGAATCCAGATAACTACTCTTTCCATAGCGGTTAACAGCATAAATACGAAACTGATACTCTGCTCCATGTGTAAGGCGGCCAGCTTTGAAAGCTGTTCTAGCAACATTACTTGCTATCATCTGCCATTCCTGTGTGTTTGTGTCTCTCTTCTCCACAATGTAGTTGCTGATGGAGCAGCCACCATCATATTCTGGTGGGGACCAGGAAAGGGAGATGCTGTCTGAAGTCACTGCATCCACCTTAATTCCTTTAGGTGGACCTGGCTTATCAAGGACAATGACTCCAATATCTGCTGTAACAGTTCCTGCTGTGTTTGCCAAAGTCATTTCATACTTCCCAACATGTTCCTTCTTAGCCTCTTTGATAATGATTTTGGATGAGGCTGCAGTGTTTAAGATAGAAACTGATGTGGTTTGCTTCAAAGGAAGGCCATCCTTCTTCCAGGACACAGCGGGCTTTGGTCTGCCTCTTATTGGAACCTCAAAAGTGAGGTCACCTCCAGCCTTCACAGTGTATGTGGTAAACAGCAAGTTGATAGATGGTTCAATAGCAACATCCTTTGCAACCACAGGTAAGCCAAGATCCTTTGGCTCACTCTTCCCCTTCTCATTGATTGCAACAACTCTGAATAAATAAGCTTCATTTGGAGTTAAATTAGGAATAGTTGCTTCCGGTACCTTAACTGTACATGCTGTGCCCCATTTATCCCCACTCTTGGGCTTAAATTCTACATTGTAGCACATTACTTTGCATCCACCATCATGAGCAGGTTTCTCCCAAGCCAGTGACACACTAGTCTTGGTCAAATCTACAAGGGTAACCTTGCTTGGTGGCAAAGGTACCTCAGCTACCTTTACTTCTTTGGTTTCGACCATCTGGCCTTGGCCATATTCATTAACAGCACAGATTCTGAAGTAGAAATTTCCACCTTCTGGCAGGTCTTCTACCTTAAATGAGTTTGCTGTACAGTTGCTGGTGACAGCAGCATAGGCCTTCCTAACAGACTCTCTCTTCTCTATGATGTAGTTTGTGATTTTAGAGCCACCATCAGTAAGTGGAGTATCCCAGGCAAGAGTCACTGAATCCTTCTTTAGCTCCTTCACGGTAAAGTTTTGTGGTGCACTTGGTGTATCCAAAATTCTCACTGCAACAATTGCAGATTTTTTCCCACTACTGTTTTCTAGTGTTAGTGAGTATTTGCCACTGTCAAAGCGATTAACATTGTCAATGACAAGCATGGTGAATGAACGAGTAGTATCAATTACAGCACGCTCTGTAAGGGTACTGTCAACTTTCTCCCATTTTACAGCAGGCTCAGGTCTTCCTCTGATGGTGACAAAGAGGCGTAGAGTCCCACCAGCACGGACAGATAGAACCTTTCTGAGTTCAGCATCAAGTTCTATCTCTGGTGCTTCTGCCCTGTCAGAAGTAACCACTGTGCCATGGACATTAGCAGCCTCCCCCACTCCTTCTGAATTTATTGCATAGACACGGAACTGGTACTCTCCACCCTCCTTCAAGTCTGTTATAGTTAATTTGGTGGCTTGAATGCCACTGGGTGGAGTGAACATTGTCCATTCTTTTTCAACTGGTGCTTCTACTGCTGGTGCTATCTCTGCCTCCTCTGTTGACTCAGGTACCGGTGTATACTCCCTCATTTCAACAATGTATCCCTTGATATAAGCACCGCCATCAAAGTCAGGTTTGCCCCAAGACAGAGAGACAGAGGACTTTGTGTAGTCTGTTACTTTAGGATGGTGCGGAGGCCCAGGTGGTCTTATGGCATCACATGCCCTGTAGAACAGGGACAGCTCACTGAAATCTCCCATTCCAACCTCATTCTCAGCAGCAACACGGAACTCATAGAAGTGATCTGTGCTCAGACCTGTGACTTTAAACTGAGCGTCTGTAAGCTTTTGTCTGTTGCATTTTGTCCACCGTACACTGTCTTTGTCACGTTTTTCAAGATGGTAGCCTTCAATTTCAGCTCCACCAGTCTGTTCAGGAGCTGTCCACGACAAAACTATAGAGTCCTTTGTGATCAGACTGGCTTCTGGAGTTCCAGGAGCGCTAGGAGGCTTGTAAGGATTGCGTGCAATAATGGGTTCACTTTCCAGATAGTCACCAATGCCATATTTGTTCACTGCTCTGACTCTGAAAATGTATTCATCTCCAGGAAGCAAATTTGTTACTTTATGGTACAGACCCTTGATGTCTGATGCAGCCACGGTCCAGGACAACCTGCTAGTCTCTCTCTTCTCCAGCACATAGTGAGTGATACTGGCTCCGCCATCTAGAGCTGGCTCAGACCAGGCAAGAATGCACCTGTCGGCCATGACTCCAGTAATCTTCATGGGTCCAGTGGGTGGACCTGGTTTATCAAGGACTTTAACTGTGATAGGGAACACTTTTGTACCACCCAGATTTTTGAGGATGAGGTCATAGTGGCCACTATCAAGCTTGGTTACATCCTTAATCGTCATTGCTGCACGTTTCTGTGTAGTTTTCACTTCGATGCGCAAAGCTTTGTCCATTTCCTTGCCCTCTTTCAGCCAGAGCACCTCAGGAATTGGTTTTCCATAGATGTCTGCATCCAGAAGCAGATTTTCTCCAGCATTTACAACAATAACATCTTTGTATTTAGGATCCATTGAGGCCCTTGGTGGTTCAATTTCATCAGTAGCAGTAATAGGTCCAGAGCTGTCAGATGGCTCGCTAAAGATGCCAGCTGCATTTCTTGCAATAACTCTAAATTCATATTGCTCATTTTCTGTTAGACCAGTGACAGTGTACTCAGTCTCAACTATATTGGTAAAGTTAGCTCTTACCCAGCGTCCATCAGGAGAGGCGAGGTCTTTCCTTTCCACAATATATCCATTCACTTTGCTACCACCATCATACTGAGGCTTAGTCCACTGAATCCTGATCTGGTTCTTAGAAATAGATACAGCTTCTGGGGTACCAGGAGGATCACATGGGTCGCGAGCAACAAAGGACTCGGATACTTTACTGCATCGGCCAATGCCAACAATATTTTCAGCATAAACTCTAAATTCATATCCAATACCCTCCTCAAGGTTAACGATCTTGAATTGTGTGTCTGTAATGAGAGTCTTGTTCAGTTTGCTCCATAGAATGCTGCTTCTTTCCTTGCTTTCCAAATGGTAGCCAATAACTGCACTTCCACCATCATTGACTGGCTCATTCCATTCAATGATCATCATTTCTTTAGTTGCATATTTCACATGTGGTGTTCCTGGAGGACCCGGTGGTTTGAATGGATATTGCACCACAATGGCCTTGGAATCCAGAGGCGCACCCTTTCCATATCTATTTTCAGCTATGATTCTGAACTGATATTCTGAACCTGTCTTCAGCTTGCTGACCTTAAAAGCCGTTCTAGCTAGCTGAGTGGTGACTGTTTGCCATGTTGTACTGGTTGTGTCTCTCTTTTCTACTATGTAATTCTTTACTTGGCATCCACCGGTGTACTCTGGGGGGTCCCAGGAGAGGTGGACAAAGGTGTTGCTCACTTCAACAATCTTGACTGGCCCTTTTGGTGGACCAGGCTTGTCGAGGATAATGACAGATACATCCTCTGCGGTTGTTCCAGTGGTGTTGGCTGCTGTAATTGTGTATTTGCCAAAGTCCTCCTTGCATGCCTCAGTAATTTCTATTCCCGTTGTTGTTTTAGTGGATATTATATTCATTCTTGATGTCACCTTCAAAGGCTGACCATCCTTGGCCCAGGTGACTTTAGGTTTTGGCTTGCCAAGAACAGGAAAATCTAACTTCAGATCCTTTCCAGCTAATACACTGTAAGTGTTGAATGGAATTTTGATGCTGGGCTCCATGGTCATGTCAGTGGCAATCACAGGTGCAGCAAGTGCTTTTGGCTCACTCTTTCCCTTTTCATTGTAAGCAATGATGCGGAATAGGTATTCTGTTCCAGCTGTAAGGCCTGTGACAGTACCTTCACATGTTTTTGTATTTGTTGCAACTCCCCACTTATCTGTACCCTTAGGTTGCATCTCAATTAGATAGCCAGCAATTCTGCTCCCTCCATCCTGCTCAGGTTTCTCCCAGGCCAGTGAGACACTGGATTTAGTGACATCATTGAGGAAGATCTTTCCAACAGGCAGTGGTACTTCAGAGGCCTTGGAGGCAGTCTTTGTTTCCACAGCCGGCCCAATTCCATATTCATTCTCAGCCATGACTCTAAAGTAGTACATAGCACCTTCAATCAAGTTCTCAACTTTGAATGTTGTTTTGGTGCATTTTGTGGACACATTTGCATATGCCTTTCTTGTTGATTCACGTTTGTCAATGACATAGTTCTTGATTTTGGCACCTCCATCAATCAATGGAGCATCCCAAGCAAGAGTGACAGAGTCCTTTCTGATTTCTTTAACAACAAGGTTCTGTGGGGCCCCAGGGGCATCCAGAATTTTAACTGAAATAACCTCAGACACAGTGCCACTGCTGTTAGTCAGTGTGAGGGTGTATTTTCCTGAGTCACTTCTATCACATGAGTCAATAGACAACTGTGTGAAATTATGAGCTTTCTCGACCACTGGTTTTTCAGTCAGGTTTCCATCATCCTTAGTCCACTTTATCTCAGGTGTTGGTCTGCCCTTAAATGGAATATTGATTCTAACAGAGCCGCCTGCTTTCAGTACAATGCCCTTCCTCAGCTCAGAGTCAAGGTGGATCTCAGGTGGTTCGACCCTTTCTTCAGGCTTAGCTGTTCCAGACAGAACTGCCGGCTCGCCAACTCCCAATTTGTTCAGAGCACACACTTGAATCTTGTACTCCTGACCCTCAGTAAGCTTTGTAATTTCATATTTGTTGACACGCAGGCCAGTTGGAGGAGTGACCATGGTCCATTCTTCCTCTTCAGCCTTGCAGACTTCAACAATATATCCTTGAATGACACTGCCACCATCAGACAGAGGTTTACCCCATGACACAGTAATAGAAGTCTTTGTTGAGTCAATCACATGCACATATCCTGGGGCTCCAGGTTTGTACTTGGGATCACAGGCCTTGTAGTATGAACTTGCAAGGCTTGGCTCTCCCACTCCAACTATGTTCTCAGCAGCCACTCGGAATTCATACTCATGGCCTGTGGTCAAGCCTGTAACTCTAAATGAGAGATCAGTGACCTTCTGTCTGTTGCATCTGGTCCATTTGATCCCGGTTCTATCCTTTTTCTCAATTATGTAATTTGTAATTTCACTGCCACCATCAGTCTCAGGGGCAGACCAAGAGATGGTCATACCATCATGGGCAATGTTAGATACATCCTCAATGTGAGGTGGACCAGGGAGAACAAATGGAGTTTTCATTATTACTGCACCAGACTCCAGTGGCTCACTTACACCATGACTATTAACTGCCATTACACGGAACATATACTCGTCACCTTCCAGTAATTTGGTAACTTTGTAGCATGTGGTGCCACAGTTGCTAGAAACAACAGTCCAAGCTAGACGACTTGTCTCCCTTCTTTCAATGATGTAATGTGTAATAGGACTACCTCCATCATGTAGAGGGGGGTGCCATACCAGTGTGCATCTATCTTCAGCGACTCCAGTGACATGGAGTGGTCCTTCACATGGGCTAGGTTTATCCAGTACTAAAACCTTAAATTGAACAGTCTCACTACCGGCTTCATTTTTCAGCTGGAGTGTATAAGTTCCACCATCAACTCTAATGGAGTCTTTAATGACAATCATTGCATGGTTTTCTGTGTTTCTGATCTCTAGTCGAAGTGTGTTTTCAACTGGTTTGTCATCTTTGAACCACTGGATTGTTGGCAGCGGCTTGCCACGTACATCAGCATCTAGCTTGAATGTCTCTCCAGCATTGACAATAATGGTCTTGGTGAATGCAGGATCAATGGAGAATTTGGGTGCCTCCACAGCATCACTTGCAGTTATAGGTCCACTGTTATATGATGGTTTGCTGACAGTGCCAACAGCATTTTTAGCAATGACTCTAAAGTCATACTGTGCATTTTCAGTCAGACCAGTCACTGTAAACTGGGTCTCAATCACATTAGTAAAATTTGCCTTTACCCACCTGCCCTCGGGCAGATCACGCTTTTCCACAATATAGCCAGTGATATTGCTTCCACCATCATATTCTGGTTTAGTCCACTGAATGACAATGGTGTCTTTGGTCACATGGATGGCCTCTGGTATTCCAGGAGGATCACATGGATCACGGGCAACACATCCCTCTGAGACTTTGCTGCTCCTTCCAATTCCAACAATATTTTCAGCATAAACCCTGTATTCATATTCAACACCCTCCTCCAAGGGGTAACTCTTGAAACTTGTCTCGTGGATGAGAGTCTTGTTGATCTTGACCCAGAGAATACTATTCCTCTCTTTCCTTTCAAGATGGTAGCCAAGAACAGGACTGCCTCCATCTGTGACAGGTTCATGCCACTCAACAATTTGGTGGTCCCTAGAGAGAGAAGAGATGAAAGGAGTGCCTGGAGGGCCTGGCTCTCTGTATGGGTACTGAGCAACTACAGCAGATGAATCCAGACCATGGCTTTTACCATAACGGTTCTGGGCAATGATCCTGAACTGGTACTCAGCTCCAGTCTTTAGTCTAGGTACTTTTATGGTGGTTCTGGCCCAGTTGATACTAACATTCTCCCATGTTGTAGTAGTCGTATCTCTTTTCTGTACAACGTAGTTTGAAATTTGGCATCCACCATTGTGTTTTGGTGGGTCCCATGATATAGTGACACTCTGTGTTGTGATTTCATCAAATCTCACAGGGCCACATGGAGGGCCAGGTTTGTCAAGTACAATGACTTCAATTGTTGTGTCCTTCTTTCCAGCTGAGTTGGCAACATTTATGCTGTACATACCACCATCATCGCCTGCTGCCTCTTTTATGCTTAGTGTTGTATGTGTTGGTGTATTGACAATATGGACTCTTGTAGTAAACTTCAACGGAGCGCCATCTTTAGTCCATGTGATGGTAGGTTTAGGACGTCCAAAGATAGGAATGTCAATGTTAATGTCTTTGCCCACATGAACACTGTAGCTGCTGAATTCTGGACGGACATCTGGCTCAAAGACCAAGTTTTTGGTCATCACTGGCCCGGAAAGGACTTTGGGATCACTCTTCCCTTTATCATTGACAGCTGTAATTCTGAAAAGATACTCCTCTCCTGGGTTCAAATTGGAGACTGTTGCTTCCATTGTCTTAAAAGTGTTTACAGCAGACCATTTCTCTTGACCCTTCAGCTGCACCTCAAGCAAGTACTGCATGATCCTGCTACCACCATCATACTCTGGCCTCTCCCAGGCCAGAGAGATGCTTGTTTTTGTCTGATCTGTAACAATTAAACTCTTTGGAGCCTGGGGCACTTCTGAGACCTTAAGAGGATCAACAGTTGCTGCAGGCAGACCAACACCATAAGCATTCTCTGCAAGTACACGGAAGTAGTAACTGCAGCCCTCCTGGAGTGGTTCGATCTGCCATGAAAGAGCATGACAATTTGTGACAACAGCTGCAAATGTTTTGCGTGTGCTTTCTCTTTTTTCAACAATGTAGTTTTTGATCTTGGATCCACCATCCAACAGAGGTGGTTCCCATTCCAATGTTACTGACTGGTTTGTAATTTCTTTCACTTTAAGATTAACAGGAGCACTAGGTGTGTCAAGGACGCGGACAACAACCAATGCAGATTTGGTTCCACTGGAATTCTCTGCAGAGACTGTGTATTTTCCACTGTCATTTCTGCTCATTTTATCAATCACAAGCAATGTATAACTGCTGGTTATCTCAACCTGAGCACTCTCTTTAAGGGGAGCTTCATCTTTGTCCCACTTTATAGTAGGTGTGGGCCTGCCTTTGATAGGAATGAAGAGTCTTAGGGACGCACCAGCTTTAATGGTAACAATTTTTCTTAGTTCTGGGTCAATGTCAAGGTCTGGCTCATCTGCTCTGTCCGTAGCAACAACAATTCCAGCAACATCAGCATGCTCACCAACTCCTACTTTGTTGATTGCATATACTCTAAACTTGTATGCCTGGTTTTCTTTCAGATTTGCAACTTCAAACTTAGTCTTCTTAACACCTGTAGCTGGTGTGCACATTATCCATTCTTCAACAACTGTGTCTGTGGCAGCTCCTTCAGCAGCAGGTGCTTCAGCAGTAGTAGTGCAGCACTCAACAATGTATCCCTGAATCTCACAGCCTCCATCAGAAATGGGTTTTCCCCATGACAGGAATACTGATGTTCTTGTAGTGTCTGTAACTCTTGGGTTATGTGGTGGGCCAGGCCTAAAGATAGGATCAAGAGCTTTGTAGAAAACAGTTGGGGAGCTTGGCTCACCAACACCAACAGAATTCTCAGCTGCAACTCTGAATTCATAATTGTGGCTTTCCAAAAGTCCTTTGACCTTAAAACTCAAATCAGTGACTGTTTGCCTATTGCACCTAGTCCATCTTACGCCTTCTTTGTCATGCTTCTCAATTATGTATCCAGTTACAGGACTGCCACCATCTTCAGAAGGAGCCTCCCAGGTAAGCACCATTGAATCCTTTTTAATATTTGAAACTTCTAAGTTCTTGGGCGATCCAGGTAGCATGTATGGATCCTTGATTATGACAGCAGGAGATTCAAGTGGTGCGCCTACTCCAAATTGGTTGACAGCACGGACTCTGAAGATGTACTCATTTCCCTCCAGGAGCTTAGTAACTTTTAGACAAATGTTCTCCACTTTTTGTTCAACTACAGTCCAGATTAGTCTGCTTGTCTCTCTTCTCTCCACAATGTAGTGACAGATCTTGCTGCCACCATCCTGCAATGGTGGTTTCCATGCAAGGCAGCATCTGTCTTTGGTTATTCCTGTGACAACAAGAGGCCCTTGTGGTTCTCCAGGTTTATCTAGAACAACAACATTGACCTGTACAGTCTTTTCTCCTCCAGGATTTTTCAGTAGCAAAATGTATTGCCCTCCATCAGACAGTTTAGCTTCTTTGACAGATATAAAAGCTTTGGTGGGTGTGTTCTTGATTTCCCTGTGAATTGTGTTGCCTAGTTCCTGCTCTCCCTTCATCCAGTGGATAGAGGGCAGTGGTTTTCCATGAACATCTGCATCAATTTTGAAGTTGTCGCCAGCACTGACCACAATATTCTGTGTATACTCTGGGTCAATGCTTATGCGCGGTGGCTCAATCTCATCTCTGGCAGTAATTGGACCAGTGCTGTAAGAAGGAATACTGAAAACACCAGCAGCATTTCTGGCAATGACACGAAACTCATACTGATTGCCCTCCACAAGTCCACTTGCTAAATATTCCGTCTCAATTACATTAGTAAAATTAGCCTTCAACCAACGACCCTCTGGAAGCTCCTTCTTTTCCACAATGTAGCCTGTAACCTTTGCACCACCATCATACTCAGGTTTGGTCCAAACAATAGTCACTGAGTCCTTAGTAATCTTTATTGCCTCTGGGGTGCCAGGTGGATCACAAGGATCTCTAGCAATATAGCCCTCCGACACTTTACTTGCTTTGCCTATTCCAACTATGTTTTCAGCATACACTCTGTATTCATACTCCATTCCTGGTTCTAGACCAGTGGTCTTAAAGGTTTGGTCTGTAATAAGAGATTTGTTTAGTTTGACCCAAAGGATGCTGTTCCTCTCTTTACGTTCAAGGTGGTAGCCCAAGATAGAACTTCCACCATCAATGACAGGTTCATTCCAGGTGACCACCATGCTATCTTTGGTGCAGACTGCAATGGATGGTGTACCTGGAGGGCCTGGGAGTTTATATGGGTATTGAGCCAAAATGCATGGCGATAGAAGAGCTGGACCTTTTCCATATCTGTTTTCTGCAGTAATTCTAAACTGATACTCAGAACCTGTTTTCAGCCTGCCTGCCTTAATTTTGGTCCTTGCTAGGTTGGAAGATACAACCATCCAGGCAGTTGTAGATGTGTCTCTCTTTTCTACAATATAGCTTTTGATGGTGCAACCACCATCATACTCTGGTGGATTCCAGGAGATGGTTACACTGTCAGAAGTGACTTCCTCTACCTTAACTGGACCACCTGGTTGGCCAGGTTTGTCAAGAACAACAATGCCAATATCTGCTTTAGTCTCTCCTGCTGTGTTGGTAAGAGTAATAATGTAGTGTCCAACATCATCTTTAGTAGCTTCTTTTATAGTGAGGTTCAGCATTGTGTCTGTAGCACCAAAGTTTACTCTGCTAGTTCTCTTAAGAGGGAGACCATCCTTTACCCATGAAACTGTTGCTTTGGGGCGTGCAATATAAGGAACCTCCACTTTCAAGTCTTCTCCTGCCAACACAGTAAATGTGTTGAACAACATTTTGACAGCAGGTGCAATAACAAGGTCTTTTACAATCACAGGGACTCCAATCTGACGTGGATCACTTGTTCCTTTTTCATTTCTTGCAGCAACACGGAACATATATTCTTCACCTGCATTTAGTCCACTAATAGTAGCTTCTGTTTCTTTTACGATCAGTGCTTGGGTCCACTTGTCAGCACCCTTAGGCAGGATCTCAACAACATAACAGCCTACTCTACTGCCACCATCATGCTCTGGCTTCTCCCAGGAGAGAGTGACACTGTTTTTGGTAACATCCTTAAGAGTGATTTTGCCAGGAGGCTGTGGTTTCTCTGACACCTTAACTGATTCACCAGTCTCAATGGGCAAGCCGATGCCATACTCATTCTCCGCTAAAACTCTAAAGTAATAGTTGCATCCTTCCAGGAGCTGGTCAACAGTGAAGGTGGTTTGATAGCAGAGAGCATTGACTGTGGCATATGCTTTTCTTGTAGACTCACGTTTTTCAACAACATAATTCTTAATTTTAACTCCACCATCATTCACTGGTGGATCCCAAGTCAGAGTCACAGCATCCTTTGTCACAGCAGTAATTTTCAGATTCTGTGGGGCACTTGGTGTATCAAGCACTCTGACTTGTACTGTAACTGTCTTGGAGCCAGAGCTGTTCTCAACAGTAAGATTATACTTTCCACTGTCAAATCGGTTGACATTTTCAATTATCAGTGATGTGTATGATGTTGTGCTGTCAATGATTGCCCTCTCAACTGGTTCCCCATCTCCTTTGGTCCATTTTACCTGAGGGGGTGGTCTGCCTCTGATAGGCACAAACAGTCTAAGTGAACAGCAAGCTCTAAGCCTGACAACTGACCGAAGTTCCGCATCCAAATCAATCTCAGGAGGGAGAAGCCTGTCCTCTGCCTTTGGATTACCAGGTACAGATGCTGCCTCTCCAATTCCTTCACTATTGACAGCAGAGATGTGAATCTTGTACTCTTGATTCTCCTTCAGGTTAACAATGGTGAATGAGGTAGCAGGAAGACCTTCCTTGGGTGTCACAATGGTCCATTCCTCTTCTTCCTTCTTTTCAGATGGGATGCATGTTTCTACAATGTAGCCCATTATTTCACAGCCACCATCAAATGCAGGTTTGTTCCAAGCCACAGTAATTGAAGACTTGGTTGTATCCAAGATTCTGGGGTTGCATGGAGCTTCAGGCTTGTATAGTCCATCAGTAGCCTTGTAGAATGGACTAGACACACTTGGTACACTCAATCCGGCAGCATTCTCAGCAATAATTCTGAATTCATATTCATGTCCAACAACAAGACCTGTTGCCTTGAACTGCAGATCTTTGACTTTCCTCTTGTTACACTTGACCCAACGGAGGCCCATTCTATCTTTTCTTTCAATATGGTAGGTGGTGATGGGAGTTCCACCATCACTCTTAGGTGCTTGCCACATGACAACCATTGAGTCTTTAGTGATAGCTGTCACCTCAGCATTCTCAGGAGGATCTGGAATCACATATGGGTTGTCTGCAATAGTGGGTTGTGATTCAAGCGATTCGCCAATTCCATATTTGTTCACTGCCATTACTCTAAAAATGTATTCGTTTCCTTTGAGCAGCTTAGTAACCTTGTATTGTGTATCTTGGAGGTCTGAAACAACACTGGTCCAAACCAGTCTGCTTGATTCACGCTTCTCAATCACATATCCTTCAATCTTGGAACCACCATCATCTGCAGGTGGAGCCCAGGAGAGTGCACAGTTCTCAGCTGTGACATCAGTTACCTTAAGAGGTCCAACTGGTGGTCCTGGTCTGTCAAGCACTTTAACATTAAAAATGTGCTTTGCAAATCCACCAACATTAGTGGCAGTCAAAATGAATTCACCTCCATCTGGCCTTATAGAGTCCTTGTTGGTTAGAGTAGTTGTCAGTTCAGTGAACCTAACTTCCAGTTTCATTGTATTCTCAACCTCCTTTCCATTTTTGGTCCAAACCATAGATGGTGTTGGTTGACCAGCAATATCAGCTTCAAGCTTGAATGACTCTCCTGCCTTTAGTAGAACAACATCCCTAAAGATGGCATCTACCATAATGCGTGGTTCGATAATGTCATCTTTGCAGATAATAGGATCTGAAGGCTCAGAAGGTATGCTCACTGCACCTGCTGAGTTTCTGGCTATGATACGGAACTCATATGAGGCATCTTGAGTTAGTCCACTAACAGTGAACGTTGTTTCAATTATGTTGGTAAAGTTGGCTCTCATCCAGCGACCAGCAGGCAGTTCTCTCTTCTCCACAATGTAGCCGGTGATTTTGAACCCACCATCATACTCAGGCTTTGTCCACTGAATAGTAATGGCATTCTTGTTGACAGATATTGGCACAGGCTGACCTGGTGGGTCAACAGGGTCCAAGGCCAATATCGGTTCTGAGGCCTTGCTGGGTTTACCAATTCCAGCCATGTTTTCAGCCATGACACGAAACTCATAAGCAACTCCATCTTCAAGTCCAGAGGATTTAAAGATATTTCCTTTTACAAGACCCTTGCTAATCCTATACCACATTATGCTGGTTCTTTCTTTCCTCTCAACATGGTAGCCAATGACTTCATTTCCACCATCATTCACAGGCTCATTCCAGCCAATTGTTATTGAGTTTTTGGTAAATGCAACAACGTTAGGAGTACCTGGAGGACCAGGGACTTTGAATGGATAGGCAGCCACCACTGTCTCTGAAGTAATAGGAGGTCCAACACCATATCTGTTCTTAGCCTTTATTCTGAACTGATACTCTGATCCAGTAGTTAACCGGATGGCTTTAAACATTGTGCGGATGACGGTAGACGACAACTCAGTCCATGTTTGAGAAGTGGTGTCTCGTATTTCAATGACATAGTTGTTGATGGGAACCCCTCCATCATTCTCAGGAGCGTCCCATGAAAAGATACAATAAGTACGAGATATTTCCACAATCTTAACGGGTCCTTTGGGTGGACCAGGTACATCATGAACTTTCAGAGTGATGCTGTCTGTCACAGATCCAACAATGTTCTTTCCTGTCATGGTGTATACACCACTGTCAGCTCTGGTGCACTCACTGATGCTGATAATGACTGTAGCAGCAGTCGTTTCTACATTGGTCCTCTGTGTGAGTTTCAGGGCTGCGCCATCCTTCTGCCAAGAGACAGTTGGTCTAGGACGTCCCATAACTGGAATTTCAACCTTGATATCATCTCCTGCCTTGGCAATAACAGTCTTGTGACAAACTCCACGCAGGTCAAACTCTGGCAAAGAAGTAGAGTCCTTGACAACAATGGGTTTGCTCTCCTTTGGAATACTCCTACCTGAGTGATTGACAGCCATTACATGGAAAATGTACTCCTCATTCTCATTGAGATTCTTCACAGTGAAATCCATGTTCTTGACCGTCGTAATATGAGACCACTGATCAGTTCCCTTCTTCTGGGCTTCCAGGACATATCCTGTAATTCTGCTTCCACCGTCATGCTTAGGTTTGGTCCAAGCCAGGCTGATAGAGTTCTTGGTGATATCAGTAGGAATAATGCTCTCTGGAGAGCTTGGTGTCTGGGATGCACGAATTGGATCAGAAGTTTCAACCGCCTCACCGATACCATACTCATTCTCAGCAGACACTCTGAAATAGTACTCACAACCTTCACCCAGGTCACAAATTCTGACTGAAGTAGTTGGGCACTTTGTAACAACAGTAGCAAAAGCCTTGCGTGTTGATTCTCTTTTCTCAATGATATAGTTTGTGATCTTTGCACCACCATCAATGAGAGGCATTTCCCACTGAAGCGTAATGCTTTCTTTGTCAATCTTGATTGGTTTTAGGTTAAGCGGAGGCCCAGGTGAATCCAGAACTCTCACGTGTATGTCAGCACTCTTCTTTCCAGCTGAGTTTTCGAGGGTAAGCTCATATTTGCCTGCATCAATTCTTGAACTCTCAGGAATGATCAGCATCGTAAATGATTCAGTGCTGTCAATGACTGCACGTGGAACAGGTCCGCCTTCCTTGGTCCAGGTGACAGTAGGTGTAGGACGTCCCTTGACTGGCACAAAAAGGCGAATGGAGCAGCCAGCTCTGACAACAAGAGTTCTTCTGAGCTCAACATCAAGTTCCATTCCAGGTTCAGCTGCATGCTCCACAATCTCAGTGAATTCCTTAGTTTCGGCAGGTTCTCCCACTCCTTTAGCATTCACAGCACTAATTCTGAAGCAGTATTTTGCACCAGTGTCTAGTTCAGGAACAACAAATTCTGTGATCCTAAGTGGAGATGATGGGGTATCCTTAACCCATTCTTCTGTTCCTTCTTTTTTGTGCTCAATGACATATCCAGTAACTTCCAGTCCACCATTATGAAGAGGTTTTCCCCAGTTCAGAGTGGCAGTGGTTTTGGTTGTGTCTGTAACTCTTGGATTGACTGGAGGTCCAGGTGGATCTATAAGATATAAAAGAGGAAATTATTATTATTATAATTAATAAAATAAATCTAGAATTTTACACAAAAAAATCCCAAAGCTGTTGTTATATTGTTGAAATATTATGTCAGAGTCTGGTAGCCTTTTGCTTTTCACATCTATTTACTTACAGGCAACAACTATTGTCCTGACAACCATCGATGGTTCACTTGGCTCACCAAACCCAGCTCTGTTCTCAGCAAGAACACGAAACTCGTACTCCACATCCTCAGTGAGACCTGTGACTTCAAAGCTGAGTTCAGTGATGGATTTCTTGGATGCTCTGACCCATCTCATGCCTTTTTTCTCTTTCTTTTCAACACAATAACCTATGATGTCGCTTCCTCCATCTTCAGTTGGTCTTCTCCAGGTCACAGTGGCTGAATGTCCATCGACTTTTTCAACCTCTGGTTTGGAAGGTGGACCAGGTGGACCTATGTGGATCCATAAAAGAAATATATTGATGAATCCAAATATTTAGCATTCTTCTTCCAGATATACTGTAGAACAAAAATAAATGATACATACCAAATCTATCTACCATTTTAACTGCCTCAGAGTGTGATGGCTCACTGGCACCATACTGGTTAACAGCAGAGACTCTGAAGAAGTATTCATTGCCCTGGATGAGTTTGTTGGCCACATAGTGACAATCAATAATGTTATCTTCTAGGATAGTCCAGAGCAAACGGCTGGTCTCCCTCTTCTCCAGGGTGTAATACTTGATAGGAGAGCCTCCGTCTTCAGTAGGAGCTGTCCATGTAAGAGTCACTTTTTCTGAGGATACACCACTGCACTCAATGGGTCCAGGAGCACCAGGAACATCCAGAACTTTGACCTTCACAGTTTCCTCCTTTACACCAAAGGGATTACTGGCAGTGATTATGTAGTCTCCAGAGTCCTTCCTGCTAGCATATTTGACCGACAAAGTGGAGGATGTGGCAGTGGTCTCAATTTGAACAAGATCTGAGGGTTTAAAGTACTTTCCTCCCTTTGACCAGCAGGAGGTTGGTGCAGGTTTCCCTAAAATGCTTGTGGCAGTGATGACGATAGTATCGCCAGCTCGGACAGTCAAGCCTTCCATCACCTGAGCATCAATTATAATGGTTGGCGCAGCTGATGGAGGACAAATGGAAATTTTTATTTTTATCATGCTGCCTGAAAACATTCAGAATGGTTTTAATATAGATTTATATCTCATCTTACCATATTCATCTGTGCAGATAATGGTATCTGTCTGCTCAGAGGGTGGACTGAGAGCGCCCGCAGCATTCTTTGCCCGAATTCTGAACTCGTATTTGCAGCCCTCTTGCAATTTAGTGACAGTGAATGCAGGTTCCACAACATTCACATTGTTTGCCTTTACCCAGATTTTAGAAGGCAGGTCTCTTTTCTCAATAATGTAGCCCGTCAGTCGGTGGCCACCGTCAAACTGAGGTTCAGTCCACTGGAGGGTCACAGTGCTCCTTGTAATGCTGATCACATCTGGTTTACCAGGTGCATCTAGCGGTATAGATATGACAATAATGAATGTATTGTTTTATATTTGAAAATCATTTTTGTAAAGATGTTTGTAATTTTTTCTTTTACTTACCAACGGGGTTCAGGGCCACCTGTGGATCAGTGGGGGCACTTGGTCTACCAATTCCAGCCAAATTAATTGCCATCACTCTGAACTCATACTCCAGACCTTCAGTCAGCCCAGTGACTTTATGTTCTCTCATCTTCAAGGCAGCTGGGCTTGCCCTCTTCCACAACATACTGTTTCTCTCCTTGAACTCAACATGATAGCCTGCACATATTACCAAAGCAAAATAAACCAAAGTTGACATATAAATTGTATCAAGAATATCGGGACAGAATAACATAGTTGTTGATAGTTCAATTAAATTCAGTTTTATTTATGTAACCCAAAATAACAACAACAGTCATCTGAAGGCACGTAAAGACCCTACAGTTATACAGAGAAACCTCGACAATCAGACGATCCCCTTTCAGGGGAATCATGCTCAGGGAGGAGCGGCCATCTGCAACCGGTTTTGTGTTAGGAAAAGAAGACAGGGCAAAAGACATGCTGTGGAATTGAGCCAGAGAGGAGGTTGGTGAAATGTTAAAGCAGACCATACCTGTAATAGGAGATCCTCCAGTCTTCCTTGGATCAGTCCAGGCAAGATAAGCTGAATCATGGCGCATGCTCATAATCTGAGGAGGAGCAGGAGCATCAGGAACATCTGTACAAAAATAGTGATGAAGAGTGATTAGCAGTCCAAAAAGACAAATAAATATTGAATAACAACACAATTCAGCCTTTGAAATAGTATACAGTACTTACTGAATGGATGTTTGGCTACAATCGGCTCAGATTTGAGTCCTTCGCCGACCCCATACTTGTTCTCGGCACATACTCTGAAGATGTATTCTGTGCCCTCATGAAGACCAGTTACTCTCATGGTGTTGGTCTCCACAACAGAGGACACAGTCACCCACATGTTTGTGATGGAGTCCCTCTTTTCCAGGATATAGTTGGTAATTTCAGAGCCACCATCATCCTTGGGAGGACCCCACTTTAGTGTGGCACCATCAGCAGCAACATCTTTGAACTTTACTGGTCCTCCAGGAATGCCAGGTTTACCCACCACCCTAATAAGGAAAAAGGATAATTTTGACATTTTTTATGTGTAGACACTGTTGTATGGATATGGTGAAATTCATTTTGAGGAAAATACCCTTTAAATGCCATTACATGATCCTTACCTGACAAAGATGGTGGACTCTTTGCTTCCAGCACTGTTTCTCAGCGTGATGGTGTATTTGGAAGCATCAGTCCTTTGGCAGTCCCTGATGAGGAGGGTGGTGTTAACTGCTGAGGACTCTGCACACACTCGGCCAGTGTCTGTCAGGTCTTCATCATCTCCCTTCTTCCAGGTTACCTTGGGTGTAGGCTTGCCAATAATTGGGATCTTCAGGCGGACGGTACTGCCTTCCTTGGCAATGTAGCACATGTTGGGCAACTCCCTCAAGTCACAACTGGGAAGAACTTTATAGGAAAGGAGCAACTACTTAATATATCCATATTTAAAGACTTTATGTGCTTACTTATTAAGTTATTTGTCTGAATGTTTCATAAAAGGGGATACTTACTGATCTGGTCCTTGGCAACCACTTTCAGCTCCTTGGGAGCACTCTCTCCTGTGTCATTCACAGCTTTGACTCTGTAGGTATACTCTCTATCCTCCACCAGGTCCTTGGCACTGTACTGCATATTCTTAGACCTCATTAGCTCCTTGTATTTATCCTCACCATTGAGAACCTCAAGTACATAACAGATGATGCGACTACCACCATCAGTGAGGGGTTTCTTCCAGCTTAAAGTGCAAGAATCCTTGGTAACCAGCAGGGTCTTGAAGTCCATGACAGGCCCAGGCTCCTCTGTAAAATTAAATGTAATTAGTATGACAGTTGGAGAAACAAAATCCAAGTACATAACCTGTTATGATCCAACCCACCTGTTGCTCTGACTGAATCATCAGTCTCACAGAACTCTCCAGTACCCAGCTGGTTAACTGCTGCCACTCTGAAGCAGTAGGACCGCCCAGCATCTAGGTCTGGAACCTTGAATGATGTCTTATTGCAGTTGGTGGAAACGGTAGACCAAGCCTTCCTCTCAGTGTCACGCTTCTGTACTATGTAGTGGGTAATTTCAAAGCCACCGTCAATCAGAGGAGCATCCCAGTAGATGGAGGCACTATCCTTACATGTGTCCTTCACCATTAGATTAACTGGTGGTCCAGGAGTGTCTGGAAAGATAAAACAACACTTCATACTAATGTTTTTGTTTTTTGTTTTTTTTGTAAAATTGAACTAATCAAGAAAATAAGACTAACCATTAGTGACTAATATCAATCTGACTTGACTATAGTCACTGCAAAATATTAATGCATTTGTTTAGTGAAATAACTTCCTGTACTGACCAAAAACTTTGACAACGATGGTATACATCTTCATGCCAGCTAAGCTGTCCAAGCTCAGAATGTATTTGCCAGCATCATATCTGTTCACTTTCTCCACCATCACCATGGTGTCAACATGGGTGGATTTGATGATGATGCCCTGACGGTCTTTAATGTTAGTGTTCATCTTTGCCCAAGTTATCTTGGGAGTGGGACGACCCTTGATGGTGGCATGCAGTCTCATGGTGGCACCAGCACGTAGCTCCAGGCCATCCTTCAGCTTTGCACTCAGTTCTGCCTCAGGAGCAACTGTACAAACACAGAGAGAGAATGATTTCATGAGTATGTTTAAGGAAAGTGTCTGCTTTATACAGGGAGTGCAGAATTATTAGGCAAATGAGTATTTTGTCCACATCATCCTCTTCATGCATGTTGTCTTACTCCAAGCTGTATAGGCTCGAAAGCCTACTACCAATTAAGCATATTAGGTGATGTGCATCTCTGTAATGAGAAGGGGTGTGGTCTAATGACATCAACACCCTATATCAGGTGTGCATAATTATTAGGCAACGTCCTTTCCTTTGGCAAAATGGGTCAAAAGAAGGACTTGACAGGCTCAGAAAAGTCAAAAATAGTGAGATATCTTGCAGAGGGATGCAGCAGTCTCATAATTGCAAAGCTTCTGAAGCGTGATCATCGAACAATCAAGCGTTTCATTCAAAATAGTCAACAGGGTCGCAAGAAGCGTGTGGAAAAACCAAGGCGCAAAATAACTGCCCATGAACTGAGAAAAGTCAAGCGTGCAGCTGCCAAGATGCCACTTGCCACCAGTTTGGCCATATTTCAGAGCTGCAACATCACTGGAGTGCCCAAAAGCACAAGGTGTGCAATACTCAGAGACATGGCCAAGGTAAGAAAGGCTGAAAGACGACCACCACTGAACAAGACACACAAGCTGAAACGTCAAGACTGGGCCAAGAAACATCTCAAGACTGGTTTTTCTAAGGTTTTATGAACTGATGAAATGAGAGTGAGTCTTGATGGGCCAGATGGATGGGCCCGTGGCTGGATTGGTAAAGGGCAGAGAGCTCCAGGCCGACTCAGACGCCAGCAAGGTGGAGGTGGAGTACTGGTTTGGGCTGGTATCATCAAAGATGAGCTTGTGGGGCCTTTTCGGGTTGAGGATGGAGTCAAGCTCAACTCCCAGTCCTACTGCCAGTTTCTGGAAGACACCTTCTTCAAGCAGTGGTACAGGAAGAAGTCTGCATCCTTCAAGAAAAACATGATTTTCATGCAGGACAATGCTCCATCACACGCGTCCAAGTACTCCACAGCGTGGCTGCAAGAAAGGGTATAAAAGAAGAAAAACTAATGACATGGCCTCCTTGTTCACCTGATCTGAACCCCATTGAGAACCTGTGGTCCATCATCAAATGTGAGATTTACAAGGAGGGAAAACAGTACACCTCTCTGAACAGTGTCTGGGAGGCTGTGGTTGCTGCTGCACGCAATGTTGATGGTGAACAGATCAAAACACTGACAGAATCCATGGATGGCAGGCTTTTGAGTGTCCTTGCAAAGAAAGGTGGCTATATTGGTCGCTGATTTGTTTTTGTTTTGTTTTTGAATGTCAGAAATGTATATTTGTGAATGTGGAGATGTTATATTGGTTTCACTGGTAAAAATAAATAATTGAAATGGGTATATATTTGTTTTTTGTTAAGTTGCCTAATAATTATGCACAGTAATAGTCACCTGCACACACAGATATCCCCCTAAAATAGCTAAAACTAAAAACAAACTAAAAACTACTTCCAAAAACATTCAGCTTTGATATTAATGAGTTTTTTGGGTTCATTGAGAACATGGTTGTTGTTCAATAATAACATTATTCCTCAGAAATACAACTTGCCTAATAATTCTGCACTCCCTGTATAACGTGAAGTCACAAAGTCTGAAATCCTGGTTGTTCTATTTTCATCTGTCTTGGTCATGATCCTCACAACTATGCGTAATCTGCCTTTGTCCAGGAGCAGTTATTTTTATGTTGTACTTAAATTATTTTGTAGATGTACTACTTAATCGTGGCGATCGGGGCTCAAAGAGTTGGGAGTTCGCCTTGTAATCGGAAGGTTGCCGGTTCGAGCCCCGGCTTGGACAGTCTCGGTCGTTGTGTCCTTGGGCAAGACACTTCACCCGTTGCCTACTGGTGGTGGTCAGACGGCCCGGTGGTGCCAGTGTCCGGCAGCCTCGCCTCTGTCAGTGCGACAGTCAGTCAGTGCGCCCCAGGGTGGCTGTGGCTACAATGTAGCTGCCATCACCAGTGTGTGAATGGGTGGATAACTGGTTGTGTAAAGCGCTTTGGGGTCCTTAGGGACTAGAAAAGCGCTATACAAATACAGGCCATTTACCATTTAATCACTGTTTGTCAGAATTAAAATATATGCAGCCTGAAAATACATACCAACGATGTCCTTGGCAACATGTTTCCCAGGGACTTCAACTGGTTCACTAAAGCCAATCTTGTTGACAGCAGTGATGCGGCACTGGTATTCTGACTTATGAATGAGGTTTTGAATGACGTAGTGGGTCTCCTGCAGGTTCCTTGGGACATTACAGCGGATCCAGTCTTTGGTGTCTGTCCTCTTGCACTCCACCAAGTATCCAATAATGGGGCTTCCACCATTGTTGGTGGGGGCAGTCCAGGCAAGACTGATGGTGCTGTGGGTGGTGTCAGTCACACTGGGATTCACAACAGGTCCAGGAGGAGCTAAAAAAGAGAAGATTGACCCAGTTTAGGTTATATATACATTTAAGTACATATAAGTTCAAGTAACACAGAAAGATCTATGCAGAGTTATCAGAGCTAATGAAGTTACGACTCACTAATAGGATTCTGTGCAACATTGCCAGAAGAAGGCTCGCTGGGTTTGCTGGGCCCAGCCACGTTGACAGCAATAACTCTAAACTCATACTCGACTCCCTCTGTGAGGCCTGTAACCTCCAGACTTCTTTCTGTCAGTGGCTTGCTATTTAACTTGGTCCAATTCATTTCCTTGGTCTCTTTCTTTTCCAACATGTAACCCAGGATAGTGGACTTTCCATCATCTGCAGGCTCCTTCCAGCTAACGGTCATACGGTCCTTGGTGACATTGGTGATCACTGGGGCTTCACAGGGGCCAGGGACAGCTGGAAGTGACACCAAAGGTACGACTTTAGATGGTATTTTTTTTAAAGGAAATTTTATATATGCCATTCAACATGGAAATGTTATGAAAAGAAGCTCTATATGATAACAGAATATTGTAATGATGTTAAGCTGGTTTGATGTAACTACTTGTCTCCTTATCTCACAGGTTTAGACCTAGTTTAAATTATTGATTGTTACAATTCTCCAATACCATAAATCCTTTCTGTGATATATGAACTCAGACAAAATTCTAGTAATGACTCACTGAATGGGTTCTTGGCGATGACAGGGCCGGTGATAAGAGGGTCTCCAACTCCCCACGTGTTCTCAGCGCGGATTCTGAACTGGTATTCATGACCTTCAATTAACTTTGCCACAGTGAACTCAAGGATGTCACCCTTGATTTTACCTGCAACCTGAGCCCATTCAGGTCTACTGGTTTCACGCTTGTCCAATATATAGTTGGTGACTGGGGCACCACCATCCTTAAGAGGAGGTTCCCAAGACAACTTGATGCTAGTGGCAAACACCTCAACACATTTGTAATTTGCAGGAGGACCAGGTACATCTGAAAAAACCAATCAGCTATTTGTGAAAATCATGTTGAAGTTAATGTAAAATGTAATATTAAACATTCTAACTCCAACTTGGATCTTTAGTTTCAACATATATATTTTTTTCTCATAGAAAGTTAAAGATCTTACCTAGCACAATGACCTGGATCTCAGCACTCTTGGAGCCACTGGCATTCTCAGCCAAGATGGTGTATGTTCCTGTATGCTCCTTGGTGACACCTGTCATTTCCAGCTGAAAGTGATTTCTTTGGTGGGTAATAACCTGGCCTTCACCTGACTTCAGATTGTCGTCACCTCTCTTCCAGGTCACTCTGGGCATGGGCTTACCGAACACATCAGCCTCCAGGAGGATTGTAGTTCCAGCCTTCACCTTCAAACCCTTCTGCATCCTGGCATTGAGCTCCACCCTTGGAGGAACTATATTTAATGAAAAGGAGGTAAATGAACACTTAGCTCAAAACTGTCGTAGAAAGATGGTGTTATCCTGACTATTATAGTAGGCTGACTAGTTTATCAGGCTATATGGTATTGTCAAAACTTCTAACCATTTTCAGCACACACGAGGACAGGGTCTGTGGGTTCTGAGGGACTGCTCATGTTGACAGCAGTTTTAGCAATAACTCTGAACTGGTACTGCAAGTCTCTCTCCAGGCCAGTAACTGTGTACTCCTCCTTAGGCACATTCTGGCTACTTGTGTTGCAGCGTATCCAAGTGTCTCCTGGTACCCGCAGGGCCTCAACATAGTAACCAATGATCTTGCTACCTCCATCATTCTTAGGACGGGTCCAAACCAGAGTGACTGAGTTCTTGGTTACATCCAGGACTTCAGGTTTACCTGGAGTGTCTGTAGTGCATAACAGATAAATTAGTTTAAATAGAATGAATGACCTATTCTAATCTAATATGAAGCCAGTTATACTTACCAACAGGTGTTCTTGCAGTGAAAAAGTCAGTCTTCTTGCTTGGTTTGCCCTGGCCAGCGCGATTAATAGCTGATACTCTGAAGGTGTATTCCAGGCCCTCGATGAGGCCAGCACATGGGTACTCAGTGCTTCGAACAACAGTGTCATTGGCCTTCACCCACAGCAGACTGTTCCTCTCTTTGCGCTCAATGTAGTAACCCGTGATGGGACTGCCTCCGTCACTCTCTGGCTTATCCCAGGCCACAAACATACAGTCTTTGTTGGTCTTGTTGATGCGGCAGTTAAAGGGTTCACTTGGAACATCTAGTGACAGTAAACAAAGTTAATCTATATTCTGTACTGCAAACCAGTTTTCAATTATATAATTGACCAACTCTAGGCATAAACCTTAATCTCTACCAAGCGGCATATTTAGGTAGACCTACCAAAGGGGAACTTTGCAACCATCCTGTCGGATTGAATGGGGTCTGATACGCCAAAGCGGTTCTCAGCACGGATGCGGAACACATACTCCTTCCCAGGGATAAGCTTTCCCAGCCTGCAATTAGTCTTTGGGCATGTAGAGAGAGCAGTCACCCAGTCGCCTCTACTCACATCACATTTCTCCACCACGTAGTTAGTGATGTTGCTCCCTCCATCCTCCAGAGGTTTATTCCAGGATAAGGAACAAGCATCAGAGTCAATATCGCTGATCTCTACAGGGCCCTCAGGAGGCCCGGGTATATCTGAAATACACACGGTTACAGTTACACCAATCATGTTCTTCATCACATTCATGCTTTCTGTTGCTGAGGTCAAATATGCAAATTCTTTTTTAAAATTTATTATTATTTAGGGGCACTGACCTCTGATGACAATCTTCATGGTCTGGGTCACCTTTGCAGTGCTGTTCTCAGCCACAAGGCTGTACTCTCCAGTGTCAGTCCTTGATACGTCTTTGATGATCAAGACACACAAGTTGCCTGACTGATGCACAGCCAGGCAGCTAGATGGAACCACGGCTTTTTCGCCACGCAGCCACTTGCAGGTTGGGGTCGGTTTTCCTGAAACCACTGCCTCCACTCTAAGCTTGGCTCCAGCTCTAGCACTTGCTGCCTCTGGCATGACAATCTTTGGTTCCACTGGAGGACAGGATGTGAAAAGACATTACTCTGGGATGCAGAAAGCAGCTTCTAATTCAGCACTAATATATATATATATATATATATATACATACATACATACATACATACATACATACATACATACATACATACATACATACATACATACATACACACACACATATATGTGGATTAAAATCACAACAACAGTCACCTCAAGGTGCTTTATAATGTAAAAATACAATATTAGAAAGAATCCCCAAAATCAGATTGACTGAGCACTTATTGACAGAACCAGGCTCACAGAGGGGCAGCCATCAGCCAGGACTGTTTGGGATGACGGAAGGAAGAAGACAGCAGAGTGAAGCAAGACAGCAGACAGAGCCAGAGTTTAAAAATGACTAATGATTAAATTAAATGAAATGATTAAATATAAGAGGGTAAAAATATAAGAAACACACAGTGAGTGAAGAACACCCAGTGCATCATGAGAATCCCCAGCAGCCTACGTCTATTGCAGCATAACTAAGGGAGGATTCAGGGTCACCTGGTCCAGCCCTAACTATATGCTTTAGCAAAAAGGAAATTTGAAGCCTAATCTTGAAAGTAGAGATAGTGTCTGTCTCCTGAATCCAAACTGGAAGCTGGTTCCACAGAAGAGGGGCCTGAAAACTGAAGGCTCTGCCTCCCATTCTACTTTTAAATACTCTAGGAACAACAAGTAGGCCTGCAGAGCGAGAGCCAAGTGCTCTAATAGGGTGATATGGTGAGGAGCAGAATTTTAAGTTTGATTCTGAACTTAACAGGATGAGAATGAGAAGAAGCCAGAATGAAAAAAATGTGGTCTCTCTAGTCCTAGTTACTACTCTCCCTGCGGCACTGTGGATCATCTGAAGCCTTTCAGGAACCTTTTAGAGAAACATGAAGTAATAAATGTATGAAAGAAACCAGTCCTAGGGTGAGCCTCACCCCTCAGCCTGAATTTAACAAGCAGTTAAAAAAGTGAAAGGATGGTTGAGTGTTTCTAAATATTGCAAATTGCAACACAAATGGCCACAGTGTGACAAATTATCAATAAAACTAGTGTTTAATTAGACACAACTTACACATCTGTTCCTTGATCTCAACAGGGTCTCTGGTTTCAGTGAACAAGCTGAGACCCATGATGTTTTTGGCAGCCACTCTGAACTTGTACCTCTTGCCCTCCTTCAGTCCACTGATGCTGACTGTCAAACCTTTAACTGTAGTATAAGCGTTCCACACTTCCTTTTCAGGCTCTGGCTTCTCTTCCTCCTCTATAACTGGTGGTGGTGGAGGTGGTGGAGGAGCTTCCTCTCCTTCAGGAACCTGCAGTAAATTATATAATTAATGAGTAGCAAAACTATATGAGAGAATATGCTCATGTAAAAAACCCCAGCAAAAGTAAATACTATATATGAAACAATTTCACATTTAGAAGAAATCAAAGTTTATTGAAGCTTTTTTGAACAGAATTAGTTTTGTGACATAACAAACCTCCACAGCTGCTGGTGGCTCTGGAGGAGGTTTGACCTCAATGTATTCAATTACATAACCATCAATCTTGGCACCACCGTCCCCTGCAGGCTTCACCCACCCGACCAAAGCACTGTTCTTTGTGATTTCTAGGACTTCAATTTTCTGACAAGGATCTGGCTTGCCTATAAAAACAAAGTAAAACACTTGTGTTCAATTGTTTGCTGTGACTGATGAAACATCATATCTGTGTTTAACGGGTAGCTATCAGTTGTGGCCGGGCTGTTTGTGTTGATGTAATTAAGACATGATACGTACTGACAGGATCAGAAGCCAGGTAAGAAGTGGGTGTCACTTTGGGAACCCCAGAACCATACTCATTGACAGCTGTGACCCTGAAGTAGTATTCTGTTCCTGGCATCAGATTGGTGACTTTGAATGGAATCTTATCGAGTGCTACTTCGGCCTTGACAGTTGCCCAGGTTTTGCGGTCAATCTCACGCTTCTCAACAATATAATGTGTGACGTCACTGCCACCATTGTTCTCTGGAGGGCTCCAAGACAGCATTGCTGATGTCTGTTTGATGTCTGTAGCTTCCAGATTCATCACGGGTCCAGGAGTGTCTGTTATGATATTTGGATTATTTTATAACTTCACCAAAATAAAAGCATTTTTAATAAACTGTATGGTAGCTGCATGAATTTCTTAATGACCAGGACTTACCCAGAACCTTCACATTGACAAACACAGCTTTCTCTCCAGCAGGATTCTGCAGAGTCAGGCAGTATTTTCCAGATTCATCACGTGTGCTGTTGGGAATGACCAGGAAGGTCATGGTGTCAATGATGTCAACTTTACCCTTCCTGACCACGTTGTCAATACCCATCCTCCTCCAAATCACCTTTGGAGGTGGTCTGCCTCTGATGGTGGCACATAATCTGATGGGACAACCGGCTCTTAAGGTTAATCCCTGTTTTAGGTTGGCATCCAAGTCTATCTCGGGTGTCTCTGTTGGAAGAATAACAGTGGAGTTATCTTTTAATAGCAAGCATAGATCACATTTTATTGTAAATTCACTGTCCTCGAGTCTAAATACATTTTCTGTTACACTTTACGTGAATTATAATTAAATTCAATTACGTCCTCACCTAGAATCTCCCTGGGAATCACAGCGCCTTCCAGATTGCATGGCAGGCTCATGCCCACCTGGTTCTGAGCTGACACTCTGAATTCATACACAAGGTTCTCATCCAGACTTGTGACTGTGAACTCGCATATGATCAGCTGAGCTGCCACGTTGCACCTCTTCCAGCCATCTTCACCTTTCTTAACAGATCCCTTTGCCCTCATCTCCACAACATAACCAATGATGGGAGCTCCGCCATCTGACACCGGCTTGGTCCATCCCAAGGTGACTGTGGATTTGGTGCTGTCCACAACCTTCAAGTTAGTAGGAGGTGCAGGTGGCTCTGTAATAAGAGAAGAACGGTTTGTGTAGCCATTGAGACTTTCTAGACTATCAACATTAAGCAGAATGTAAACATTATTACTAGCAACATACCAACTGCATCCTTAGCAGTGATTGCACGTGAAGCCTTGCTTGGGTTGCTGATGCCAATTTCATTCACCGCCTTCACTCTGTATTGGTATTCATGAAGTGGAAGGAGTCCAGTAACTGTGAAACGAGTTCCAGGAATTGGATCCTTGTTGACAGGAGACCACTTAACAGCATGCTCCTCTTTCTTCTCCAACAGATATCCTGTGATTGGCTTTCCACCATCTTTCTCTGGCTCTGACCACTGAACAGTCATCTCCTCCTTGGCAATCTTGATGACCTCTGGTGCTTCTGGAGCACCAGGTACACTGAACTGCGTTCCAGCAACAATAGCTTCACTCTGTACTGCTGGTCCAGAGCCCATCTTATTCTCGGCTCTAACTCTGAACATATACTCATTACCCTCAATAAGACGAGTTACCTTCGCTTTGTTGGTGATGACAGCATTGGAGTGAACAGACCAGACTCCCCTCTTGGTCTCACATTTCTCAATTATGTAGTTGTAGATATCACAGCCACCATCATCCTCTGGGATTTCCCAGGCCAGATGACACCTGTCATTAGTGATACCGGATATCTTGAGATCCCTGATGGGGCCAGGTCTATCCAGTACAATGACCTTGGCATGAGCAGAGCATGTTCCTGCATTGTTGGAGGCAGTAACAGCATATTTGCCACTGTCAGTGCGCCTTGCTCCAGTAATCAGAAGTTTAGAGAAGTCTGCACCACTTTCGATTTGAAGCCTGGGGCCCTTCTTAATCTCCTCTGTGCTTTCATCCCTGGTCCATTTGATATCAGGCTGGGGTTTGCCCGTCACTGTTGCCTCTATAGGAATGGAGCCTCCTGCTTTCACTATAAGGGTTCCATCCAATTTAATCTTGATCTCAGGGATCACTAACTGTTCCTTAACCATGACTTCAGCTGTGGTAACCCAGTTGCTTTCACCGCCCTCATTCTTAGTCTGAACTCTGAACTGGTAGATCTGGTTTTCGATACATCTGTCGGCCATGAAGTAAGTCTCCTTGATGGCACCCTTGTGAAGCCTCTCCCACTCATCAGCCTCCTTTGGTTTCTTTTCAATATGATAACCCAGATTACGGCTACCACCATCATAATCTGGCTTCTTCCACTTCAAGAAGCAGAAGGTCTTGCCTATCTCAGATATATGGAAGTCAATGGGATCACCAGGTTTCTCAATGGGATCAACTGCCAATACAGGTGTCTTGGTCTCAGTGGGTGGACCAGTGCCAATCTTGTTCTCTGCGCTGACCCGGAAGAAATATTCACAACTTTCTGTAAGAGGAGCCTTTATCAGACGCTTAGTACAGTCATTGGAAACCACTGTCCATCCTCGCTGGCTGGGCTGACGACATTCAATAATGTACTGCGTGATCTCAGTTCCTCCATTGTCTTCAGGGTTCTCCCAGGAAACCATGCAGGATTTCTTGGTCACATAAGCCACTTTTATATTCTGGCAAGCTCCCGGTGTGTCTAGGACATTGACAACAATGGCAGCCTGTGCCTGCCCGCTGCTGTTCTTAGCCACAATAGCATATTTACCATAGTCTGATCTGACTGCATCGTTTATGATGAGTTCACACAGTGGGTAGTTGTTGTTCATCTGTGTGCGCTTATCCCTGGCCAAAGCTCTGGCATCCTTGGTCCAAGTGATCTCTGGATCGGGTCTGCCTTTGACTCTAGTGATCAAACTGATAATCTGACCTGCTCTGACTGTCACAGAGTCACGGCATGACACATCAACAACAACTTCAGGTGGTACCAGGATGTCCTTTGCCAAGATAGTCTGAGGTAGCTCCTTGGGTTCACTGTCTCCAACCTTATTGGTGGCTCTGATGCGGAGTCTGTACTCTAGTCCTTCGATGAGGCCTGGAACTCTATAGGCACACATCTTGACAAGGTCTTTGTTGATTCTGTCCCACTGGGCAGTTCCTGACTTCTGAGCCTCAATTACATACCCCAGAATGGGACTACCTCCATCTCTTGTAGGCTTGGTCCAACAGATGTCAGCATGGGACTTACTCCAGTCTTTCAGTTTAAGATTACCAGGGGGGCCAGGTTTGGTGATGGCTCGGGTGGCCTTGATGGGATCAGAGGTAAGCGAGGGCTCACTGATACCAGCAATGTTTTCTGCAAATACTCTGAACTCATAAGTGTTCCCTTCAAATAAGCCAGAGACTCTATATCTGAGGTCGAGAACAGGTGTTTTATTGACACGGATCCACTTTCCTGTCATTTCTCTGCGTTCAACCACATAACCACTGATAGGACTTCCTCCATCATAGTCAGGCAGGCTCCATGACACTGTTACAGCATTCTCTGTTATATCAGAACATTCTGGTAGGCCTGGTGGGCCGGGAGGGTTAAACATGTGTTTGGCAATAGTTGGAGGACTCTCAAGTGGAGCACCGATACCAATCTTGTTCTCCGCACGCACACGGACAATGTACTCACGGCCTTTCTCTAGTCTGGACACCTTGGCTCTGGTCACTGTGCCACTGGAGCTAACCACAGACCAAGGTTCCCATGGTTTTTTCACATCCTTCTTTTCCACCACATAGTTAGTGATAGGTGTTCCACCATCATCCTTTGGGGCTCTCCATTGGATCATCATGTAATCAGGGGTGACTTCCAAAATATTAATGGGTCCAATGGGTGGACCTGGAAGATCCAGGACGGTCACATGAAGGGCAACAGTTTTGCTGCCTGCAGGATTTGACACAGTGAGTATATACTCTCCAGTGTCTGCTCTCTGGCACTCAGGGATACTTAGGGTGGTTGTGGATTCAGCTGACTGAATGTGATAGCGGCCCTCAGATGTGATCTCTTTGCCATCAGTCATCCATTTGGCAGTGGGAAGAGGGATTCCCACCATCTTGGCTGGAAGAGCAATAGTGGTGCCAGCTTTGACAATGAGACCCTCAATAAGCTTTACATCAACTTCAATAGTAGGTGGCACTGAAAGAGAGTAACAGAGCAGAAATATTATAATTATTTCAGGAGAATGTTGAGCATTTACAATACAGCAAAGTTATGCTTCTTACATGTTTTCTCCTGACATGTGACAGGGACACTGGTGTCGGGACGGCTCACGCCAATGGCGTTCTGAGCTTTGACCCTGAAGCGGTAAGTCTTGCCCTCCTCCAGACCTGTGACATGGGTGTGATTGTTGCTTACGGTCTTGAAGGTGACCCAGTCAGTCTGACCCTCTTCTTGGTGCTCCACAATGAAGCCAGTAATTTCACTTCCGCCGGTGCGGTCAGGCCACTCCCATGCCAACCAAACCTCTGTCTTATCTGCATCAGTATGGTGCAGGTTCTTGGGTGGGCCAGGAGGATCTAAAGTATCCAGGAAATAAGAAATTAATTGCTTTTTAATGCTTTTTATTGATGGGATTCAAATGTATAAATTTACAGTTACACTTTTAAAGTTTCACTTTATTCTAGTTTTATTTATTTAGCGCCAAAAACAACATTTGCCTCAAGACACTTTTTATTGTAAGATAAAGACCCTACAATAATAACATGGCATACAACTATCAATTTACCAAAGTAGCTGAAGAATCACTATTTAAAAGTGTGTCAAATTAGACCACGTCACGCAGTAATGACTTTCACTTACAGAGAGGATCGACAGCCTTGATGGGTGTTTTGGTCACTACATAATCACTCCTGCCAAACTGGTTCTCTGCAGCTACCCTGAACAAATACTGGATTCCTTCCATCAGGTACATGGCCATCAGACTCAGTTTCTTATTGGCCGCAGCAACAGGTACCCACTGCTCAGCAGCCACGTTCTTCTTCTGCACGATGTAATGAGAGATGACGGCACCGCCATTGTCCTCTGGAGCCTTCCACGTGAGGTAGGCAGACTCACTGGTCACATCAGAGATTGCCAAGTCCCTGGGAGGAGAAGGCTTGTCTAGCGGAAACAAAAGTTTGTGGTCAAGTAAAACTCAAATATGATCTGAACTCAATAATTCATCGTATTAACAGAGAGTGAATTTACTCAGCACAAGCACAGCAACGGTTGCTGTCTTCTTTCCAGCAGCATTCTCAACAGTGATGGTGTAGTTGCCAGAGTCTGCACGGACGCACTTCGGGATGAAGACTTTGCTGCCAGTGGCAGTAACAGCGACGGTGATGTGAGCAGGAACGTCTGCATCGTTCTTCTTCCAGCTGACTGTGGGCGTCGGCACACCTTTGATGGTTGCACTCAGGGTGATGTCAGTGCCCAGCATGGCCAGGTGGTCACGTGCCATGTTGGCATCCAGCAGCAACTCTGGTTCCTCTGTGGAGGCAAATGGAAAAAAGTTTACAGAATTTAGTAAATGTAGGGGGAAAAAGGCAGAAAGCCCTGGCAGCTAAGCAAAAATGCATTCAAATGATAAATCTTTAATACAATTGAAAATATTGTAACATAATTTGTTTATTTTGCACATTTCTATATGTTTCTGTATTTAAAGAATATGTTGTTCAAAAAACTTAAAATACAGAAAAAAAACAAGTGCAACTGATTCTATTACCAAGCCTGTCATGGACTTTAATGGTGTCCTTGACATAAGCAGGATCTGATTTGCCGGCAGCATTGACAGTGAAGATCCTGAATTTGTACTCGTGTCCTTCAGCCAGCCCTGTCACCACATAGTGGAGGTCAGGGCACTGCTCTGGGGTTTCGTTGGCTTGCATCCACTCTACGGCACCAGGTGTCTGGTACTCCACAAGGTATCCAAAGATTCGTCCCCTCCCGTCGTGGCGTGGCATCTTCCACTTCAGGCTGACGGAGTCCTTGGTCTTATCATAGGCCTCGGGGGTCACAGGAGGACTGGGGCGCACTGTGATAAAAAAAAATAAAAAAAATCTGAAACGCTTTCTTAATCCTAGTAGCAAAGATGGGCACCTAAAATATTTGTAACTTTATGGCAGGGACCTTTTATGCACAAGGAACACCTGAGTATAGTACTGTTTTTACAAATATTTAATGTCTTTGACAAACTAACCAATAGGGTCTTTGGCAAGTATGGGCTTGGAGGGGACACTGGGATCTCCAGGTCCGAGCTCATTCTCAGCCATCACCCTGAATTCATACTCGCAGCCCTCCACTAGATCCTGGACTCGATACTGAGTGGCTGGGTACAGTGGGTCTCTGGTGACCCTGGACCACCTCTTGGCTGTGGTCTCTTTTTTCTCCAGGATGTAGTTGGTGATGGGCTTTCCACCATCACGAGGCCGGTTCCACAGCACTAGAGCATTGGTGCCATACACCTCCCTGACTGTTGGCATTTCAGGGGCTTCGGGGACTCCTGCAGGAAGGCAGCAAGAGCAAAGAGACACATAGGGAACGACATTTGGTAACTTTGAGCATACCAGTTATTTGCAGATCATTTATCATTTTTCTTTTGCTGTTTTTTTTGGTAAATTCTTCATACGTCTTCCAGTTAAAAAGAACATTTTTTCTCACTGGTAATTTGACACCTCAAACTGGAACAGCAAAAAAAATAGCACTCCATGAACGTACTGAAGAGATCTTTGGCTTTCATCTCCTCAGATTCCAGAGGGTCGCTGATACCGTACATGTTCTCAGCACAGATTCTCATTATATACTCCCTGCCCTCTGTCAGCTTGGGGATCTGAGAAGAAACAACAACATGTAAGCATCTCTCAACTGCAGCAAACCTTTAACAGGACCTCTGAACATCTTGTAGAGCCACATCAGCCTACTTTGCATGTGGTCTTGGTGGTGGCAGATGTTACTGTGGTCCAGGTTTCTCTGTTGATGTCTCTTTTCTCAATTATGTAATTAGAGACATCAACACCACCACTGTCCAAAGGAGGCTTCCAGGAGATCACCATGTATTCCCTGTGAACCTCCTCAAACACCACTGGGCCAACAGGAGGAGTCGGGCGGTCTGGAGGGCAGAAAGAAAAGACAAAGAGAAATGAGTTCTCTGTTGTGTGATCACGCACTCCCTGCATTATTTAGAAAGCTTGTATTTCAGTCTGCTTGAAAGCAGTAAATGTAAAATAAATCAGTCATTTAGCTGCTACGTCTCTTTGAGATCTGTGTTGACGTACCAACAACCGTGATGTTGCAGACTCCCTTCCTGGATCCGGTACTGTTCTCTACAACGACCACGTATCTGCCGCTGTGTTCACGCTCTGCCTTCATCAGGCCCAGCGACATGGTGGTTAGCGTGTTCTTGAACATGATGTGTTTGTCAACTTTCAGCTCCTTGTCGTCACAATACCACGTGATGGATGGAGGTGGTTTACCAGTATAGCGGCCCTGCAGCAGGCAGCTCTCCCCCACGCGGATGATGATCTTATCGCGGAAATCCAGCTCAATGGTGGGCGGCTCTGTGAAAACGGAAAGCATCATTTTTAATATTTAATACATTTAGGATGATCTCGACATTTCTGTTTTCGATTTTGCCTTACTGGGAGTAAGAAACCACACTGGCATGTGGAGTCTGATAAAAAAAAGTAATTTTATTCAAAGTACTTTTTTTTCATTTGTTGTTCCTTCTTGTTGTTATTTTTTCTAATGGATATTTTCTAATACGAGTGATGCTGACCATTGAATTGTCACTGCTTTCAGTAATAATGGTTATACTTAGACTATACTGGTTTTTTTTCATTGCTTCTCCATGTTGGCTTAGTGTTAACATGGTGCAACATGTTGTGTTGCTGTTCATCTCAGGTTGTGTTTACCTAATTTAAAGACCCACTAAGAACATTTTATTATGTAACGTGAAAAAACTTTTATTCTGACTGTATTTTTGGAGCAAACTGTGTAACCTGATGAAGACGATCTGTGAATCCAGAAATGAAATTTCAATTCAATATTATTTTTATATTTATATATTTATTTATAACAGTTTGCTCAGGTTGCTTTATATTGTATATGACAAAGAAGTGGCCTCTCACAGAGATCTTCTGACATGATGTTCCTCATGGAAATCAATCATTTCACTGTTTTTCATTTTTATTTTTTGTTGATGACACTGGCATGTTTTACTGAACCCTGTTCGCTGCCAATAATAATGCAGTTCTAATATGGACAACCGCTTACCCAGCTCGTCCTTGCAGGTGACTGGTTTGGTGCAGAAAGACGGTTTGCTGGGGCCAACCTCATTGACAGCAATGACCCTAAACTCATAGGTGTCACCCTCCCTGAGGCCATCGTAGGTGTATTTCCTGTCCATCAGGTGCTCCTTTGTCAGTCTAGTGAATTTGTCTTTGCCAATCATGCGTGCTTCCAGGATATACATAGTGATCTCTGAGCCACCGTCATACTTGGGCGCCTTCCAAGCAATGCTGATCAAATCTTTGGTGACCTTGGTGACTTCCACCTCCTCTGGTCGGTCAGGAACACCTACAAAACAAACATACAAACATTCTTCACATCTGAAGACAGGAACTCGCTTAGTGATTTAGATTTGTACTCTTGGTTGGATCAGATAACCTTCTTCATTTCTTTAGTGCAGTAAAAGACCTCTAGTGTCCAATGGCCACTATGTTTGTTTAATTAAACTCACTGATGGGTTCCTTGACGACAATCTCAGCTGCAGTCTCCAGAAAGGGTCCAATACCGATGGCATTCTCTGCAGCTACTCTGAAGAAGTAGGCCTTTCCAGGTGTGAGGTCATGAGCCACAGCGTTCTGTCTGCTGGCGGTGTAGGACAGCGACGTCCAGACTTTGCGCTCAGCCTCACGTTTCTCAATAATGAAGTTGCTTATAGGTGAGCCGCCATCATTCTCAGGGAAGAACCAGTTGATTTTGCAGGAGTCACTGCTCAGGTTCTCTGCAACTAAGGGGATGCCTACTGGCCCGGGAACATCTAAGAAGGACACAATCAAACGTAATAAATACATATTTACAATTTCTGTGGGTTTTAAATGTCCAACAATTCCATTTTAATGAAAACAGTGTGTTACCCAGAACTTCCACTGTGATCTTCTTTGTCTTCTCTCCTCCAGCATTTTTGGCGGTCAGTGTGTACACACCAAGGTGTTTCCTAGTGCAAGGTTTGATGACAAGAGATGAGCTGATGGCTGTGGTCTCCACTTTAGCCTCAGGAGGCAGTGCAGCTCCATCTCTACTCCAGGTGACATCGGGGGATGGCTGGCCTGACACGTAGGCAATGATTCGGATCACGCCGCCAGCGTGGACCACTATTCTTTCTTTCACCGAGGCATCCAAGTCGACCTCAGGCGCAACTGGAAGGAAGAAACTCAGTAGTCTATTCCAAAAGGACTCCATATAGGTCTTTTAAGTCATTGCTGGGAGAACTTTGACTAAATTAGCGGACCGACTTACCAATTCTGTCATTCACTTCGAGAACCTCTGGGACTTCTCCTGGCTCACCATTGCCAGCAGCATTGAAGGCAATCACTCTGAACCTGTATTTACCACCAGTCTTCAGACCAGTGATCACAAACCGGGTGCCACGGATTTCCGTGTCCTTGGCCTAAAAGACATGAAAATGGAGTGGATCTAACAGACAGACGAATGTTTAAATGGTTTATTCTAATAAGACACTAAGGCTTTGTGCTTCATGAGAAGTTGCGGTTTATTCATGTTGGGTTGGGACCTCATGAAATGATTTGGCTTCTTTTGTTTGCTAAGTTTGGCCTCATGATAGATGTGCCAGTCAATGAAGTTATCAGATGTTTGGTTTGTAGAACTGTATTACCTTGACCCAGGCTTCAGTGCCCTCCTCTTTGTGCTCCACCCAATAACCAATGATCTTGGAGCCTCCATCCTTCAGAGGAGGAATCCACTCCAGGTCCACTGTAGACTTTGTCCAGTCAGAAACCTTTGGGGTTGGAGGAGATGGCGGCGCTACAGGAGGAGACAGAGGTGGTTAATATTGTGTCCTTAAAACCTGTATGAATTCTAGTGATTTCAGAGTGTAATTCTTACTGATAGGGTCTCTGGCAAAGATGGGGTCAGTGGGAGGGCTGGCAAGTCCGGGCCCTGCGGCATTGATGGCAGAGACTCGGAATAGATACTGGGATCCCTCAACGAGTCCGCTCACCACAAACGACTCGCCCAGGCCCATGGGACGGATCGGGTCGCGGGTGACACGGGTCCAGCGTTTGCCAGTTGTCTCCTTGCGTTCCAGCCAGTAGCCAGTGATCGGGGACCCCCCATCGTCCTCAGGTTCTTCCCAGTTAACGGTCATGGAGTCCACGGTTACGCTGGTAACTGTCGGCTTTTCAACCTGACCAGGTGCAGCTGCAGGTGCGCAGACACATAGCATCAAAGGTTAGAGGATTAGAAGGCCTGATGCAGGTCGTACCCGTACATCTTTTACATTTTGATCCTCACTTTCACTTTTAAATAAGAACATTTGATTTGATAGTTTCGCATGACTTGTTAAAATCTCACAGCTATTATTGTGCTGATGGTTAAGAATGACTAAAAGATGGATTACTGCTTGGTATGTTTTCTGAGTGTCATCCTCTATTACAAAGCCCTCCTGCTGTCGTTTAGCATAACAATGCAACAGAAGATGTGAAAAGAATTATATTATTGCATGCTGTATATGAAGCTTCCTTAAACGTGACTGACTTTAAATCGACCCATTAATGGTTTCATAGCTTTGTTTGCTGCTGAGAGTCAGATGGTTAAACTCACTGTAGAGATTTCGGGCCACCTCGGGCTCACTGTCCAATGGCTCTCCGACTCCATACTTGTTCTGTGCCATAATGCGGAACACGTACTCATGTCCTTTCATCAAGTTCTCCACTGTCCAGATCCGCTCTTTCGGCTCACTGGTGACAGGCACCCAAGTCTTTCTGTTGGCCACCCGCCTCCAGATGACGTAGTTCGTGACTTTGGAGCCACCATCGTCCTTCGGCGGCAGCCAGGAAAGCGTGATCTTCTCAGCTCCAATCTCCTCAAACTTAATGGGAGCAGAGGGAGGACCGGGACGGCCTGCAGGCACACAAAATCAAGACTCAAATAATGCTGTGGAAATTATTCTGGTGAACGATAACTGTAATTCCAGCAATTTACTCCACCACACCGACTATCATGAAAATAAATAATTAATATGAAAGTTAAAATAAAACATGAGATATTTTAGATATATTTGCGGTGTGTTTTGTGATTGTACCGAGCACGTTGAGCCTCATCTCCTTGGAGGCCTTGCCAAGGCTGTTGGAAGCCACCAGCGTGTACAGGCCTGTGTCGGGACGTTTGCCCTGCTGGATGAGCAGTGTGCAGCTGTCGTCCGAAACAATCTTATTTATATGCTCGTCGTACTGAACCTCCACCTTCGCGTCGGACTTGTGGGGCGGAGCCTTGTACCAGGTGAGTGTAGGGAATGGACAGCCACGAATTTGGGCCACAATGCTAATGTCGGAGCCCTGCTCCACCTCCATGAACTCATTCAGCTCGATGGATGGAGCACCTGGAGGACGAAATAAAGGATTTGACAGTTATTTGCTTTTTAATTGCATTTTGGCAGCTTGTCTTTCTAGGTGGAAATCTAACACTGACGAAAGTAAATATGGGCAATACTCAAGGTAATGTCCATAAAATATTGTGCTTTGTTTATTTTATGAAAGGTACTGATAGTCATTACATACTGCTGTTGGGACACTGTAACTTGAGGTTAAAAAGGACATAATTTACAAACAGAACATCCAGCTCTGCATCCATCACATTTCACAGGTTAGCACCCATAAAATGACAAATATGACTAAAGTACTGAAGTGTACTGTTACTACACAGTGTAGCTGCATATGTGCAGAGGTGCACGTTATGTAGGGTTTTAAGTGACAATATAAGGAGCTGTTGAACGGACTCAATACTGAACTGAAAATCAAACTCTGCAGCTCCACTGCCCATTTTATTAAATTTCTCTTACAGCTCTGGTCCTGGATGATGATTGGTCCAGCAGTAGATGAAGGTCGGCTGGGTCCGACTTCATTGTAAGCCATCACCCTGAACTCATACTCATCTCCCTCTGTAAGGTCCTCCACTTTAAAGCTGGTGGTGTCCACATCTCTCCTGTTGCACCTGGATGTAGCACAACATGGAGTTACAGCCAAAGCCAACACAACAGCAGCTCGAAAAGGTAAAGATGAGTCTCTATTGGCTTACAAAGAAAAAAAAAATCTTCCAGACCTGGGGCGCCTCTGTCAGTGCGCCCCAGGGCAGCTGTGGCTACAATGTAGCTTGCCATCGCCAGTGTGTGAATGTGTGTGTGAATGGGTGGATGACTGAATGTAGTGTGAAGCGCTTTGGGGTCCTTAGGGACTAGAAAAGCGCTATACAAATGCAGGCCATTTACCATTTACCATTTAACAGATTTAGGTCTGTAGTCAGAAAGTCAGAGTAAGTCCATACCACATGTTCTCAAATCGAGTCTCAGCAGAAACCAAGAGAGCAGATGTGTGAAGTTTTACCTCCTCCAGGACTCCTTCTGGGTGCCACTGCTGTCCCAGCAGAGGAGATCCACGCTGTAGTGGGTTACAGGTGAACCACCATCGTTCTTTGGAGCCTTCCAGGTCAGAGTTACTGTGCCCTTCCTGACGCTCTGGATCTTCAACCTTGTTGGAGGATCGGGAGGATCTGCAGACATTACAGACTGGTGTCAGATCACAAGCAGCCACGATGTACATAACACTTGTTTCATCAGGAGTAATGCTGCTGCTGATGAATGTCATTTCTGTCGTGATTTGATCAAATTCAGGATATACCCTTTTCTTCTATGATATAGTGCTCAAGATTTATTTTATTGATTTCAGTTGTGTCTGAAAAGTTAGTCTTGTTATCACATAACTAGTGTGTGGGTTAAAATTGAGTTTAGAGTCAGTCTAAACCAGGGGTGCCAAACTCAAATACACAGTGGGCCAAAATTCAAAACTGGAACAAAGTCGCGGGCTGACGTTAATATTTATTGAAATATATTTAATCCTCCAGATATAAGAATGAATCTTTTCTTTTGGACTCAAACACGCTTTGCTGAAAAACTGAATATGGAACAAGCAAAGCTTAATACTAAACAATATATATATTAGCTGTATGATACCAGCAGGCCAGCTCTGATAGTAATTTGGTATAGCTTCGTGGGCCAAATGTAAGTAGGCTGCCAGAGTTTGACACCTATGGTCTACACTATAAAATCAAATTACAGTGTACAGAAGCAATATTAATTTGTTCAGCAACACTTTGTTAGATGTTTGTTAAGGTCACATTGCTGTGAATAGTGCGCTTTTTCTGTGTATGTCTGACAGTATCATCTGCACATGCTCTGAACATCACGATACAAAAGTAGAAAACAGATAAGATAGTTTGGTTTATATTGGATTTGCACACTGTGTACAAACGGTAAGGTATTATGCTATACTAAAGGTTTCTGTGTATAAAACCCATCTGTTTAGATGAGCCAGAGCAGGAAACAATAGATGATAATAAAAATCGAACGTACGGATTGGATCTCTGGCCTTGGTCCTTTGAATGCTTGCGATGTAGGGGCCAAACCCAAAGCGGTTCTCAGCACGTACACGGAAAAAGTACTCCTGGCCTTCATTCAGATCTGGCACCACCAGAGACTGAGCAGCGCAGGCCGGGTTTACCTGGAAGAACAAGATCAGCGTCAAATACATGGGAGCAAAACAGTGTATAGCTTAATGTGCGTTATTCTGCAGGCTGTACCTTGGTCCATGCTTTTCCCTCTGCTGTTTTCTTTTCAATAAAGTAGCTCTTAACCCTCTCTCCTCCATCACACTCTGGGGGTTTCCAGGTGAGTCTGCATGTTCCCCTGGTCACGTCACTAATCTTCAGGTCTCTGGGAGGTCCGGGCAGGTCTGCCGGGTAACAATCAGTCAAAGACAGAGAGACTCAATGTTTTTTGGCATATTTTAAACTGCTAATTGGACATAATTAACTTAATTAACATATCCTTCTTTAATTTGTATATTTACTTCTATTGTAGTCATTACACACTTTGTAGCACCCTGCCAGGTGTGTCAGTGTGAAAAGCCTTACCGAGGACGCTGACTCTGACTTTGACCACTCTGTGTCCAGCAGGGCTCTCTGCGTTGATAATGTATCTGCCACTGTGGTTTAGTTTGCAGGCTGGGATCACAATCACTGAGGTTGTGTCGGTGGAATGGATCTGCGACAAGAATTTCACCCTCTCCTTAACACATTCAGCACTAACTTTGCTGAGCTATAATTCAGATTGCAAACCATAAAAACAGTAAAGTTTTTGTCTTCTAAGATTATCAGGGCTGAATAATCTTTCAAACCCTTCTTTAGAGGAATGAGCTGAATATATTTTAAAATATTAAAATATGTCATTTGGACAGAATATATGGACGTCTGACCTCTGAGTCAATCGGCAGAGTGTGTAGATCGTTCTTTTTCTCAGTCTCAGCCGTTCCATCGAAAGTCCAGGTGACTTTGGGGACGGGTCGGCCGGTGATGGTGGCAGGAATCTTAATGGTCGTTCCTGCTCTACAGTTTAGCAGGTCGTGAGCAGTCACATCGAGAGTCACCGTTGGCTCAACTGGAGAGAAAAAACATCGGAGGAATACATGCCTTCCTTGAGTTCATGACACACATGGCACACTGTCCTGTTTGATCCTGTCCTTAATGTAAGCTCTGCTTTTAAATCGGTATTGAATTATGCTGCACAAATCAGAATGAGAATATTAAACCTCTGGTGAAAATGAAAACATGTCTGTTATGTCCAGGTCTGTATTAAACAGAGGTTCTTATCTGTGTTTGTATCTCTTACTCAGGATGTCCTGAACCAGGATGTCACCAGTCCTAGCAGGCTCTGAGTTTCCAGCAGAGTTCACCGCGTAAATCTTGAACTTGCACTTCTTGCCTTCCTTCAGGTCAGGTACAGTGATTTCAGTGGAGGGGTGGAGCTTATCAGCAGGATTCACTCTCCTCCAATCAGGAGAGCCCTCCTCATGAACCTCTATAATGTAACCCTTGATTGGGCTCCCGCCATCTTTGTCCGGTGGGGTCCAGGTTAGAGTGACGCTGTTCTTGGTCTTGTCTTTAATTTCAGGATTTCCAGGTATGCTTGGAGGGTCTACGGAAGAAGAACGGAGGGGTCAGGCTGTCTAACTTGACTTTTTTATTTTACCTAATAATCCAATGTGCACATTTTGAACCTGAAGTGCTGTCTATCACCTAGAATGGTTTCGTGTGAGTTACCTAGGCTTGGAGATTTTAGCCATTGGTGTGTCTGCGTCCTTTCATTATTACAGAATGAAAAGGGAACTTTGGTTTTACTCATATGAAATCATCTAAATTAGAGCGCAAAAAAATAACCCAAAAATATAAAGCAGTGTTTTTATCCAAATCTCTGTCTTCCAGTCTAAATCTGAATCATGGATTAACAAAGCTGCTCTGGGGTCACTCACTGCATGGATCCACAGCAAAGCGGCACTCTGTGGCCTCGCTGGGTGGTCCAACACCAGCAGCATTGCAGGCTGAAATCCTGAACTGGTACTCTGTTCCTTCTATGAGCTTCAGCACGGTGTACTGCAGGCCTTTCACTGCCGGTTTGGTGACTGGAGCTCGGTTGACACGACCCCAGTACACAGCACCACGTTCCCTCTTCTCCAGCCAATATCCCTGGATGGTGGAACCACCGTTGTCCAGAGGGGGATCCCAAGTCACGGTCATTGTGGTCGCTGTAGCAGCAATAATTTTTGCATTACGTGGAGGTCCAGGAAGACCAAATGGATCCCGCAGCTGGACTTTCTCTGAGTCGCAGCCATCACTGACGCCATATTTGTTTTCAGCTTTGATCCTGAACTGGTAGCTACCATTCAAGTCCAGTTTGTACACCTGAAGAAGCAGGACACATTTTGTTCTTGATCAGGCATTAAGGATGAATAGCTGTTTGTGTAGGACTATTTTGATAATAATAACATTTCTAATAAAAACAGAAACGTTTCTTATTTGATTACTGGAATAGTTTTTAATGTTTTGACCTGTGTATTTGTCTGTAGACAAACTGCTTTTATCGTTAATACAACAAAATGATTCATTATTATTCATTTTGAATAAGTCTGTGTAGCATCCATGCTCTGCAGCCAAGTCTTACCCCATATCTCCTGTCAATGAGGTTGATGGTGAGAACATCAAAGTCAGACTTTTTCTTGCTTGCATCTCTGCGCTCAACAATGTAGTTAGTAATCTCGCTTCCTCCATTGTCTTCTGGAGCGTCCCAGGTCAGGTAGCACGAGTCTGCTTTGATGTCTGAGACCACGATGTTCCGTGGAGGAAGAGGACGGTCTGAAAATGCAGTGTTAAATTCATGTACAGCTCAGCAATTCGGGATGAAAAATAATGTTTAAATACTGCATATTTAACGTGAAACATTGGAAAAGATGCCGTGTTAAACACAAGCCATTAAAATTATACAAACAGAATTTTAGGTTTTACCGAGGATCTCGACTTTGATGATCTGCTGAGCTTTCCCGTGGCAGTTTTCAGCAACCAGCTTGTAGCTGCCTTTGTCCTGCCTTATGGTTTCTGGGATGGCGATCTTCGTCCTTATGGTTGTCCGGTCCACCTGAAGATAAAACAATTTAATTTGTTGAGGATCTAACTATTTCTAAAATCCAGAGTGCGAAGGGTCAGAGATCCGTTCATCCTCTGTAAAGCAGGATTTTGCTTTTATATTAACTGTGCCAATGATGAAACAGTAAAAAATGTTCTCCATTGCTCCAACATTCAACATGACAAATAGATACAAAGGAACAACAGTGTGGCTTAAATTCATTCGTCACACAAAAACATAGGCAAACGTACATGCATAAGTAAATAAATGTGGGAACTTCTTCCTGTGAAACCAGTAGCTCCACTGAATAACAATACCATAAAACTAAAACTAGTTCTGACCTCCTCAGTCTCCATCGTCATCTTCTCCTCATCGGTCTTCTCGATCACGACGTCATCCTTCATCCACTGCAGTGTCGGCAGAGGAAGTCCCCTCACTTCTGCTGGGATGTCGATGGCGGCGCCTTTCCTCACATTGATGGCGTTGCTCTTGATGAATTTCAAGATTGTAATGCTGGGAGCAACTTTGGCCAACAAAATTGGGAAATTGTGTCAAATCTTTATCAGCCTGACAAAAGCAAAGTATCATCATAACCTTTAGGCCCTTTCACATCAGATATGGCATGTGTTGCACTGACTGCTAACTAAAGCCAAGGGCCCAAAATTTGTGGGGCCTCTGCTTGGAAGTCTGTTTTTTGCAGCCACTCTACGTGTACTATAAACGTGCCTGCTTATCATTTCAAAACATCTCGTTGATTTGAAATCCTCTACGAGAGTTCGTGTTGTATTATGCTCAAATATTTCATAAAACATGCATCACTTATTCATAAAGAAGAAAGCTTTGTAACTATCCCGACTAGTGAAGAGTGTGTCCTTTCCACAACACTGCCTTCCTCCTGAGGTCCGCAGAGCTGTTGAAGGCTTAAAGGCTCGAACTCAAGCGCACAGAATCTTTTCCTTCATATTGTGCTTGAACTTTGCGCAGCTATACGCTTTATTTCTATTGGTTTTGCACATGTGAATGTGATAGGACCTTAAGACTTTGAACATACTCTCATCATCCTGGATCTTGACGGTGATTCTTTTGGATGGATCTCCTTCTCCAACCTCGTTCACGGCTTTGACACGGAAGTCATACTCCTGGTTCTCCGACAGGTTCTCAATGGTTCCACAGCACTCAGTGAAGATCTTGCGGTTGGCCACTTCAAACTCGGTGCTGTCAGACCTCATCTTCTCCACATAGTATCCTCTGATGGGGCTGCCACCATCAGTGCGAGGAGGCTGCCAGGCCAGAGTGATGGTGTTCTTGCTTCTGTTGGTGTAGTGCAGTTTCTCTGGGGCAGATGGTGTACCTGCAACATTTTGAAAGAATTTAGCCATCACTGAAAAAATTGGATCATCAGGCCACTGAATTTTTCATCAGGCTTAATTAATGCCCTAAAGTGTGAGCTAACAGCAGCATCAAGACATATTTGGTAAGCTCACCTTTTGGATCCTCAGCTAAGATGGGACCCAGGTCTGCTGGAAGTCCATCACCATACTTGTTCCTGGCAATGACTCTGAAATCATACTGCTCGCCAGCCAGCAGGCCTTGGACATCACACTTGCAGGATGCAGTCTCAATGGGCTGGCGGAAGAGCTTCATATTGGCATCCTTCTTTAGCACCTCATAACCAATGATATCGCTGCCACCATTATCCACGGGGTCAGACCAGGTGAGGACGATGTTCTTCTTGGTAACTGTAACAGCCTTCAAGTCAACCACCGGCCCAGGAACATCTGCAGGAACCAGGAAAAATATTTCATGTGAACATAACAGTTTTTATCACATAATTTAGATTTCAACAGTAAAGTCTGATCTGAAGTCAGTTCTATCGTTCCCTTCAAAGACCACAACGTGCTTCTGGATTGCAAAAGAAAAAAATGCACATTTGTGTTCTGAGTTCAAAAAGCAAGTTTATTAGTCCTAAAATAACTGAATTTATGTAACACTAACCCATAACATCCACTCTTGTCTCGGCGGTCTTGCTCCCACTGCTGTTGGTGCCGGTGATCTGGTACTTTCCGTGATCTGCCCTCACAGCCTTCTTGATGAACAATGTACTGTTCTTCCCCACGGTCTCCACAATCATCCTCTCTTTGTCGATTTCAGCCTCATCTTTGGCCCATTTTACCTCCGGCTGGGGTCGACCACGGACCACAGCAGGAAGCCTCAGAGACTCGCCGGCCCTAATCATGACGCCGTTCTTCACAGAGTCATCGAAATCCACAACAGGAGATTCTGCAGGACACAAGCCGTTAATCAGAACTGGAAAGCCATCTGTTTTGTGAGGCACAGTTATAAACACTGTCCCACATTAAAAATGCATATGTAAAAGTGCATCTTGCCCCTGTAATAGAACTTCTGGTACCTTGGGGCTCTTTGACGGTAACGGGTTCAGTAACACCAGGAGCTCCTGGGCCTGCGTCATTGACTGCAAGAACCCGGATATAATAATCTGCTCCCTCAGTGAGGCCGGTCACAGTGTACGTCAGCTCTTTACACCTGAACTCGGTGCTGCGGCTCCAGTCTTTCTCTCCGGCCAGAACCTGTGACAAGAGCACAAGAGTTTGACCACGTCCACATCCATGATTCTTAAGAAAGACCCACAGTTGGAGATTTACTGATTATTAAATGTGTAATTCAAGGAGGTTACTTCACAGAGTTTTTCAGACCTTCTCAACGTGGTATCCCAGGATGTCTCCACCACCATTGTACAGCGGGGGCTTCCACGCCACAACAACAGAGTCCTTCCCGGTGTCCACGATCCATGGAATTGGTGGACCAGGAGGCACTGAGTGGAAGAGTGGAACAATGATAGGCTGCACTTGGTCTTTACTGTTACACAATCAAGTTCTTCCTTCAGCAGCATATATGCAGTTTTCTCTATTTATGAGAAATGTGTCATTCATAATTTTGATAATTAAAAAGACTAAAATAATTTCTTGTCGATGAAGATTTTGAAGATTTAATAAAGTTTGCAGGACAACTTTTGAAACATCTTTATCGGTCATAAGAATGTATTAACTTTACTCATCTCAGGTGTGATGACTAGAAAGAAGTAGATCAAACCAAAAAATCTGATGCTACACTTAAGAAAATGTGAGCTTTCTCTTTGAAGTTCTCTTTTGGTATTGCACTCACGGATTTCATCCATGGCGACAATGCGATCGGTCGGATCACTGAAGGGCCCGGGGCCAGCCAGATTCTCAGCACAGACCCTGAAGATGTAGGTCAAGCCCTCCATCAGGCCAGTCACCTTCACCTCGAGAGAGTTGAGGAGGGCTCGGTTGACTCTGGTCCAGTGTTTGCTGTTCACCTCCTTCCTCTCGATCCAGTAACCCAGGATGGGGCTTCCATTGTCCTTTGGCTCATGCCAGGAGATGTGCGCGGTGCTTGCCGTCACCTCGTGGACTCTGGGAGTGTTGGGAGCATCAGGAGGACCTGAGCACAAAGGAGAATATAGGTGACTTTATATTTAACGGTCTTTGCACATTTGACGAACACAGGGAAGAGATGTCTTCATTGTTACCTTCACAATATGGCCATAAGGTTGTGCCATATTGTGCCAGAGTCAAACAATGTTGCTGGTTGTATAAAGAAAAACAACTGCTTTAACATATCATTTGTTTTAACAGAAACTAAAAGTCAGTTTATGTCAATCATGTTAAATTGTTTCCATATTTTTTAACTTCACTATAACCTGTAACTGATCATTAAAAATTGAATTAATGAGTATTTTAAGGATGTATTTAACTTTTAGTATTTAAAAATGGATAATGTGAAATATTGTCTGGATGCACACTCAGTCATCCAGCTAGTAAATCCCAAAAGGTTGATTCTGTTCACCTGGATTTTTTCAGTGCGAGAAACGTTTCATCATCATCAGGTGACCTGAGGTCTCCAACCTTATAAACAGCACATTTGTACAATGACTGAAACCAGCACCAATGGACTGTGATCAGTTTATGATCATTAATATGCATTGACAATCGATCAACAGCCACTGATCCATGGCCATGAGTCCCATTCACAGAGAGCTGGGGAATGGCTGCAATCACAGCATGTAAGATGGTGACAGATGGACACTTACACCCTGGATTTTGTTGAGAAGGTGAGAGATGCCATCATGGAGGCAGATCAAACCATGGTCTCGTATGATGTTACATCTCTCTTCACTTGTGTGCCAGTCACTGAAGCACCGGAGGTAGTTCATAAGAGATTACAGGATGACCCCAACCTCAGCAACAGGATCAATCTCAGCATCGACCAAGTGTGTTTGTGATGGGTTTGTCTAGCACAGACCTATTGCTGGTACGAGACAATTCTACTACAACAGCAAAAACAAGTCACCAGAGCTCTTTGTATGATGACGTGCACGAGGGAGATGCCCGAGACGAGCGCTTATATATTTCTAAGCATAAATGACAATCCAACAATATAAACCTAAGAGTTTGCTTTTGGAACTGTGTCTTCATTCCACCTACTTCACATACAAGAGTCAGTGCTACAGGCAGAAACATGGGTGTGCCATGGGCTCCCAGTTTCACCCATCGTGGCCAATTTGTACATGGAAGAAGTGGAAAAGAGGGCTTTGCTATCCTACCCTGGAACACCACCAAGCCATTGGTTCAGGTATGTGGATGACACCGGGGTGAAAATCAAAGATCAGGATGTACCACATTTCACGGATCACATTAACTCGGTGGACCGACACATCAAATTCACCAGGGAGGATATGAACAGTGGCAGGTTAGCCTTCTTAGACTGTGAGATTTCCATCAGTAATGGGGGACATCTACAAGCTGACGTGTACCGTAAACCTGCACATACAGATCAGTATCTAAGGTTTGACTCTCATCATCCACTGGAGCACAAACTGGGCGTCATCAGGACGCTACAACACAGAGCGAACACCATCCCCACTGACACAACAGCCAGGGAGGCAGAAGAACATCAAGAAGGCCCTGAGTAAGTGTGGTTATCCCAGCTGGACTTTTGTCAAAGAAAGCTCCAGCCGATCCAGGAGAGAAGGACAACCGTTTAGGAGGAGGCCATTTACTTAAAAGGGAAAGACCATCTCTGAATCGAGGAGGGGCCTAAGTGTCCATCTGTCTCCATCTTACAATGCTGTGATTGCAGCCATTCCTCAACTCTCTGTGAGTGGGACTCATGGCCATGGATCAGTGGTTGTTCAATGATCATGTCAAATTGTATATTAATGATCAGTGAACTGACCTCCCAGCCCATTGTTCCTTCAGTGGGCTGGTTTCAGTCATTATGCAAATGTACTGTTTATAAGATTGAGACCTGCAGTCAGCTGAGACTGAAGACGTCACCTGGATGAGTGACAAAATGTTTCTCCCACTGAAATGTCCAGATGAACAGAATCAACCTTTGCGGAATGGAAAAAATTACTTATAATTGAAAGCACAAAATGTTGAATACATGAAATAATTAAAAATAAAAGCTAAACAGATTTATAAATAACACACTGATTTTATTTACATACTGCATAGATGCTTATTTTCATATGTGACATAGAACATGTTTTAAAGAAATACCAGTAACTGCAGTAATTCAGACATTTTTGCATCTGTTAATAAATGCAAATTATTCTTACAAAATATAAAGAATCAATTTTAAGAAATTTGTGTATTTTTTATATTTTTAAAGTCCAAAATACGTTATTGTGACACCGTTAAATTACCACTAAATTACATTAAAAAAAGGAGGTATAATTACTTTTGAAGTTTGTTTGTTTTTTTACAGCTGATTGTTATCAGTCATCACAGTCTTTATTATTTTTATGCTTTTACTCACTGAACTGGTTCTTGGCGACGAGTGGTTCGGAGATGCACGGTGGACCACAGCCATACTTGTTTTCAGCAGTGACTCTGAAGATGTACTCCTTCCCTTCGATGAGCTTGGTGACGGGGCAGCTGGTGCCCTTCAGGGTAGAAGTGACGGTGATCCAGCCAGTCTCGTCCTTCTTGTTGTCTTTCTTCTCCAGAATGTAGTTCAGGATCTCGCTGCCACCATCATCCTCAGGAGGCTCCCAGTTACAGATGACCGACGTGTTCCTGATCTCATCAAAGGTGAAGTTAATCGGAGCACCAGGTTTGTCTGCAATACAAGACAGTCAAGCCAATGTTTAATCTCAATGGCATTTTGGAAATGAATAATTGTTTAACTCTGCTAGCGGCTCTGTAGTAAACATGTTTGCCTAATCAAGATTGTTGAGGTTTTCTCTTTGATATTGCACTCCCTACCTGAAAAGTGGTTTGAGCCGACTGTTGTTAAGAATTGGTTCTATAAGAAAAAAATCTGAACTGAAGTCAATTTCTGAATCAAACTTGGGAGAAGAAAGAATCCCAGGTAGGCTTATGTCAGAAACACTGTGCCAAAGTTAAATATGTGGATCTGTTGTGATTCCTTGCATATAATGGAGAAGCTCACAGACGCTTTTAACTGTGTGAATATACCAGTTATGAAATCTAATCATGTGGCCTCCAGTTAATCGGTAAACTTTATTACCTAGGACGTTGACGACGCAGGAAGCGGTGGCAACACCATGTGTGTTTTCCACCTTGATAGTGAAGCTGCCGTGATCGGTTCTGACGGCATCACGGATCATCAGTGCAGATTGTCCCTTCTTGGTCTGGTCTATACCCAGACGCTCACGCAGGGGAGTCACAAACTCCTCCTCTGGTTCTGGAACCTGCAGCAAGAAATCAGAAAGGTTGAAACACTTGAAACATTCAGGACTTTCAGATGTCTCAGTGAAGACACAAACCTTGGCTTTGGTCTTCTTCTTCTTGATAACAGGAATGAACTTCTTGGTGGGCTCTTTGGTGACATCCTCATCATTTCTCAGCCAGGTGACTTTGGGATATGGGGAGCCAGAGATGTAGGCGTCAATGCAGATTTCCTCACCTTTCTTGATGCAGAGCCCAGATTGAACACGGGCGTGCAGGGTGACCTTGGGTTTTTCTGCAAGGAATGAACGATTTTGACATGTTAGCTCCAACATAAATACACATTTACTTGTGACAGTCACTGATGTTAGCGCATTTGACTTTCACACACCAACAGGGTCTGCAGCCTTGATGGGCTGTGAGCTGCGTGACGGCTCGCTGACTCCGGCAGCATTCTCAGCTCTGACCCTGAACTGGTACTCCATGTCCTCCTTTAGGCCCATCACCACGTAGGAGAAACCAGGGACCAGGCTTGGTGTGACCCTCTCGTAGCGGTCGCCGTCCTTCTCGATCTTCTCTATGATGTAGCCCTGGATGGGACAGCCGCCATCGTAGTCTGGAGCCTTCCAGGTGACTGTGATGGACTTGGACGTTGGGTCATGAGCCTCCACTTGGATGGGTGGGTCTGGTTTCTCTGTGCAATCAATATTAACAACAGAGTCAATGTCTGATGTTTTGATGTTCCAGTTGTTTATGCCTCATATTTTAGGAGTTACACTTGATCTGCTTGGACCCCCTGTCAGTTGTCCTGTATCAGAATCACCTGACTAAATCGGTCCTCATTTTTGTATTGACGGGACAGTTTATGAAGATCATTTCACTTGCAGCATAGTTTGGAAAGTATTCATGTGCTTTTTCAGACTAAACTTTATCTGAAATGGTAATGTTAATGCTCAAAGCAATAAAACAGATTTTAGTTGTTGAACATAAAATGAAACTTACGTTTTATTTCCTCTATAATGACCGGGTTTTGTAACTCCAAATATTGTCCCGCTCCGACCTTGTTGACAGCTTTCACCCTGAAGTAGTACTCACAGTTGACAAAGAGATCTTTGACTGTACTTGTTAGGACATTTTCTCCTGACATAACAGGCATGTAAGTCTTTTTGGACGCTTCACGGCGCTCCAGGGTATAGCTGACAATGGGGGTGCCGCCATCATCCTCTGGAGCTTCCCAGCTGACCTTGCAGCTGTTCTTGGTGACGTCACTGGAGGTGATAGTTTTACACTGACCAGGGAGTCCTACACGGTTTGGGAAAGAAGCAAAACTGTTTAAGAAGATTGCTGCAGAGTGTCTGTGTCTGATAGTGAATAGTGAGTCTGCTTGAGGACTTTTAGACTAAGAATGGATCTAAATCCAAACTTGGAAATTGTTGGTGGTAAACTTTAAATTTGGTTTGCAGAGGACACCATCGCTGAACGGCATATTAACAGCGTTATATGTCCTAAGCATCGAATCGCCTTACCGATGACTTTGACATTGACGGTTCCAGTGGCAGTTCCCAGACTGTTTTCCAGAGTGATGGCATAGGCGCCAGCATCACCGCGGCTGCACTTGAGCAGCTCCAGGTGGGCGCTGTTCATCTCCACTGTCAGGGAGAGCCGGTCACCGGCCTTACACTCCACAGTGTCCTTCTGCCAAACCATCTTGGGTGTCGGGATTGCCCTGTAGGGAATATTCAGGTGCAGCTTCTCACCTTCAACCACTATCACGTCCTTTGCTTCCAAATCCATGGTTGGAGCACCTTGTGAGAAGAACACAGGATTATTACTTAGATTTGTATTATCGGTGCTTTAAGTTCACTTCTTCTGAAGTTCTAAAGTTGAATTCCGTCCTTGCTTACAGTCAGGATCTTTGGTGGCGACCTTATCAGAGACATCAGAGGGATCACTGACTCCGACAGAGTTGATGGCCCGAACCCTAATGACATACTTTTTCTCAGGTTTGATTCCATCATCTATCCTGAAATTTAGCTCCTTGATGGGTCTGCTGTTGACCCTGAGCCACTTTAGTTCTGGACGGGCTTCTGCCACCTCCACATGGTACCCAGTGACAGGACAACCCCCGTCCTTGACCGGAGGCTTCCAGGTGACATTGATGTGCTCCCTGCTGGCATCAGGGATGACCACTTCAAGTGGAGGTGATGGTGCACCTGGAGAGGAAGGAGGTTTCATGCATTTATCTGCAGAAAGTCAACAACTTTTTGTCCTTATTTTATTATTGTTGGGGTTATTTTGGGGGGATATCCCTGCTTAAATACACTGAGCACCAAAAGAATAAAGAAATACAGTTAAAAGTATCTTACTGGTTGGATCTTCAATGGTGAGAATCACGGTGGGTTCACTTGGATCTCCAACTCCAGCCTCGTTCTCAGCTCTGACCTGGAACTGCACTTCTGAACCTTCATCAACATCCGTTACCTTGAACTGAGTCTTTCTGTCCGGAGTTTTGCAGCACTTCAGCCAGCGAGTTCCCACCTTTTCTTTCTTCTCAATCACATACCTGTTAGGCAGATGGTGTTTGTCAAGTACAGCTCTTGAACAGTATGAGATAAACCACGTCTTTTGTCTCACTTTAGAGTTCTCTTACTGAAAGCCTGAATGCGCTGCTTTATGGAAAAACCCACCAAAAAGTGTCCTATAATTGTTCTCGTCTGAATGGCTTTACAGCAGTTTGTCTTACTTTGTTATTGGTCTTCCACCATCGCTATTGGGAGGTTCCCACTTCAGCTCCACGTGTCTCTTGGTGACTTCCACCACTGTCAGTGCATAAGGAGGTCCAGGAGTTGCTGGAGAAAAAGTGAAAAGCATTAACACGTAGAGATAGTGGTTCCTTGGGTTTCACAAAGAAGTAAATTAAAAGGGGAAGACCAATGCTGACTTAAAAAACTCACTAAAAGTGTCCTTGGCAAGAACGGCATCCTCCAGCTCGCAAAATTCACCCATCCCAACGGCATTCTCTGCAGCAACCCGGAACACATACAGCGATCCTTCGTTGAGAGGGGTAACCGTATACTTCTGTTCCTTGACGGTGGTATCGACAGTCTGCCACGCCTTCCGCCTCACGTCCCTCTTTTCAACCACGTAGTTGGTGATGGGTGAGCCGCCATCACTGCTGGGAGGCTGCCACTTTAGGTCTGCGTTAATTTTGGTGATGTTCGCCACCTCCAGCCACTGAGGAGCTGATGGAGGATCTATTGAAGCAAACACAAAGACTTTTACTTTAAAAAATTAAATTCAAGGTCGTATGGTTTTCCAAATGAAAACAACTCTTGATAGCTTATATTTTATAGTCTATAACCTCTACAGACGTCATTTGCTGCCCACTGCTCACACTGGTATCAACTTACAGAGTCTCTCCTTGCAGACCACGGGGTCGCTGGGCTCACTGGGCTCGCTCTCACCAGCCTTATTGACGGCCCTGACTCTGAAAGAGTATTCTTGCTTTTCTATTAGACCCTTCAGCTGATGCTCAGTCTGAGGAACATCCTCTGCAATCTTGATCCATTCCTCGCTTCCAGCCTTCTGGAACTCAATGATGTAGCCTTCAATCTTAGCCCCACCATCGTGCTCTGGACGAGTCCATCCTAACAGGGCTGAGGTCTTGGCAATGTCCCTGATGACAGGTTTACCAGGAGCCCATGGAGGATCTGAAGAAGAGTTATATGAATACTTTTATTTCCTGATCTTTGTGCTGTGCTTTGCAATAAGGAAATTATAATCTTGATACCACAACATCTGACTCAGCCTAAGTAGATTGACTGACATGTGACATACCAATAGGATCTTTGATGAGGATGGGATCAGTCTCTGCACTTGGGTTTCCAGGTCCAGCTAGATTTTCAGCCAGAACACGGAAGCGGTACTTCTTCTTGGCGGTGAGACCCTTTACCCTGCAGCCCAAAATTCAAAGTTAGAAACATGCTTGACAAAAAAATGGTCCACACTGTTAGCTGAAGGACTTTCACCATCACTCCTGCCACTTGTACCTTCAGGTACTTAGTTACCTGAATGTTGTGTCCGAGATGGGTAGTTTGTTACATCTGATCCACTTGTCACTCTCCGGATCTAACTTCTCAATCCAGTATCCAGTGATGGGGCTACCGCCATCCTCGTCAGGCTCTAACCAGGTCAGAGTGACAGCGTCCTTGGCGATGTCAGAGGGAGTGATTCTGGTTGGGGGACCCGGAGGATCTGAAACAGATGAAAAATAAAAGGATTTATCTACGGTTCACCTGCACAGGCTGGAAATAAATCACCGGAGAGTAGTATAAAACAACGTACCGAAGGAATACTTGGCAGTGATTGGCACATGCTCTGCAGGTTCACCAATGCCATACTGGTTCTCAGCACTGACCCTGAAAATGTACTCTTTCAATGCTGTGAGCTTGGTGGCCTTGAAGGTGGTGTGCTTCACCGTGGCTGACAGCTTGACCCACTCCTCCTTGTCAGTCTGACGACTTTCCACAATGTAGTTGGTGATGGGAGACCCACCATCATCTCTGGGAGGGTTCCAGGCCAGGACGCAGGATTCGTTGGTGATTTCAGAGATATCTAAAGCAGCTGGAGGGCCCGGTTTATCTAAAGAGGAGGGGCCAAAATTAAAATCATAACCAAGATAATGGTAATGCAAGACATCTGGAGGTGCCACAACTGCTTAGCAGGCTCGGCGATATAGGATAACCCTATAAAATGGTCTGTCCAGTATGTTATGCTAAGATTATTTTCATATCTTTAATCAAAAAAGGAGATGCTTTTCCCATTTTCTGACTAACTTAAAATCACCTGGTAGCATGAAAATCCTGTAGCTGTAAGGAACTCTAGGATTTCTACAGTAAAGGAAGTTTACTCTCATGTTTTCATTGCCATCACAGCTATCATTTGTCTTCTACGATAAGAAATCAGCTTTTGTACCCAGGATGTTGACATCAATAGTGGCAGTGGCTCGTCCACAGGCATTGACTGCCTCAATGATGTAGGTGGCGGTGTCTCCTCTGGTGGTGTTGTCAATGGAAACCTTCGAGTGTCCTGGCTGGGTGTCGATGGCAATGCGGTTATCAGCCCGCAGGACCACGTCTGCTTTGGTCCACTTCACCCGGGGATCGGGCTTCCCTTTCACATCTGCAGGAAGCTCAATCTTGCTGCCAGCTCTGGTGGTTAATCCAGCCAGCAACTTCACATCGAGCTGGATCTCAGGAGGTTCTGTAGGAATTTTTAAACATAGTCACAGTTGTCCCAACTTCATTACTGTGTTTCATTTCAATTTGTGCTTCTATAAATATATGTTCATTTCAGTTTCCCCTCGATAACTCACAACTGTCCAATATTTAATTTTACATGCAATAACCCAAACTGTAAATACATAACACCATTTATTTATGTATTTAATTCCTCTTTTCCCCAGATTTGTATATTTGTACATTAAATATATATATTTTTTCCTTTTTTCTAAATACTGTTCATGCAAAACTGTGTATTCTCGGCAGATATGTGCCATACTGCATTTTATTTGGCTGAACTATATATAATTTTGCTTATTTAAGCCAATTAGTTATAAAATTGTTCTGCTTTAACAAATGAATTTCCACCTTTTGGAGAAATGAAATGTGTCTTATATTATATTATCACAACTATGCCTGAAACCTTGATGGTAATATCCTTAAAATCCACACATTCTCACTTATTCTTTTATTTGTCATAAGAAAGATTTGCTCCTGTATCACTGAGAGATGCTGCACATTTCTGAGTGAGTCTGCAGAATCCATTACAAAAATAAATTATACTGCTGCACTTTTTGTGCAGTGTGTGGCTGCAGCGTCATGTGACTGTCTGGAAGAGCACAACCCGTCCTACCCTTAGCGTCCACAGCTTGGATCTCATCGGTAGCCCTGCAAGGTCGGCTGGCTCCCAGCTTGTTAAAAGCTCTGACTCTGTAGGCGTACCACTGGCCCTCGACCAGGCCGGTAACCTGGAACCTGTGAGTTCAAATCATATAATATATCCAGCTGTACCAAAATAAAGACAGGACACTAATAACGTGTGGCCCAAAAAACTTAACCGGCAGTTACAAGTTCTTAAGTCTTACTTGAGTTCAGGGAGGGGATCACCGCAGGGTTCCCACTTGTCTGTACCACGCTGGCACTTGTCCACCACGTAGCCTTTAATATGGGCACCACCATCGTATTTTGGAGGCTCCCAGGACAGGAAAATGGACTTGGCACTCTTATCGCGCCACTTAAGGTTCTCAGGTGGATCAGGTACAGCTGCAGGAGAAAATACGTGAACGTGAAACAGGTGAGATTCTAGTTATCTGTCAGTTTCTCCACTCAAAGACAATTAATTTCACATGAAGTGTAAAAACACTCACTTGCAGGAGAAGAGACATTGATGGGCTCATCGATGTAGGCTGGCTCTCCAGGTCCGCACTTGTTGCATGCAGAGACGCTGAACAGATACTCCTTTCCTTCAATCACGTCTGTTACCGTGTGCTCCAGGTCAAGGACGCCAGCAGCCACCTGGAAAAATGTCACTGTCACTGCTGAGCAAATAAACTCAGACCTGGGTAGACTTCTGGGTCTGTGAACATTATTTCACACTGTGGAAGTGATGTTTTCTGTTTTTAAAAATAAAAAAGCCAACATGTCACGTGCCATGTTTGAGCCAGGCCCTGAAACCTAACAACACTGCTGCTAACAATAACAATAACTTTATTTATAAAGCGCTTTCAAACAAAGTGCTGTACAGCGATTTGAAAATAAAGAGATAAATAAATAAAAGTGATACATAGCAACACAAGTTAAAAACATAAGCAGAGTTAAAAATGATAAACATTTAAAAAACGAATAGGCAAAGAATTAAGACCTGTAGGATAGGCTGAACAAGTGTGTCTTCAACTTAGCTTTAAAACCCTCCACAGAGCAACCTGCCTAATATCTTGAGGGAGGTTGTTCCACAAAAACAGGGCACGAAAAGAAAAAGCACGCTCCCCAACTGTCTTTTTTCTGGCTTTAGGAACCTTTGGAAGGCCAGAGTCCTGAGATGGGAGCGCACGAGATGGAACATACAGTGGGGCAAAAAAGTATTTAGTCAGCCAGCGATTGTGCAAGTTCCCCCACCTAAAATGATGACAGAGGTCAGTAATTTGCACCAGAGGTACACTTCAACTGTGAGAGACAGAATGTGAAAAAAAAAATCCATGAATCCACATGGTAGGATTTGTAAAGAATTTATTCGTAAATCAGGGTGGAAAATAAGTATTTGGTCAATAACAAAAATACAACTCAATACTTTGTAACATAACCTTTGTTGGCAATAACAGAGGTCAAACGTTTACTATAGGTCTTTACCAGGTTTGCACACACAGTAGCTGGTATTTTGGCCCATTCCTCCATGCAGATCTTCTCGAGAGCAGTGATGTTTTGGGGCTGTCGCCGAGCAACACGGCCTTTCAACTCCCGCCACAGATTTTCTATGGGGTTGAGGTCTGGAGACTGGCTAGGCCACTCCAGGACTTTCAAATGCTTCTTACGGAGCCACTCCTTTGTTGCCCGGGCGGTGTGTTTTGGATCATTGTCATGTTGGAAGACCCAGCCTCGTTTCATCTTCAAAGTTCTCACTGATGGAAGGAGGTTTTGGCTCAAAATCTCACGATACATGGCCCCATTCATTCTGTCCTTAACACGGATCAGTCGTCCTGTCCCCTTGGCAGAAAAACAGCCCCATAGCATGATGTTTCCACCCCCATGCTTCACAGTAGGTATGGTGTTCTTGGGATGCAACTCAGTATTCTTCTTCCTCCAAACACGACGAGTTGAGTTTATACCAAAAAGTTCTACTTTGGTTTCATCTGACCACATGACATTCTCCCAATCCTCTGCTGTATCATCCATGTGCTCTCTGGCAAACTTCAGACGGGCCTGGACATGCACTGGCTTCAGCAGCGGAACACGTCTGGCACTGCGGGATTTGATTCCCTGCCGTTGTAGTGTGTTACTGATGGTGACCTTTGTTACTTTGGTCCCAGCTCTCTGCAGGTCATTCACCAGGTCCCCCCGTGTGGTTCTGGGATCTTTGCTCACCGTTCTCATGATCATTTTGACCCCACGGGATGAGATCTTGCGTGGAGCCCCAGATCGAGGGAGATTATCAGTGGTCTTGTATGTCTTCCATTTTCTGATGATTGCTCCCACAGGTGATTTTTTCACACCAAACTGCTTGCCTATTGTAGATTCACTCTTCCCAGTCTGGTGCAGGTCTACAATACTTTTCCTGGTGTCCTTCGAAAGCTCTTTGGTCTTGGCCATGGCGGAGTTTGGAGTCTGACTGTTTGAGGCTGTGGACAGGTGTCTTTTATACAGATGATGAGTTCAAACAGGTGCCATTCATACAGGTAACGAGTGGGGGACAGAAAAGCTTCTTACAGAAGACGTTACAGGTCTGTGAGAGCCAGAGATTTTCCTTGTTTGAGGTGACCAAATACTTATTTTCCACCCTGATTTACGAATAAATTCTTTACAAATCCTACCATGTGGATTCATGGATTTTTTTTTCACATTCTGTCTCTCACAGTTGAAGTGTACCTCTGGTGCAAATTACTGACCTCTGTCATCATTTTAAGTGGGGGAACTTGCACAATCGGTGGCTGACTAAATACTTTTTTGCCCCACTGTAAAGGTGCAAAAGATTAGAGAGGTATGATGGTGCCAAACCAGTGAAAGCCTCGTAGGTGAGCAGCTTAGAATCTGCTCGAATGTGCTCAAATTTTTCAGTTTTAGTTAAAAAGCAAGCAGCTGCATTTTGCACCATCTGAAAACCTCTAAAACTTTTCGTTGGTAGCTCAGAAAGGAGCTGCACATTCATGTATTATTTTTAGAAGGCGGTTACTTTTTCACACAAAACCAGGTAATTCACTCAGTTTACATTTTGTGATGAGCTGAAATATTTTTATTACGTACAGCGCCAAAGATGACATTACTGAAATGAGCTGAAAGTACCTTGGCCCATGTCTTGCGAGAAACTTCTCTCTTCTCAATCTGATAGTGTGTCACTGGACTTCCTCCATCGTGTTCAGGTGCCTCCCACATCAAGTGGACATGTTGACGGGTCACTTCAGCCACTTTGAAGTCCTTCGGAGCACTGGGGCATGCTGGGAAAATAAGATGAAAAAGACTTCCATCAGTTTTCTTCTTTTGGGTTTGTTTCTAGATGATTTGGGGGTAACAGACGTCTCTGTACCACAATAAAATGAGCTGTCTATTAAAATAAGCACCATCATTGCTAAACTTGATCACATGGTCATGGGTTCTTACCGATGACGTTGACATCAATATCTCCAGAGACAGAGGATACGTCGTTCTCCAGCTGCAGGGTGTAGATGCCTTTGTCTGGACGAACACTAGGAGATATCGTCAGTTCCGTGTGCGTAGGCTTCGTCACCATGGAGACACGCTCATCCGCTGGGGTCAGCTCCTTCTCGCCAAAGGTCCACTTGGCCACAGGGGTTGGGTATCCAGTAATGGGAACTCTAATTGTTAGAGGCTGAGGAACAATCACCTCCAGGCCTTTCCTGAAGCCACTCAGATCAAAGGTTGGACCAACTGCCAAGAGAGAAACATTTGGTTGTGAAAGCACATCCAGTGAACTACTTGGATTTATAAAGAAGAAGTGGTTGGTTGAGTTTATGCTTGTTGCACGCACAATGAGGATCATCGGCAAGCAGTGGTCCCAGCTGCTCGGCTGGATCGGAGACACCGGCGGCATTCTCAGCGCAAACTCTGTAGAGGTACTTCTGACCAGGTTTTAGTCCAGACACCTGAAGAAAACAACAAAACAATCCAGACCAGGAAGAAAAATGTAACTGCGCTGAGGTTGAATCAGAATAAAGGCAGACTCTTCAGGTTGGCTGCATACCCGGTAGGAGAGGTCAGGACACAGTCTGGTGTTGCAGCGGAGCCACTTGTCAGAGCCGTCCTCACATTTCTCAATGATGTATCCTGTAATCATGCTGCCACCGTTGTTTATGGGCGTCTCCCAGGTCAACGTGACTGCTGTCTTGATTTGGTCACTAAAGTTCAGGTTCAGAGGTGGGCTCGGCCTCTCTGTGGGCACAAGACATGAGCAAAATCAGACTGTTTGATATTTCTACACAGGACTTAGATAGAAACATTGAGAGTGAGCTCACCGATGGGATCCATGATCTTGACGGGGTTGGTGGCAGCACTGGGCCTGCCGATGCCAGCCTTGTTCTCTGCTCGGACTCTAAAGATGTACTCCTTGTACTCCACCACGTCGTTCAGCATAGCCAAGCGGTCATCGGCAGCACAGACTAAGGCTGCCTCCCACTTAACAGATGTTCTGTCACGGAGCTCAATCACATAAGCAGTGATCTCAGAGCCACCGTCAAACTTGGGGGGCTCCCAAGTGATGGTGGCACCAAACTTGTTCACTGACTCTACTGCAACATTTTCAGGAGCATCTGGAACATCTAAAGTTAGGAAACAAAAATGTGACGGACATGATTAGGACGAGTGTGGAGATGGGGTTAGGATTAGTGGAGCGGGGATCTCGGGGTGTTGCTTACCAAACTTGTTTTTGGCCTGGACGGCATCTTCGGTTGCAACAGCGGGTCCGCTGCCAACTCTGTTTCGAGCACAGACTCTGAAGAGGTAAAAGGATTCCTTCTGCAGGCCACTGACACAGTACTCTGGAGTGTCAGCACGGTCTGTAGCCACAGTCCAGGTCTTGCGCTTCACATCCCGTCTTTCTACAACATAGGCGATAATCTTGCTGCCACCGTCATTCTCAGGTTCCTCCCAGGCCAAACTGACCTCGCCATCAACAGTGTCAACCACTCTCAGGTTCTTGATGGGTCCCGGTACATCTGGAAAACCACCAGGACAACACTCAGAAACTCTGGTGATATCCTCCGACAGAGGACTGAGCAGTTATCTGATCACAGACTCACCAATCACATCCAGGTTGATAAAGGCTTCACCCTCACCATGCTTGTTCTTAATTACCACCTTGTACCGGCCCTGGTCCTCCTTGGCAGGGCTCTTCAGGCGGTACTCGGTCTTGTCCAAAGAGGTGTCAATATTCTGGACAGGAAGACTGGTGCCTTCAAAAAACCACTCGGCATCAGCACGAGGGTACGCGTCATAAGGCACAGTCATGACAAAGGGTTTACCGGCATCTGTCACCAGGTTCTGGTCGGTGGTTTTAATCTTTGGAACAGCTGCAGGAGAGACAGAGGAGAAATTTGTACTGTTTAATTTGCCCTGCATAACACAGAGCAGTCCAAACTGGTGGATATCATCTTAAAATAAAACTGCGTGTTATGCTTCGCGTCTACAACTATATTCCCAAAACAACTTGGATGCTTCATAAAGTGTCAAGAAAAGATTTGTTTGTTTACAACTTTCTAAAAGTCTGTTAAATCAGTGATTTCTTTAACATTTCTTGAAATGCGTTTCACTACCTGTTTGCATGTGAAGTTGACTCACCTGCCAGCTCCAGCTTGGCCCGGGCATCCTTGTCTTTGGCCACGATCCTGTACTCTCCCTGATCTCTGGGTCTAATTTCACAGACCTGCAGTCTGTGGACTTTACCCTCGCTGATCATCTGGTATTTGTCTCCCTGGACGATGATCATGTTGTTCCTCATCCACTTCACCTCCACCCTGTCTTTGTTGAGCTCCACCTCAAACACGATGTCTGAACCCGGAGGTTCGAACACGTCCTGCGGTGGTCTGATGATTTCCACTGGGGTCTCTGCGCAACATAAAAACACATCTCACAAGAAGATTCGTCGAATAAATCTTTGCTTTTGAAGACAAAAAGAAACAAACATCTCACCTTCAACAAAGAGCCTCGCTCTCGTCCTCCTCTCATCCACACCACAGGCATATTCACACTCGTCATCAGGCCTGCACACCTTAATGATCAGTCTGCACGTCTTTCCTTCTTTTTCCATTTGATATCTGTAAAAACACAACAAACATCAGGAACTTGGTACAGTCATGTATATGATACTATAAGACTTAGATAACAGCATCAGCTGTGTAATTTTGCCTCTGTACACCACTGCACTTTATTTTAAATCAAAGGTAACACAAGGTCCCAGAAGCTTCAGGCTTTTGTAATCCTCTGTCATGACCACGTATCCCAAATTTTAACTTTCTGAATATTTTCTTGGTTGATTAGCATTTGATTTGTGTTCCTTTGGATCGAAACAACAGCAGACGCAGATCTGTCATACCTGGGGCCCGCTCGAATCTCTCGTCCTTCCCTGTACCACTTGACGGCAGCCTTCTCCTTGCTCAGCTTGCAAGTGAACTCTGCATCCTCGAACTCTGTAATGGTCTGGTCTTTGAGCTGTGCCGTGAAGTCTGTGGGTGCCTCGCTAATGATCAGCTCAGCTGCACATTTGTCATCTCCGACCACGGCCGTGTACTCGCCCTCGTCTTCCATGATGCAGTCCTTAACGGTCAGGCTGTGCTTCAGGCCATCGACTCTGTAGACGATGCGTTTGCTGAGTGTCACCTCCTGACCAGCCTTCAGCCACCTCACCGTCGCCCCGGGCCTGTTCACCTTACAGACGAAGCTGACGGTCTTCTTCTCCTGAGTCTCATTGTCCTCGATTGGCTCCAAGAACCTCAGTTTCTCCTCTGTGGAGGACCAAATGATTTCAGGGTGAACGTAAAGAAACAAAGGAGTACGTGCAACAAAGTCACTGAGCAAGAAACGGCTGCTTTGGATCAAACGTCCTGATACTCTTGGAAGAAACAGAACTTCAGTTATTCTGAATTCTTCAGATGATTTTCAGCTTTCTTTGCTTTATAACAAAGCTGACACATCCATCTGTCTTTCAGAGTCACGTCTGCGATTACTGAGAACAGGTTTAGGACACTGACCTACCAAAAGGTGCTATAATATTAAACATAATGGAGACAGCCGTTGTATAAACTCCTAAATATGTTTCAACATTACTGTGAGCCATATACAGATAATAAAATAAGGCTGTGTGTACAGTAGAGTCACAAGAACAACTAAAGAAGCACTCAGCACTCAGGAAGCTGGCCCTGGTTTCATTAAAGAGTCAAATCCAGCCTGTAACTTCACTCAGATACTGTTACTGCCCACTCACCTGCCACTTTAGCGCTGGCAGTGCACTTGGCGAGCTCTCCTCTGTGATTGGTCAGGCTGACGGTATAGACGGCCTCATCAGCCTTCTGGGCGTCTCTGATCCTCAGAGAGAAGACGTTGTCCCTTTGAGCCATCATGTACTTGCTGCTCTCAAAAATGGTCTCCTCATTCTTCAGCCACTTGGCCTTCGCTCCTTCCGTGTTGGTCTCGCAGTTAAACACGATCTCGCCTCCCTCCTTCACCTCGGTGTCTTTGATCGGAGTTATGATCCTCAGTTTTTCTAAAACAGAATTCAAACTTAATAAAACCAAACCTGCATTCTGAAATCTGTAATAAGATATGACAAAGACCATAAGTGTCTTACCGATCACTAGCAGATCTGCCACGGCTTTAACAGTGCCAATGTGTGCAGTGTAGCCTCCCTCATCCTTCAGCTCACAGCTTTTCACAATAAGAGCTCTTCGTTTTCCTTCACTGATGATGCCGTACTTGTCTCCAGCTTCTATCTCTTTGTCTCCTCTGAACCATTTTACTTCGTAGGTGTCTTTGGAGACAGAGCAGGAGAACTCTGCCTTCTCGCCCTCCACCACTTCCTGGTTCTGAGGCCGAGCGAGGAACTCAGCTGCCAGTTCTGCAAAGGAGAAGAAGGCGGAGTTAAGGTTTGGTGGATTAGTGGATTTCTCCACGTTCTTTGTTTTGCTCTTCAGATTGCTTTTGAAATCATTACAAAGAAAATAATGACTCGGGTAGGTAATTGGTGACTTCAGTTTCTTCTATAAAATCAAAAAGTAAGCGACGTGTTTTACCGTTGAGTTTGAGCGTGGCGGATGTCCTGATGGTGGGACTCAGCCTGCAGTTGTAATCACCAGCGTCCTCCATCCTCAGGTCCCGGATGATCAGGATCCTCTTGCGTCCGTCCGTCTGTTGGTCGTAGCGACCTCCCTCTGGGAGCTCCTCGTCCCCTCGATACCAGGTAACCTCAGCGCCGGCCTTCGACACTTCGCAGATCATCTTCACGGTGTTCGTCTCTGTTCCCTCCACGTTGGACAGGTTCTTTGTAAACCTGGCTGCCTCCTCTGAAGGAAACACGAGCACCAGGAGTTCATTTACAGAGAAATATCCATCTATTAAGTCGAGCCTAAAATCATATGTTTATAGTTTTTACAAGAATATTTCTTCAGCAGAGAAATTTCCTGCAGTGGTTAGAAAGCTGACCGTCATCAGTGAATGACGTTTTATTTTCCAGCAGAACAAACATCTGTGGCTGACATGAATAAAAACGTCACTTTTTTTCTCATTGGAAGGTTGGTGAAACTGGAAATTCAACATGAATCAAACACATAAAATAAATCAGGGGTGGGCAACTCCAGGCCTCGAGTGCCGGTGTCCTGCAGGTTTTAGATTGCACCCCGGGTTCAACACACCTGAATCACATGGTTAGTTCATTACCAGGCCTCTGGAGAACTTCAAGAAATGCTGAGGAGTCATTTAGCCCTTTAAATCAGCTGTGATGGATCATGGACACATCTAAAACCTGCAGGACACCGGCACTCGAGGCCTGGAGTTGCCTACCCCTGAAATAGATGAATAATGTTCCTCACCGATGACGGTGAGTATGCCAGAGGTCTTGGAGGTTCTCGCGTCACATTCGTACTCGGCTTCATCATCAAACACAGACTTGTGGATGATAAGAATTCTCTGGACTCCCTTGGCGATGATCTCGTACTTCTTTCCTTTCCTGATCTCGCCACCGTCCTTGAACCAGCGAACCTTGAAAAATGACGACACAAGGGTTAGTCGAGAGTGTGAGAGCGGTTTCAGTCTGATCGACAGGACAGCAGCGACTGTTTGCATCCTGCTGAGCTCACCTTGGCAGACTCACGAGAAACTTCACATTCAAACTTGGCAGACTCCTTCTCTCTGACCTCAACATCCTGCAGAGGCTTTGTAAACTCAACGTACGGAGCTGTGAATGGAAAAGGCCACAGCATGAGCACAGTTATGCTTTACCTCAGCTGGAGGTGCGACAGCAGATTTGAAAGATTAAAGCCTGGTTAAGGTCCTTACGTGTAACTTCCAGGAAACAAGAAGTCTTGAAGTCTTTGGCATCACATGTGTACAACTTGGCATCTTCAGGAGAGCAGTCGTGAATGATCAGAGCTCTCTTGCGTCCGTCCACGATGGTGTCGTACTTCTTGGTCTTTCTGAGCTCCTGTCCCTCCCTGAACCATCGTACCTCAGCATTCTCACGGGAAACCTCACACTCCAGAGTGGCCGTGGCTTCCTCCTCCACCGTCTGATCCTCCAGAGGCTTTGTGAACTCAACCGCTGGCTCTAAAGGTACAGAGACAGACGTGGTTAACAGGTGGTAACCACAGCCTCCTGTTAGAAATGCTTTGTCCTCGATCCTCGGAGCCCAGTCTGAGCGCGTGCCGTACCTCTGACGATAAGCTGAGCCTGAGTCTGGAAGTCCTTGGCAGTAAGTTTGACCTCGCCGGCCTCCGACAGGTTCACGTCTCGGACGGTCAAAGTGTGAACTCGGCCCGCCACCCGAGTCTTCACCTGCAGGAACCGAAAACAAAGCGAGCGTCACGCTTGCACACGAACACGAGCTGAACGCGTCACCATGGACACAGATACAGGGCCGTCACTTAAATAATCATTATAAATAATAATTACACTTATTCTGGTTCGTTTGCTAACAGGCGGCGAGTCTGAGCGATGACTGAATAACTCCGAGTGTCAAACTGATGAAATCAGGGAAAAATACCGTTTTTATTTTTTTTTGTCCACAAACTTCCAGCCTTGATTCACTTTGAGAAGCTACATCATAATAAAATATTTAAGAATTTTCTGCAGATGTGTTTTTAGAAATGAGTGAAAACCTTTGGTCATATCAACAGAATAAATTTCACTTTACTAATTTATTATTCAGCTGATCGAGCTGCTCTCTTTCACACACGGGCAGGTTTCTATCACTGGGCTGCTTTTTCCACTTTAACCTCATTTTCTCCAGCAATGAATTCAACTCCTTTGTGTTTTTAAATAAAACTCATTCGTGATTTTAATTCATAATTAAGCTTTATTAATTCATTATTTGGGTTCAGACACTCACCTGCTAAAAAACACTGTTCAAAAATATCCAAAAATTTAAAATTCTGAAAAAACGTCATAATAAATAAATAAATAAATAAATAAATAAATAAATAAATAATAATAATAATAATAATAATAATAATAGTTTGTGGGGATAGGTTAATTGATGAATCCAAATTGCCCATAGGTGTGAATGTGGGAGTGAATGGTGTCAGCCCTGCGACAGACTAGCGACCTGTCCAGGGTGTACCCCGCCTCTCGCCCTATGACAGCTGGGATAGGCTCCAGCGCCCCCGTGACAAGCCGAAGCGAATGGATGGATGGAATAATAATCATAATCATAATTGTTTTATTTAACAAAGCGCCTTTTGAAGCACTCAAGGACACTGTACACAAGCAATAACAACAGCAAACATAACAATTTACAAGATAATAAGGATAAAACATTGAACAAATAAATAAAATAAATGAAAGTAGCAGGATGGAAACATTTATGTAGAAGTTTGAGTCTGGACTTAAAAAGAGGGAGGGAAGTGATGTTTCTTATCTCAGGAGGAAGGGATGATGGGGGGCAGAGCAGCAGAAAGCCTTGCGCCCCACGGTGGCTAGCCGGGGGGAAGGGACGGTGATCTGAACCAGAGCGGTATGAAGGCGAGAGATGATGGGTAGCCTTGAATGTGCACAAAAGTATCTTGAAATTGATGCGGTATTTAACCAGAAGCCAGTGAAGCTGCTGCAGAGCAGGGCTGACGTGGTGCATGGGTGATCGTGGCTCAAGAGTTGGGAGTTCGCCTTGTAATCGGAAGGTTGCCGGTTCGGGCCCCGGCTTGGACAGTCTCGGTCGTTGTGTCCTTGGGCAAGACACTTCACCCGTTGCCTACTGGTGGTGGTCAGAGGGCCCAGTGGCGCCAGTGTCCGGCAGCCTCGCCTCTGTCAGTGCGCCCCAGGGTGGCTGTGGCTGCTTCACTGGCTTCTGGTCACATCACCAGTGTGTGAATGTGTGTGTGAATGGGTGGATGACTGAATATGTCAATCAATCAATCAATCAATCTTTATTTATAAAGCACTTTTCATACAGAAAAAATGTAGCACAAAGTGCTTTACATAGTTAAAAGCAGCCCACCCCACCCTCCAACTCACTCCCCACACTTTGGAGTGTGTAAAGCGCTTTGGGGTCCTTAGGGACTGGTAAAGCGCTATATAAATACAGGCCATTTACCATAGAAAGAGTCCTGGTGATGATACGAGCAGCAGAGTTCTGGACACGCTGAAGCTGATGGATAGATTTTTGACTACGACCAAAAAGAAGAGAGTTGCTGTAATCGATCCGGGAAGTGACCGGGCTATGAACAAGGATGGCAGCGGCATGTGGGGCGAGAAAAGGACGGAGACGATTAAGGTTACGGAGTTGGAAATATGCGGACTGAGAGACGTTACTGATGTGGGAGCTAAAAGATCGAGTACCATCGCCGATGACACGCAGACTTTTCACACATGGAGAAACGGAGACTGTAACAGAAAAGCTGTTAGTTGTGGACAGTGTTTGTTTAGTGCCGACCAGGAGGATTTGTTACTGTTGAGTTTGAGAAAATTGGAAGAGAACCATGAATTTAGTTCAGCTAAGCAGAGGGTGAGAGAGGACGGGGGAGAGCAGAATCAGGTTTAGTGGACAGATACAGCTGGGTGTCATCGGCATAGCAGTGAAATGTGTCCAAGCGGAAGAAGCTAGATAATGAAACGAAGGGGCCCCAGGACAGATCCCTGCACGCCTGCAACCAGAGGAAAGGGCTGAGAAGTGAAGGATTTAAGTCGAATAAACTGAGTGCGATTTAAAGCTAGTGGGATATGGGAGAGACCGATGGAGGCGAGCCTACTGAGGAGTATCAAAGGCAGCAGTGAGATCGAGGAGAATAAGAATGGAGAGTAAACCAGAGTCCGCTTCCATGAGAAGATCAGTGAGTATTTTTATTAGTTTCAGTGCTGTGGGAGGGACGAACACCAGACTGGAACTGTTCATGCAGATTATTATTAGTGAAGTATGAGTGGAGTTGTGCGGCGACTGTCTTTTCAAGAAGTTTTGATAGAAATGGTCAATTGGAGACGGAAATGATCAAAATTACTGGGATCCTGTTTTTTTTTTCAGTATTGGGGTGATCACCACAGCTTTGGGAACAGCTCCAGTGGTAGTGAGGAGCAGATGAGAGCAGATATGAGGGGAAGCAGAGAGGGTAGACAGGCTTTGACCCAAACGGTAGGAACGGGGTCCAGGTAGAAGCTTTTGACTTACAGCTGAGATCTGAGATATCAGTGACAGAGGGAAGCTGGAAAACAGAAAAACAGTGTGATGGGAGAGGAAGTACAAAGGAAGAGCTACAGGCAACTTCAGACGGCAGGACTTGGTGTGTTTTGAGGATTTTCTCAGAGAAAAATAACAGAGAGAGTCGCAAAAGGACGATGAGTAAAGGTGAGCAGGGAGAGGATCTGGTGCTCTAACAGTTAAACAGTGAAAACAGCATCTGAGGGGAATCTTCGTTCGAACAAATGATGGTCGAGTAGTGCAGATTTAGTTTGGCTGATGCATTCCTTATAATGCAAAACATGATTATTAATTCAAGCACATGTAATATGTTTAGAAACTACCAGGAACACAAAATGACCTCGACCTGCTGAGAAACATTTGTTTATTTAATGGAGATGAAAGAATCTGAGGCCTTTGTGCAGATAAGGCGACACTCGAGGGTCAGAGTCACAGATAAGAGCCGCATGTTTATCTCCCAGATATTTTTAGCTGCAGCCTCTGCAGAACCAGAGAAACATCAAACATTACAAAGACAACTTGTCCTCATCTGCAAAACAAAACTCGTGTCTTTTCTTCATAATCCAAACTGGGATTCAGATTTTGAAATTCTTTTAAAACTCAGCTTTGTTGCTCAGAGACAGGAACAAATCAGAGCCCGGCGACCGTAAACGTGTCCTGATGGCGATTGTTTAAAATCAGACGTGTGACAGACTCAGTGCAGGTCTGTTTGTGCCTGAAGAAAACCTGTTTCCACTAAAAGGTCCCATCTCACATTTTAAATCACACTAAAGAAGGTTTGTATGCTCGGATTTTCTAACCAAAGAGAAAAGTTTCCAAATCTGGAGTGAAAATGTTACAAATGTGAGAACAGAAATACAAAACATATAAGCAAAGCTTTCTTATCACAAAGATAGTATTTCATTAATGCTGTCTGTGTGATCACAACAGAAACTATGAAATCATTTCTTTTTGCACCGACTCGGTTTTTTGCAGGAAATCGCTAAAATTCTCAAGGCTTAATAAAAGTAACGCTCTGTTATTTTTTAGTGTTTTACTGGATCCACACTAACTTTCTTTATTTCTGTCGTCCCATTTCTTTTCCTTCTTCTTTTGTGGTGAAGCAGAAGTTTTATGAGTGAGAAACATTTTGTTAAAAAGGAGGAAAAGCTCTGTGAGCGGTTTCTCCGGTGTGGAGCGAGTTACAGGAGAGGCGGGCGCTGCTGTGGTCAGACTCACCCGGTCGCTGGCCTCCATCCTCTGCCCTCCCAGGAACCACTCCACCGCGATGCCCTCGTATGACAGCTCGCACTCAAAGATGGCCGTCTCTCCAGCCGTCACCGTCACGTCCTTCAGAGGATGGACCAGCGTGATGGACCGAGCTGAGGGTAAAGACATGGTTAGCTCCTTCAACAAATGAACCGGCGTGCACTTGCTGGAGATCCTGTGGTCTGGTTCGTGTTTCAGGTTACTGCTCCTCCAATCAGAGAGCAGCCTGCCTTCAGATAAAGACTGAAGTGGTGAAAATAACCACAGGCCCTGATTGGCTGAACACTTACAGAGACGTGCGACACCCGTGTGTGACAGAAACCAGGGCTGCTGTTTGTGTGTGCTTCAGCCAAACGGCACGGAGCTTCCTCCGTGTCAGAGACGTTTTGTCCATCGTTTAAAAAATAAGGGCTAAAATGACCTCTGACCTTTGACTCTGAGCTGGGCGCTGGATCTGGCGTTGGCTGCAGAGAAGTCAACGGGTCCTGCCATGTCCATGCAGACGTTGTAGAGGATCAGTAGGTGTCTGGTTCCTTCCTCCTTAATCTCAACATCCTGAGGTAAACACGAGCACATGAAAGTCAGCTGAAAGCATCTCTGTGGCGATGAATATGAAACCGACTGCCAGGCGGGTCACTGCAGACTCACAGCTGACTGATGAAGAGCTTCTCCCTTCAGCTTCCAGTTTCCATGGACATCCTCCTCAGAAATCTCAGTCTCAAACTTGGCTGTTTCTGTCTCCGTGACCTCCACACTGTACAGCGGACGGACAACTTTGATATCCCGCTCTGCAAAAGGACAGAAATCACTATAAAAACCAGCAACATCTTCACCCGTGGAGCGCCTGTTTGTTAAAGCAGTCAAATTTAACTTCGCCAATGATGAGGCTCTAATCTACAAAGCTGAGGATCCACCAAGAAACCCAACCGGTGCTCCTCTCCAACGTTTCTACAGAGAGAGATAAATGCTGACAAAGCTCTGACAGCCTGGTGACCTCTGTGCTTATCAGAACAAAACATCATTTATGTTCACGTCAAAGGTCTTCAAACAGCTGAACTGTAACTAACAAAGCACATATCCAGATACGACGGCTACAGATGCCAAATGATCCGTTTATTACCGTCTCAGCTCGTTACCAAACACTTTGGTTTCTGTTTGTCAGGTCAAAGGTCAGACTGATTGTATTTACATGGACTTTTACCAACAGCTGAAAACTGAACGTGTTCAGAGATTTTCAGAGAAGCAGCATGCATAAAGCATGAGAGCTGGGACAGATCCATGGTTTACCTTCAATGTTGAGCTTAGCTGTGGTTTTGTCCGAGCCGCAGTCGCAGGTGTACTCTCCGATGTTGGCCTTCTCTGCCTTCCTCACCATCAGGATGCGCTTCTTGCCATCGGTGACAATGGCGATGTTCTTGGAGGGGGTGATCTCCTTCCCATCCTTAAACCATTTCACATCAGCTACAGCCTTGCTCAGCTCGCAGACCAGCTTCACCTCGTCCCTCTCCACTGCTGTGTAGTTCTGCAGCTTAGTGGTGAAGTAGGCGTCACCCTCTGTGTGGGGAAACGTATGTTCATTATGAAAATCAGGCGTTAGAGAAGCGTGTCTGAATCAGTCTGACAGGATGAACTCTTGGATGTTGGTGGGTGTGGCTTGCTGTCACCTGCTCTGTTTGCTTTGTTTACACCTGTTTTCTTTTTCTTTTTCTTTTAAATCAGAATGAGTTGTGATTGCTTTAATGTTTGTTCTTTCTAAAGTCCTGTCATCTGGTCCTATGTTTTTATGTCATTTGTTTCAATGTGCTTTAGAAAGGAGGCACTGACCAATGACAGTGAGCATGGCGGTCATGCTCTTGTCCATGGCCTCTACTTTGATCATGGACGTGTCGTCGATGATGACTTCCTTGAAGGCCAGCGTGTGAACCTTCGCCTGTGCCGACATGTGAACAACTTTGCTGGGATGAAGTCGGACGTCGTTCTTGTACCAGACCACCGGGATCTTGTCATGTGACAGCTCCACGCTGAATTCAGCTGTTTCACGCTCCTTTACTGTCACATCCTTGATTGCTTTGACAAACTCTAGGCGAATACCTGCCACAGGAAGACATCAGACATTGGTACATTTAACTTTGAGTAGAAGCAGAACACAGCAGATTTGTATTTGTGACTCACAAACAAACAAAAATGAGCACCAGCGCTGTGTTCAAAGTACAGATGGACCGATCCGATATTACGTATCGGTCCGATATTGACCTAAATTACTGGATCGGATATCGGAGAGAAATAAAAAATGTAATCCGATCCATTAAATATCAAAAAAACACCTCACAAAACGTGTGACACTGGGCTCGTAACCGTAGCACGTTGGAGCAGCTGTGTGTGTTTGTAGCCTCGCTACCAAACCGGCATTTCATCTCCGAGGAAGTTATCCCAGAGAGAAGTAAAGCAAGTGTGTAAGTTCATCTCTGAGTGTTTGTAAAGCATTCCTGCGTTAAGCTTAACAAGCGATATATGGAGCGACTGCCTCTTCTTGCTGCTACTTCAATCATGAAACTGATCAATGATCAGCTGATCGGCTTTTCTGTCACGAGTCCATCTCTCTGGTTTGCTTTTGGCCCACTTTGCACCAGAAAGAGGAAACCAGCGGCTGAACAACAGCAGCACGTTTAAGCTTGATCAGCTGTTGTTAGAATGTATTTAATATTACTTTCTACACCAGGATCTTTTTCTACGTAGCTGACGCTGGTAACTGTGCAGGGGCGGATCTAGCAAAGTTTAGCCAGGGGGGGGGCGATAGGGCATTAACAGGGAAAAGGGGGCACAAAGACATACTTTTCTTTCTTATTCTCATTTAAAATGTCTAGCTTTTAATAAATAATTATCTGACACCCAAAGTTTTAATTTGATGTAAAATGAATAGAAGTCCATTACTGTATATAGTAACTGTTAAGTCTAATATACCCTAGTAAGCTATAGTACTTTTTCCTTTGGGAAGGTACCATCTGTGCAGTTCTGTAGAAGAAAGATGTTGAATCTATTTCATTATTCTTGAAAAATAATTGATTTCTGTGCATTTTTTTCACACTGCATCAAATTAAAGTTGATTACGTCGATTAAGCATCATGAGGTGGAGCGTGAGGGGTGGTTCCCTATTTTTTTTTTTTTTGCTGGGAGTTTGCAGCCCTGTTAGTCAGGTTGCTTAATATTTACGCTAAGTTGTCTTTAAAACACCAGAATAGGGAGGATGGAGCAGGTTTAAGTTTATTAGCTTGATCAGTATTGCTGAACTATGAAATATTTTGGGTGCAGTGCATTTTTTGCATAAAGGTATAACAGAATAGCTTTAGTGTTTTTTTTAACTTGAGTATGAACTTATACAAAAAGCAGCAAGATATTAAAAAAACAGTTTTATTGATTAAAAAACACTATATCGGATTCATATCGTATTGGCAGATATCCAAATTTATGATATCGGTATCGGACATGAAAAAGTGGTATCGTGCCATCTCTAGTTCAAAGTGAACCGAACCAGAAGACAAAGCAGAGGTAAAAATCTGCCAAACTGGATTCATCTGGAGAAGGTTTGGACAGAAGTGTTTATTTGGCGAATTTAAAACTGTAATAATTTGATCTAAATGTGAACATATGATTATAATGTGCCCTGACTCTCTGAAGGTTTCACTGGTGCCAAAGGAGTTTAAAAAAAATGAATACAACCACGACGTTACCTTGTATAACCAGTTTGCCCGTCGTCCTCTTGTCCTCGGCCTCAAACATGTACTTTGCCTCGTCATCGTAGGCGGCCGATCGGATCACCAGGACGTACAAATTTCCCTCCTGGATCACCTCGTACTTTTCATCGCTCTGCAGCTCCTGTGAGCCTTTGAGCCAACGGAAAGTCTTTGGAGTTCTCGACACCTCGACCTCGAACCTCACATCATCCTTCTCATAGACCTGAACATCAGTCATGGGTGTGAGGAAGTTCAGCGGGAGTTCTGAAGAAAAACAGTGAGAAAAACAGAAAAACTTAGGCTCCTAGTTGAATTTAGATAATCATAATTATCAGTATAGTTCATTTTAGAGGATTCCTGTCGTCATAACGAGCCCCAAACTGTGACAGTAACCAACACAGAGTAAAAGTATTGACGTTTTTATATATGGTGTCTTTGTTCAGTGGAGATGAAGTCTGATGAGAAGTCAGACCTGAGAAGGTGAAGCTCAGACGGAGGTTTGATTGAACTGCTGCGATCCCCCGCTGGCTTATTCTATGAGACGCTCTCATTTTTAGTTTCACATTTTTAGGTTACAATGATTTAAAATGTTTTTTATAAAATATGATGAGGTCAGTGGGCTGGTTTACCTTTGACCTTGAGGTTAGCGGCGCACTTGGCATTAGCAGCAGAGTACGCCACCTCGCCGGTCATGGACACTTTGCAGTTGTAGAGGATCAGCGTGTGCTTGCCTCCTTCCTCGATGATGTCCACATCCTGTTAAACAAAGACGTAAACAGTCTGATAAACTGGCTTCATGTTATGGAGAGCGCTGCCAATGAGGCGCTTGTGATGAAGCACTCACAGAGGACGGACTGAGCACCGCTCCGTTCAGCTTCCACTGTCCGTGGACGTCGTCCTCAGAGATCTCCACTTCGAAACGAGCCGTTTCTCCATCAAACAACTCCACGCCATAAATCGGCCGGACGACTTTGATGTCGCGTGCTTTTGGGGAAAAGGGTCATGATATGAAAATGCAGTTTGTTTTGCTTCTGGAAGAAAGGACTGATTTTACAGCTAAACAACAAAAAATGGAAGAACTGGAAACTATCAGTTTCAGTTTGTTCCCTCGGATTTCTCATTTTAATCCAAAGTTCTTTTTTATTTTGATTTAAAGAAAGTAAATCCATCATCTGTCCTCATACACAGTCTCGGCGGCCTCGGTCAGTCGCTAGGGGAAAATGTGGATTCTGGTTGCCGAGTGATTTTTGGGTCACGTTGCCATGGTTTCCTGCAGTTCCCATGGAAGACGCTGACTCGGCTGCAAACTCGCCCACAGCTCACCATGAAAAGTTAAAAAAAACTGGAAACTGTGAACGCTCGCCTTCAAAGTTTTTATTTTTCATTCATTTTTAAAGTTGTGGGGATTTCAGCAGTGAGGCACAACTTTTAAATGCTCTTTGCATCTCTTTCTGAGGTTTTACTGCTGCTCAGTGAGCGTTTGCAGAGAAGCTGCTGTCTTTAATGTGAACTGCAGGCATCGATGTGTCATTCCCAGACCGGTGTGGAGATGTGCATTTTTAGAGACGTGAGGTTGCTACGGGGTCGCTCACTAGGCTGACGAGGCCTGGACCTCCCTTCGGAGTCATGTTTCCTTGTGCAGTGAAAGGCTTGAACATTTAACGTTTTACGGGTTTATTTTGACCTAGCAACCTGTAAATCTTAGACAGCTTTACGATTAATTTATGATTCAACTGATTTTTATGTTTAAAAGAATTTAGGCAATCATGTCACCGTGCTTACCTTCAATATTGATGTTGGCTGACGTCTTGTCTGTTCCACAGTCACATACATATTTGCCTTTGTCGCTCAGTTCCACTTTCTTCAGGACCAGAGACCTGCGCGTGCCCTCTGACCTCATGATGACCATCTTGGAGGCGATGATTTCCTTCTCTTCGTGGTACCAAAGCACCGGGACGTCTTTGCTCAGTTCACAGTCCAGGGTCACCTCTTCTTTCTCGGTGGCTGAGTAATCCTGTAGCTTCACCACAAAGATGGGGTCGCCCTCTGGAGCAGACAGGAAGTTTTGGTTTATTACAAATAATTTGTAGATTTTCATAATTTTTCTCTGTGAAGAGCAGTCTTGTAATGCAGTATACAATATGACAATGCAAAAAGTGAGTCATGTAAGTCACGCTACTGTGAAACAGAAGTGAAAAGGAAACGAGGGAGCGCAGTTACCTACGACCGTCAGCTTGGCCATGGAGTAAATGCCTTTAGCCTCTGCCTTAATTTGGCAGGTATCATCTAGACTCAGCGTCCTCATTTCTAGAGTGTGTCTCTTTCCTTCCACGTGAATCAGAACCGTTCGGCTCACGTGGAGTTTGACTTCGTTTCGGTACCAGACCACTGGCACGTCCTCATGAGACAGCTCGAGATCAAAGCGTGCCGCGTTACCTTCTTTGACCGTTTGGTCCTGAAGCGGCTGGACAAAACTCAGCCTCATGCCTGGAATACATCGAGTCAGCGCAGACAGACATTGGCCACTGAGCGAGCTCACAGAGGAAACATGAACAACATGAAGCGTGGCGCTTCTCTTTGCCACTTACCCTCCACCATCAGCTGAGCCGTTGATTTCTGACCCAACGCTTCGATCGTGTACTGAGCCTCGTCATCAAACTCACAGCTGTTTATGATCAGCATGTGCTTCTTTCCGTCATCAATTATTTCATATTTAGGGCTTGGAGTGACAATCTCTGTCCCCCTGAACCATATGACCTTTGACACGTCCTTAGTGATGGTGCACTCAAACTTAGCCTGCTTCTTTTCAGGCACAGAAAGGTCCTTGAGCGGGTCAACAAAGCCCATTTCGATTTCTGAGAGGTGCGAACGATTTGGCAATTAATAACAGAAACAAAGACACAACCATAGCTTCTCTTACCGTGTTTGCTCTGCAACAGTTTTCCATGACCAACAAAATGCAGCAGGTTACAACAGGGGAATTTTTGTCTTTGGTAAATCCGTACCTTTGACGGTGAGCATAGCGCTGGTGACGGCGTTCAGAGCCTGGTATGTCACTTCACCAGCCTGATCCAGCTGCACGTTTTTCAGTGTCAGGAAACGTTTTTTGCCCTCAGCTTTAATGTCACAGGTCTGCAAAACAAAGAGGCATGAGTGCTACTTCCCTGTTCACATTTCTATAAACCCTACTAAATTTACTACAGCACAGAAGTATATGATCCTCTCATTTGTGGTTTCGAGTGGCCTGAGTCCTGCGACGAGCTCACGTTTAGCTGCTATCTCACTAGCTGGGCCCACGTCCTCATTTTAGGTTTGACAGCACATTAGTAGGTAAAGGTGACGCTTGGACATGAACTGAGCTGCGGTTTGGGGAAGGCCTCAAAGAGCCGACGGCTCCTGGCAGATCCCCGTGCACTAAATAGAAGTGAAGACTTGAAAAGCGGAGGGAGGGTGGGGCACAGAAACGAGAAGGAACAGCTTGGTGAACTGGGGGAACCTATATAGATGAGAACTGGACGGAGCATGTTTGGAGGCGTGGTGCCGCTCCTGAAATTCAGATATTTATCTCCAATAATTTACTCTGAGACAAAGCATTGTTAAATATCTTACCGGAGATCTAGTCAACACCTGGCCTTTCAGCTTCCATTCACCGGCCACATCGTCCTCTGATATCTCAGAGTCAAAGTTGGCCTCTTCCTTCTCAACCACCTCCACACTGGAGAGTGGCTTCAGGATCTCAGCCTCACGCTCTGAAAGCACCCAAAGAAAGTTAGAGTTAGAAACCTTTGCGATTGGAAAAGCGTGGTCCTCATGCTTCCCCAACGTGGATACACCAACCTCCAAGTGTCAGCTTGGCTGTATATCTGCGATCCTCCACCTGGATGGTGTAGTCTGATACATCATCAGGCTGGCAGTTATTGATGCTGAGCGTCATGTCCTTTCCATCTTTATTGATCTCGACCTTGTCAGAGGGAGTAAGCTCGTTTTCTCCTTTGAACCACTTCCAGTTGGGCGTGTCCTTGAACAGCTCACACTTGAAGGTGGCCTTTGCCTTTGGTTTCACATGCTGGTCTCTCAGAGGCTTCACCAGCCAGTCTTTGATGGTTTCTGAGGAGGAAGGGTTCACATTATATTTGTTCCTACAGTGGAAAACTGCTCAACAAGACACACTCTTATGCCTCAGTCACACTAAGGAAATATGACAACGACTTCTGTGTAACTAGGGAAAATCTTTGGTTCACTGGATTGGTAGATTGGCTGCAAGAGAGCTTGAGTGTGCAGACTGACGCCGTCCTAGTGCAGCTTTATTGCCATCTTGATGCATCAAGGTCACATTAAAGATGGCGACGGATTCCCGTCTTTGAGCAGCCATCTTTGCCAGAACAATGAGACTGCACACCGTCACAGTAATTTTGGTTGTGCCATGGTCTGTTTTCTTTGGTGCAGCATAAGGCAACTCAAACAGGGATCAACTTAGGCCTTAAATGGTGCATAAATACAAGCTCTACTGTTCATAGTCGCTGCCCTTCATATTGGTTTTTAACTGCTGGGGGACAGTTTCAGCCTGGGACCAATCCAGCTTGTAGGTGGACTCACCCTGAACGATGGACGGCACAATGACTGTATTTATCTTGTTTCATTGCTACCATGCTCTGCAGACTTCTTACCAATAACTTTGACGTTAGTTGTAGTCTTGACGTCCTCCTGTCCATCGACCTCACAGGTGTAGGCGCCGCCATCTTCATCGGTGGAGTTCTGGATGGTCACAGCATGCTGCATGCCAATTACATTAACGGCCACTTTTCCAGCCTTTGTTTTCAGAACCTGACCGTTACGTTTCCAAATGACGTCCCGTTCTTTGTTCAGCTCACAGGTGAGGTACATTGGCTGACCCTTAATGCATGTTGTCTCTGGTTCCAGTTCCTTCAACCATTTCACAGGCAGCTCTGTGGGAAAAAGGTGATTAAAAGTGTTTTCATGAATGTCAAATAAGTTTTTAAAAATTGATGTTGGATTAAAACAATCGTTTACCTTCAACAATTAACTTGGCTGTGCATGTTATTTCCTTGCCCGCATTCTTAGCCACACACGTGTATTCTCCAGTGTCAGATAGTTGCACATCAATAATGTGCAACTTGCGATCTTTGCCATCAGATGTAAACTTGTGCTTGGGGCTCTCACGCAAGTTGCTGTCATCTTTCATCCACGAAGTGATGGCCGTGGAAGGCGAGACCTCGCACTCAAACACCGCGGAGGAGCCGATGGACTCAGCTTCCTGCAGCACAATGTCCTTAAGCTTCTTAATGAACTTCAGCTGGACAGGTTTGAGCTTGAATCCTCCAAATGGGTCCTCGGGAGGTGATGGGCCTTTTCCACCTGGCTTTAGACCCCGGCCCCTGCCTCCTTCACCAGGAGATGGAGTTTGTCTCGCTGCAACATCAGACACAAAAACTCCTCTTGTTGATTCAGATGTTGGGGCAAGTGACGAATTAGACAGCAGCTTACTTTGAAACTGTGAGCTACCTACTGTGACTTAAACCTACTGTGAAGAATAAACATATTCGACACAAACAACGAATCCCACAGAACAAAAAAGCTTTAGATTTATACTCACGACGATACACAGACACAGCTGTCAGTCAGAAACGAGCTTTGAACTCAAAATTAAAATTGTAACATAAAATATATTTTTGGTTTTGTTCTAAAGACACACACAAAAAAACAACTTTGGCTTTACAAGTGTGTATGAAGCAAATGAAAGTGCCGAATGGTTTGTGCTGATGAGATCTAATGTTAGTGAGCTCTCACCCCCAAATCCTCGACCTCGGCCTTTGGCGGGCTCTTCTGTTGGTTTTCCATCTGAGCAAGAAAGAGTAGGACAAGTTTTAAGCTTCACTGCAAGAGCTCATCCTAGTCTCCAACACAAACCAAGATAAAGATGTTAACAAAACTAACAGCCAAGATTCAAGATCGTATCCAGATCACAGCTGAACATCAAATTACACACATGTAAAAAAAAAAAGTTCAGTGACGAGGATGAAGGTGAGATGGAAACGGAAAAACTGTTGCAGTGAATAATAAAAACAGTGATGAAGATGAGCATCGAATGACTGATGACACAACTGAGGACGGATTTAAGATGATGACCACTTAAAAACATCACAAAGGATGGATGGGCAATGAGCAGACAGACAAACAGATGAACAAATATATAATGTAACGTAAAATTGGATGTAATGAAGATTAGATGAATCGTCTGAAATGGGATGAGGCGATTCCAGAGTCATCAGCTGGACGAGTTCACCGGCCTTCACCTCACCTCTCTTGGCGCCGGGCATGCCTGGAGTCTCCAGCGCCCCATCCACCCCTTCACCTTCCCAGTCTTCCGGTGGAACCAGCTCCCAGTCCCAGACCTCCTCATCTTCGTCGGCTACCATTTTTTCACCCTCCTCTTCACATACCTCCTCCTCTGGCTGGGTTGTCACCCGCTTCATCTCCACAGCTCCAGGAGAGATCTCCTTCACCAGAGGGATCCGCCCTGTATCAGGCCTTTCTGAGGGCCCCTCTGGTGAGGGCTTCTTGGGCACCTTTTTGAGGGTCACGGTTTCAGTGGAGTCTTTTGGCGAAACAGTCTTGGGAATCCTTTTGACTTTTTCACCACTTGGCTTCTTCTCGATGGGAATTTGCTCCACTTCACTTGGCTTTATTTTCTCTATCTTGGGTGATGGGGTCTTTTTTAGTTCAACCTTCTTCAGCTGCTCAATAGGTTTGAGGGGCTTTTCCTCTTCAGGCTTATCTTGACTTATCTTGGCTTTGGGTGAAGGAGTCTTTTTGATTTCTGGACTTTTCTTCAGGATATCGGTTTGCTTTGGAGGACTCGGTCTCTCTTCTTCTTTCTGACTTGGAGGACTGGGCTTCTCAGCTGGTTTCTCCTTCTTCTGAGGTGTTTCGTTGTCTTTTTTAGGCGTTACAGTCTTTTCAGCTTTCTTAAGTTGTTCCTTCGGCTCTTTAGTTGCTTGACTGGGTACCTTTGTGTCCAAAGGCTTCTTCTTCTCTTCTGATGCTTTTTCTGGCTTTTCTTCAGGCTTGGTGATTTTAGTGAATGGTTTCAACACAACCTGCTCTTTCTCTTTATCAGGTGTAGAAATAATTTTAGGTTTTCTGCGGAGCTTTTCGGCCGCTGTAGTTTCTACATCTTTGGGTACTTGATCAACCTTTTTCTTATGTGGGATTTCCTTTTGGTCTTTGTTGATATGTGGAGATGCATTGTCATTCATCAGTGGAGCATCGTCATCATCTTTCTGGTGTTTTACAGCAGCAGCAGGTTGATCTCTTCGTGGCAGCTCACCTCTCATGTAAGGACTCCGCTCAGTATCTGTTTTTGCCTCAGCTTCTGTCTCAGCCTTCGGAGGTTCAGCTGCTTCTTGTTTTTGGGGTTTTTGAAATGGCTTCAGTGTAACTACTTCCTGGTCCTCGTCCTTCTTTGGTAATTTTTTTATTTTCTTTTTATTTAAATCTGACTCTGGTTCCTCTTCTTTTGGTGCTTTTGGGGCTCTTACCCATCTTGATTTCTCATCTTCTGCCTCCAGTTTTTCAGGTTCCTCTGCAAAGCTGAGTTCAGATGTCTCTTCAGCTGCTGTGAAAACTCGTTCCTTTCTCTCAACTGTTACTAACTCTCGATCCTCTCTATCACGAAGTTTCTGGACTGTTAATTCTGCATCATAATGCCTTGTCACTTCAACTTTATGAGTTATGACTTCCTTTTCAGGCTCCTTTGGTTTAGGTGGCACCTTTTTTAGTTTGATTGCTTGTAATTCAGCATCTTGTTTCCCAAATGTTTCAAATGGTTTTAGTTTCACTGATTCTTTTTGCTCATCTGCTTTTGGCAATTTAGTTATTTTCTTCTTTGCGACATGCGGCTCCTCCGGTGCCTCGTCTTTCTGAGGTTTTAAGGTTCTTGTCCATTTGCCAGGTTCTGGTTTTTGCACAACTGTAAGGCTTTCCATTTCCTCAAAATGGCTTAACTCAATAGTTTCCTCATCTGCAGTGAATACTCGTTCAGTTCTACCAAGTGTGATTATCTCTCGATCGTCTCTGTCATGAAGCCCATGAACTGCTAGCTCTGGATCGTGATGCCTCGTCACTTCTGCCTTATGAGTTACGACTTGTTTCTCTGGCTCTGGAGGTTTCACTGGAACCTTCTTCAGCTTAATGACCTCTGGTTCTGGTTCTTTCTCTTTCGGTATTCTGGTGAACTTACTCTTCAGCTTAGGTGATTCGGGTGTTTTTGCCTCCTGAACAGGAATCTTACCCTTTTGCTTAAGAGACGGCACTGTGGTTTGGGCAGCAAATGCACCTTTTATAATATCACCATAATAACACAGAAAATAATAAAATATTTTCTACAGTATAACACAGAATCACACTTACACATGTAGATGAAACTAAAATATCCTAAAAGGCTACAAAAAATTGAAGCAGGTTGTGCTTTGTTTCTTTGAAATAAAAAGGTTTTGCATACCTTTTGTTGGTCCAGGTGCTGACACTGGTTCCTTGTCTGCAAAAAATTATATAAAATCATTATAAGTACAAACAATGCAAACAGAGTTAGACAAAAGGCTCAGTCAAAGCCAAAGATGGTTCATTTGTTTGAGGCATGCAGCTGTGTTTGGGGTTGTTTTACTGCTTTGAGCTTTCAGCAGAATACTTTGCAGAAATAGAGACAGTGAGCTTTAAGAAGAAGCAGGAAGTTCATCAGCTGTTTAACACGTTTTATTACTGCAAACATGATGCCCCCAGATGTTTAAACATCCTTTATAAGGTCATTTGGCTTCATTCAGCAAATTGTGTTAATATTAAAGAAGTGAATTGGATCAAAGTGTGGTAGTGGACTGTTGTGTATAGAAACAGACCAACAGATGTAAACAGGAAACACATTTTAAAAGAAAAGGTAAATATGTTTGGTATGAAGATTGAAGCTGTGCCATTAAAAATGCTTCAAAGTAGAAGACAAACATAAGAGAGGAGCATACATGAAAGAACAGATGTTACCTTCAGGCGGCGAGATTTCCTTTGATACAGGAGCTGGTTCAGCCTTTACGGCTGGTGCAGGAGCTTCCTTCTCCAACGATGCAACTTCAGCTACAAGAACGCCAACATGATTAAATCACTGGCAAAGATCTGGTCAACAAGCAACAACCAACTGACAAACAGATGAACCAAACGTATAAAACTACAGAATTCACTGTTGTTAAGACCCAACAGATTTCTCAAAGGCAGGACAAACAGAACAGTCAGTAAGATTAATGATAAGCAGTGGAAACTACCTGCGGGGGGACCCACTCTCTCTGCTGTTGGCTTAGTTGTTGGTGGAGGCACCTTCTTTTCCTCAGGAGGAGACACTTAGAAGTACAAAATATCAACGGTTACGACCAAGAGAGAAGACACGAAAGTAGCAACAAATTGGAACAGACAGAGAACAATATAAAGATGTTAAGATGGAAGAAAAGTTTACATGGGCAACAAAGATAACAGTAACTCAAACAGAAACAGAATAAGACAACATGGAGAATTTTTTATAATAACAAACAGAGGTGTAACAGAAGTACCTGCAGGAGGAGCAACTTTGGCTGCAGGAGCAGCAGGAGCCGAAGGCTTCGGCGCTGGAGAAGATGGTTTCTTTTCCTCTGAAGGAAATAATAATAGAAGATGCCAAGATCATGACCAAGATTGCCATGTGGTCAGTAGAGACACCAGAGAGGACTAACAACAGTCAGCCAGTGAAGTTAAAGCAAACATGAGGCGATTATCACCCACCAAATGAAACCAAACAGAAAGACAACATTTACAACAATAACAAAAGTGAGCGAAGAAACTACCTGCAGGAGGAGCAACTTTCTGTACAGGAGCAGGGGGAGCAGGAGGTGAAGGCTTTGGTGCTGGTGCAGATGGTTTCTTCTCCTCTGGGGGAGATACTTTAAGAATACAAGATGCCAAGGTCACGACCAAGAAGCCATAAGCTTGGTCAGTGCAAACTTACGCATAATACACACATTAATTTAAAAAAAATCCAACAACTTAGAGAGGAAGAATACAAAAAATCAAAGACAAAAAAGGTCAACTCATGAAGAGTCAGCAAAGATGAGGAACATGCAAACTAAACAGGCTACCTGCAGGGGGAGCCACCTTCTGCTCAGGAGCAGGGGGAGCAGGAGGTGAAGGCTTTGGTGCTGGTGCAGATGGTTTCTTCTCCTCTCGGGGAGATTCTTTAAGAATACAAGATGCCAAGGTCACGACAAACTGACTCACAGTAAGTACATAAAACAAAAAATAAACATGGAAATCTGAAGATGACTTAGACAGAAGGGACAAACAAATAGAGATGAAGATTAGAAAAAGTTTGGCCCATTAAGATTCAGCAAAGATGAGGAACAAACTGAACAGGCTACCTGCAGGGGGAGCCCCCTTCTGCTCACGAGGAGGAGTAGGTGAAGGCTTTGGTGCTGGGAGAGATGGTTTCTTCTCCTCAGGAGGAGGCACTTTAGGAATACAAGATGTCAAGGTCACAACCGAGACAGCAGCACAGTCAGCCAAGACTAGACACAGATATTTCAGGCACATTTCTGCAAACATCATAAACAGGCTGAAACAGCGACAGAGATAAAGATGTGGATGAAGGCTGAAGAATGAAGATGATGAATGAAAACAAAATCCCAGCAGTAAAAGAGGTTAACAGACCAAGACTGCCTCAAATCGTCATTAAAAAGATCAGCTTAATATGGACTAAGGTTTTCTTGTTAACCACGATGAGTACAAGATATTAGTGAAAGTAAAGTTTAAGAGAGGCGATCGTGGAGCCTGTGTGGCTCAGATACCTGTATCAAGAGCCTGTTGGTCAGTCTTCTGTGTTGGCTTCTTTGCTTTCTTGTCATCTGCTCTTGTTGGTGTAGCTTCAGTTGCAGAGTTGTTTGCTTCCTCAGAAACTCTCAAAGATGGAGAGATTTGCTGAACTTGAGATGTTTTTACTGGAGCAGGCACAGAAGGAATAGGTTTCTTGACAGGAGTGTCTTCTTCAAGGGACAGATCTTCTATTAGGCCAAAAACTGCCTCAGAGAGTGTAGGGGAGCTGTGTTTGGTTGGCAGAACAGACTTCTTTGCTGGAGAAATGTCTTCCTCCGAACAGCGTCTCTCCTCGGGTGAAGGAATCTGATCTGTAACAAAACGTGATCCATCCCTACTTTGTTTAATCGATGCATCTTCTGATAGAAGACTTGGCTTGTCCAGAGGTAGAATATCTTCATCACATGCATTTATGGAAGTTTTAGGAGTTTTCACCATGTCTTGACTTGAAGATACCATTGTAGGAGAAACTGCTGCAGGGTGAGAAAGAGTGGTTTGGGGAACATCTGCTTTACCTTCAACAGACCCATCTTGCTTCAAACAAATTACTTCTGTAAGAGCTCTCGGCTTCTTTGATGTGGTGACCTTTTTAGACTTAAGTTCCTCTATTGCAGAGTCTTGAATTTCTTCATGATATAATGATTCAGTAACTCTTGTCTGTAAATACGCAGTAGGAAGGCCAGCCTCTTCGGCCTGCTCTTTCTTCTTGTAAGCCTCTTTTTCTGATGTAACACCAACATCAGGAGAAGAAACCTTTTTCTGCAAAAGATGAGACATTTCAGGTGGAGGTGCAACATCTTGTTCTGCAGGAGAATGGGCAGACCCCTTTAGAGTTGGAGAAGCAGACCACTGAGACATTTCTTTCTCTATTTTCTCAGGTTTGTAAGGTCCAGTCCACTCCAGTTGTTCAGCCTCATAATCTGTTTTCCATTGCTCTATAATCTCTACCTGACGATCTTCTCTGTATGATACAGAAACCACCTCCTTTGTCTTTTCAATTTGTTCCATTATCTCAGTTTTCAAAATGGTTTCTTCTCTTGCAGTTGACTCGTTGACTCCTTCTTCATATGTGTCGACTTCCTGTTTCCTGTAGTCAGCTTCTGTAAGGGAAGTCCTTTCTTCAACACCTTTTTCTGCAGGACACTCCTTTCTGCCTTCAACCTCAGCTGTTGGCTTCAGATGAGTCTTCAGAGGAACTGGGATAAATTTTAAGATATTACCCAAGATTGAAGAAATGCACCATGGAGCGGTGGCCAAGAAGAAAACACGACACATACACACCACCAAGACACAAAAATACAAACTTTAGTGTGGTACATATTCAACTACGACCCTTATTTTACAACTATTTTAAAAGTATTATGAATTTCTACCTCTCTGCTGAGGGATTTCTATGGCCTTTGGCTTGTCTTCTACTTTTCCAGAAGCAACGATCTCATCTGATTATAGAAGCAAACGTATCTAGTCATGTTCTAAGGAATTCATAAAAATGCTGAATATCCACGGGGAACCTTTCAAAGTCAAAGCATACCTTTGACTGGTGTACTCGCCTCCAGCTGTGGTTTAGCTAGAGCTGTTGGTATCCCCCTTTGTTTGACTGTTTGGATGACTGATATGAAGTAACAAACAGTGAACAGTCAACACACAAATCATAACAAAATCTTTGAAGAAAGCTTACGGCATTTCAACAAGGCCAACTTATTGTGTTAATAGGTCAAGATGAGTTACTAGTAAGTGGTTATAAGACCAACCAAATGGTATTGACAGACATATCTACCTTCAGACTTTTTGGCCTGCGGTTGTTGTATTGGTGTTTCCAAATGTTGTGGTTCTGCTGACACTTCTAGATCTTTCACTGGCTCTGCTGATCGTTCTATAACCTGTGCTGTTGGAACTTTCTGTGGTTCTACCACAGCTGTTTTTGCTACTTCTGGAACTTTCTTCAGTGTTTCTGGAACTGATTCTTCAGGAAGCTTCTTTGGTTCCTTGGGAGGCTTTTTAGGTGCTTCAGGAACCTTCTTTGGTTCTTCAGGAACCTTTTTTGTTTTTTCAGGAACCTTCTTTGGTTCTTCAGGAACCTTTTTTGGTTCTTCAGGAACCTTCTTTGGTTCTTCAGGAAGCTTCCTCGGTTCCTCTGTAGCCTTCTTTGCCGCTTCAGGAACCTTCTTTGGTGCTTCAGGAAGCTTCCTTGGTTCCTCTGTAGCCTTCTTTGTTGCTTCAGGAACCTTCTTTGGTGCTTCAGCAACCTTCTTTGGTGCTTCAGGAACCTTCTTTGGTGCTTCAGCAACCTTCTTTGGTGCTTCAGGAACCTTCTTTGGTGCTTCAGCAACCTTCTTTGGTGCTTCAGGAACCTTCTTTGGTGCTTCAGCAACCTTCTTTGGTGCTTCAGGAACCTTCTTTGGTGCTTCAGGAACCTCAGGAGCCTTGATTTTTTCTGGAGTTTCCAGGTCCCTTGGTTCAGTTACTTCCTGCTGATGTTTATCAGCCAGCAAATATGGTTTTCTTGGAGGTTCGTGTATCTTTGATTCTAAAGCAACTTAAAAGAAGATTTATTTAATATTTAATTTTTTTTTTTTAATACCAAAAATTTGTAGTCACACTCTAACGAGTGCTTAGCATGCTGAAAGATATTCATGTAAGATATTTCAGAAAAGCAAAAGTTATACTAACAAGTATAAAAGAAACCGGCACAACACAGCAGCTTTTCAACAAACTCTTTGTAGTACCTTTAACTGGGACATCTTCAACTTTTTGTGGAGTAACTTTGGGTGCAGATGGTTGAGGTACAGGTTGTTCTGGTCTTGGTGTTTCTTGCACTTAAGAGAAGATTGTGTATTTTTTTATCCAACAGCTAACAATTAAGATTCATATGGAATCAAAGATACATTCTTAATGAGTGAAGTCAAAGTAGGAAAGATGATATTAGAGAAAAAGAAGCAACACGACTTTGGCTAACAATCTATACCTTCAGTTGGAAGATGTTCCAATGATGGAGAAGCAAGGACTGCACTTGGGTGAAGTACAGGTTCTTCTGACTTTGGTGGTTTTGGTACTTTAAAGGAAAAAATGCATACAGTGTATATGTTCAGTAACCTTCTGGTAACCACGGTGGCGTCAACACTCTATCGAGTGCTTAGAGAAAGACACAGTCACAGTACATTAAATACACAGCTGAGCCTTGTTTGTTGTAAAGAGAGTTAGTGTCACACATGAAAAACATGTCCCTTCATTACCTTTTAATAATGGATTGGATTTATATAGCGCACAATTCCACTATTCATTCACTCTCACTCTCACACACTGGTGGAGGCAGCTACAGTTGTAGCCACAGCTGCCCTGGGGCAGACTGACAGAAGTGAGGCTGCCATATCGCACCATCGGCCCCTCTGGCCAACACCAGTAGGCGGTAGGTGAAGTGTCTTGCCCAAGGACACAACGACCAGGACAGAGAGAGCTGGGGGATCGAACCAGCAACTTTCCGGTTACAGATGAGCTTCCCAACCCTCTGAACCACGGTTTTGTTCTGCTAGCGTCAGTCTTTGTTGAAGTAATCATTGTAGAGACTGGCTGAATTGTGGCTTCTGCTAGTTTGTCTACAGCTGGCACTTTGCACAGCATTTATATGTTTGAATGTTTATTCTTTTACTTACCATAGATGTATTTTCATGATCAAAATTTGTTAGATTTGTTATTTATACACCAAAGCAATGTCTTTTTTAAAGGCTATATTCAAACACTCCAAACACCACGTGTGGTCCACACTATAGACAGTGTTAATGCTTAAAGATCAAGAGGTTAGCAGCAAAGGACATCCATGACATATATGAACATGTTAAGAAGTGCACACTTAGGTCACAGCAACATGAAACAAAACTAGAAGAACTTGGGATGTAATGACTTTCCATTTGAACATCAGAAAAACAAAGTGTTCATTACATTACCTTTTGGTTTTAAGGCCTCTGGCGTTTTCTTAGTGGGGACAGCTTTTGGTTCTTGGAGCTCAGGCTTAATTTGAGCCACTTCAGGCTTAGGTACCACTGGTTTCACGGGTTCCACTTCAGGCTTAGGCACCACTGGTTTCACGGGTTCCACTTCAGGCTTAGGCACCACTGGTTTCACGGGTTTCACTTCAGGTTCTGAATGAACCAGTTTTGGTGTTGCTGGTTTGGGTGGGTAAGGTTCAGGTTGGGTGAAGACTACTGGTTCTTCAAGGTTAACAGAGAAATATTACCATCATTTAACACAGGAACCACAGAGTTGTAAGAGCTTGGGGCAAAGAGGAGACACATAAAACCTGACAGCAAGAACTCAATGCTATTTACGCATTGTAAGAAAGCAAGAAAATACTTCACACAACAATTAAAGAGACAAAAAAAGCCTAAAAAATACTCATTAAATCTGAAAGATCTTGAGAGCATAATTGTGAATAGTTTGAATTTCATATTCATGCTAAAGTTGGTGAGTTTGTGCTACAAAAACCTGACTAAAGTTTTAAATATAGTGTATGTATCCAATATAATATATCATGAGATTTCCTGAAGTTTGTGTAAAAGTATGATGCTTTCTGGTAAAGATTTGTAATTCGCATCATTTACATAAACAGTTGAGAACGTGAGCCAATAAAGACCCACAAGCACATAAAATAAGACATTTTTAGTGACTCACTGCATCATGAACATTACCTTCTGGAGCTGGACGTTCCTCTCTCTGAGGTGGAGCAGGGGCTTCAGGCTGTAGCTTCTTTGCTTCAGGTACTTTAAAACATCATCATTCATTTCAATTTCTCACCACATTAAACTGAACATCAAGGTTTCTTTCTTATTATTAATTTAGGAAAAAAATAAAGAATGGAAATAAAAAAGAAAAGATGTGACATACCAACAAGACAAACACCACACGAAGAAGAATATAAAGAACAGACATTTGTAGATACCTTTGACCAGAGGTGGAGGCGGAGCTTCAGGCTCAGAGGGTTTCTCCTCTGGCATCCTGTGAATCTCAGGAACTTGAAAGATCAAGAAAGGTCACATTAAAACTACTTCAGCAAAGCTCTACCGTCTACTCTGCCAGATCTACTGCATGGAAAGCTCCAGTGAAGGTTAATAAGAGCATGAAGGCAAGAACAGAATAACTGCAGAGAGATGAGACAAAAACATGACAAAAACAGGTAACATGCAGGATCATAGAAGTAACACCTGAGGAGAAGAACAGCTTCTGTAAGCAGCAGTTGGTGTTTGAAGCATTTAAGTGGAATTTAAGTGGGCAGACAAACATAACAGTCAGCTGATTGGCAGCGCCTCATTATATTTCAGCTCCGAGCTTTATGAACAGCCAGAACATTTGCAGTTATACCTTCAGGGAGTTCTCCTCTGCCCTCGACCTCAGTCCACTCAACAGTTTCTTCTGCAGGCTTTTTCTCTTCTGGTGAGGAAAAAAATGTAAACTCAGAAAAAGAACGACTGACACGTGAAAGCTGCTGCAGGTCGTCGAGTATCCAAAGCTGCTAAAAACACAACGAAACACGATAACAGGGGAAACAGGAAGACGGGTGTGGGCCGCACCGATGAGCAGTTCAGACAATAACACGTCCACAGCACGTTAACAGTCATTACACTTCATAAAGTGACCACGGAAAGATATTCGCCGTTAGACGTCAGATCAGTGAACAGTTTATGTTTGAGCAGACGACGATCAGGTCGTGAAACCTTTAAATATTTCAGATGAAACTCCACAATCCTGAAAATACTGTTAATTTATCAAAGTTCTGAATTTGAGGTGAGATAGTCCAATTTTAAGTTTAGCTTTACAAAAATCAGACTTACTGTTTATTTATTGAAAACCTCATTTTTATTTTTAAAATCTGAGCAGCGAAGTCTGAGAGGCAACCAAAACCATAATGAGAATATAATAAATCAGATTTTACAACAGGAATGTTGACATTTTTGTAATTCAGAAAACAACGTGATAAAAATCATAAGTATAGTCAGAAACTTGTAATTCTTTACTACAATAAAATAAAAGAACTGTACATCTTTAAACTGGCTGGATTTTAAATCTCGTCATATCAGGATTCATTTGAAAAGTGATTCTTAGACACTGACGTGACCGTCGTCTGCACAGCTCAGATAATGAAGCTGAATTATATTTGGGATATTATAACGGGTCGTGTACAGATGACGCTTAAAACAAGCACACAGTTACTCAGGATGAAGGTTAAAGGAGGAGGAAGAAGGTGATGAAGATGATGATGGTTATGATGATGATGGACTTGAGGGTGATGACGGTTAAAGAAAACGGTTTAATGCAGAAAGTTTCGTCACGCAAACTGTAGAGATTACGGCGGTTAGAGCTGATCTTGGGGAGTGGCGACTGCTGTACCTCTCACTTCTGTTCTCTCCTCAAAGTGATCAAACTCGGAGGAATCTTGTGGCAGAAAACAATCGTGTAAATGACAGAAACGAGCAGAGTCACTGAAATCCTGATCAGTTTGAACCAGACTCACCTCTGCACACGAGCATAGACGCTGCCTCTGACACACGAACGGCTGTGTCGGGGACATCTGAAGGTTCAGCCACAAACACTTTGATTACTATTATTATTACTATTATTATTGTTGTTTTTATGTTCTGACAGTAAAACTTAACACTTGTTCGGTATGACTGAAATCACAGTGACGTGTAAGATGATGCACTGAAACCCCACAGTCACAGTCACAGTGAAAGCCTTGTTGGCAGTGGTCGGCTGTACTGCGCAAACCAATGAGACGTCAAGGAGCCTCCCAAATAGATGAGCCGTGATTCTTGTGAAAATGGTGTCGGTGAAATGACCAGTGCGACCTCGACCGTGTTGTAAAATCGTAAACCTGTGTCTGAGTTTGCAGGTGAAGACGTGTTCAGGTTTACTGTCGTTTATTTGCTGCACTTTTTAAGATACTCACCCTGAGGAACCCTCCCTAACTCAATTTCTGTGAAAGGACAAAGTACAGAAGCGTTATTGTAGCTGCTGACATCACGCTGCTGTCAGTAATGTGTAAAAACGTACACACCTTTGCCTGACAGGTAAAGCTCGGCTGTGCTTCGAGCTTCTCCCAGTGGCTCCAGGCGAGCAATCACCGAGTACACGCCTGGTGGGGAAACATCACGGAGTTCAGGCCAAACTGTCCCTCAGACACTTACAGAAGAGATCGCGGTAAAGGCCGGTCACACCAGAGAGCCCAGCTAATCCTCTCTAAACGTCAGCACTGCAGTAATGTCCAGGTGAAGTTAAATTTGTTTCACAGAGCTAATCAAGGACAAGTCATATATGCTACACCACTGCTGGTACACAAATATGGTCGCTGGCTAGTTTTGTTATTCGACGGTATCCTGTTCGGTTCATTCAAAAAATAAAAATAAAAACTGATTACTGAGTAAAGCTCAAGGTTTAAGAAGCTAAATGAAAGTGCACGTGCTGCTCTGAACTCTGGCAGCAACTCGGCTGTAACACGACGGCGGGTCGATGAGCAGCAGGGTTCAGAGGATCCACTAAACGATGCTGGCGTGACCGCACCTTTACTCGGATTTCACATCTTTGCATTGAGTCTGTGCAGCTGAGGCAGAACGCTGCCAGGTTAGCAGACATGTCTTCTTTTGGTCCGATTAGTTTTTCATGTACCAAAAATCATTTTACAGGGGATCTAGCCCCCTCCTAAAAATTCTCAATTATTTCTTACTTTATCATCAGTTTATCTTCTGTCCGCTTAAAAATAATTTCAGATCTTTTACGTTTTTACTGCCCCTCTCCCTAAAAGCATTCATATGATTGTTGGGTTTTTCTGTCTACTTTACGATATAAAGCGCCTTCAGGTCACTGTTGTTGTGTTTTGGTGCTGTATAAATAAAACTGATAAAATACCAAAAGGTGCTGGAAACAGTAAGAACTTTGTGTTTACTATGAATCTCTGGAACAGCAGAAAACGCCCCCTTCAAGCGCCCAGTAACATCTTTTTAGCTTAGAGATATTCAGCTGCTGTTTGTCGTGTGAGTTAGTAAAAGTTTCAGCTAAACCGGCTAAATGCATTCAATGACATGAATAGAATACTTTTATTTTTTAATACTTTTATTGTGCACCATTAAAACCAGATGTTAATCTATAAGATGATGCATACTACTCAAACAGCTAAACTTCGGTCTAGTTATTAGAAAAGTGTCTCCGGAGGAAACAGTAACTTGGCCGTGTAACAAACCTTCGTCCTCTGCAGTTACGTTGTGGATTGTCATAAAGTGCCGTCGGCTTTCAGTCCTGAAGTTATATTTTGGGCTTTCTTTAAGCTCCCACGAGTCTTTGTACCACGTGACGGTAGCGTTGTCGAAGGATAACTCGCACTCGAAGGTGGCAGAGTGGCGTTCGTTGACCTCGATGCTTCGGATGCTTTTAGTGAACTGAATTTGATCGACTAGAACCAGACAATAAGAGTGAGCCTCCGAAATATGCATTTTAAATGTGAAGATCTGATGTCACAGTTAAGTGTTAAGACTCCTCTTTGGACTAAAATCAGATTCAGTATAAAAGACACAGAAACAAACACACAATCAAAGGTAGAGGAGAACCTTCAGGTTCAAAGAGGTCAGTCTGAGTCGTGTTAGTTTGGACTCATCCTTCTTACCTGTCTTACGAGCAGCTCCTGATAATAAAATGGAAGAGCTGGACGTGAGGACGTGTTACAGACACACAGAGACAGACATCGGGACTCTTACCTGTGACCGTCAGTTTGGCGTTGGAGATGTGAGGACCGCACACCACGCGGTAGTTGCCCTGATCTTTGACCTGGCAGTTCTTGATTTTCAGATAATGGCGGTCCCCCACGCTGCTGATGTCGTACTTTTCGCTGTTGTCCAGTTTCTGGGTGCCTTTGTACCAGGTGAGCGTGATCTCTGGGTAGTTGATCTTAATCTGGCACTCAAAGGTGGCGCTCTGGTTCTCCGTGATGGTTTGGTCAGTGATGTCCTCCATCACAGAGACGGGCTGAGCAAGAAAAACCCGTTTCATCAACGTCTGAAGTTGTGTATTGTCAAATCATTGATTATCTGTATTATATACTGAAACACGATGTTTCTTTTTTAATGGCCTCATAATCAGATGGTGCTTTTACCTCCATGCTGACGCGTCCCTCTAGCTGCTCGATGAGTCGGGCCATGTCCTCTTCTTCGACTCGTGCCCCACGCTCGACCTCCTGCAGCAGGACAGAGGCGAGTCTGTGAGAGTCGCTTCAGTGAACGTTTTCCATGTTTCCATGGTATTCATTCGTGCTTTTTTATTATTATTATTATTAATTTGTTTAACTTTGCATTATTCTGTTCTCGGCTCTTTGGTCAGCACTTGCTGTTTTAAAGCTTTACAGATAAAGTTGGCTTGGTAGCAAAAATATGGAGAGATCATGTTCGCCATGTCCAAATTTCTCTCTGGAAAGGAGAAGTGTATGTAAAATGCCTGTTTTTCTGCCTTATTTGTCTGCATCAACTATGTTCAGCTGCTCTCAACTCAAACTAAGAAGCCCCAAAGTATAAGCCCATGTTTATAAGATTGAAAGCTGCAGTCAGCTGAGACTGAAGAAGTCACCTGTGACGAAACGTTTCTCCCACAAAATGCTACGTCCAGGTGAACACAATCAACTTTTGGAGAAGCCCAAAGTAGGTTTTAGTTTAAATATGGGACCAAATACTCACACTAAGAAGCTGCTGGTAGTGAGTCTTTGCAGACTAAAGTTGGTAAAATGTTATCTGCTCCACAGCTAAGCCAAAATGTTGGAGACCCCAGAAGTGTGTTACCAGTCCAGAGACTTGAGGGCCATTTGGCCCTTTATTTGGTGGAATTTAGAGGTAAAGTTTTTGTCTCCATCCTTCCTGCTCACAGATTGTAAAGCTGAACCGTGATATTAATTCTGCTGCTTTCTCGCACAGCTATGTGGGACGATGTCCGGTCATCTGTGCTGACACTTTCTGTCTTACCGCTCTTCCAGTCTCCATCTCCTTCTCCTTCTTCAGGAACTCCACGGCCTGCAGGATGGCACGGTAGTCATGGATTCCATGTTCCCGCAGGATCCTCTCATAGTCTTTGGGGTCGTGACCTCTAAGCAGCTCTACAATGTTGACCTCTTCTTCTTTCTTGGGACTCTTCTGCTTGGAAGGAGTCCTGAAAATAGAAAATACACGATCAGATTTTTCTCTGCAGCAGATATCTCCCAGATGTTTGCTCTTCTGTTTCCTTTAGGCTTTGATAAAAGAGTCATTGCACAGAAAAGAATTTCACACTGCCACCATATCTTAATGCCTTACTTCTTGAGCCTCGTTCTTAAGTCTCCCACTTCTCCCATGTCCTCCTTTTTGGTCACCTCCATATCAGCGCCACTCTCAATTTCTCCATGTTTGTTGGTGGCAACACATCTGTAATGACCAGAATCAGACTTGGTCACTTCTCTGATCTGCAGTTTGGCATCCTGGCCCTTGTGCTCAATGGAGATTCGACCACCGGGGGTGATCTGTCTCCATTTGCCCTTCATCCACTTCACACTGGGGATTGGGTCACCTCCAATCTTGGCGATAAAGGTTGCAGTACCCTCTGCCAAAATCAGAAATACACAAAGTTAGTTCAAAATGGAAACCTCTAGAGATAATGAATGAAAGCAAAAAGAGCCTTGGCTCCTCGTGCTTACTCTCTGTGACAGAAACATTTTGGGGTTCCTCGATGAAGAACAGATTGTCGAGCCTTTTGACCGGGGCGGCTGCAGCCGGGGCAGCAGCCTCAGCGGGTGTGGCCTTGGCACCTTTATCTGAAAGGATTTGAAAGAGAGTTAAATGTTGTGAAACACATAACCAGCAGAAAGAAATAAACACTGCATTTCTCATAAAACTACTTTAAAAACAAAGTTTTGTAGTAATGTTGGTTTAGCGTCACAGCAGTAAACTTTTTCCACCGTGCAGTGGAGAGACAAAATGTGTTCATTACACAAAACTGGAACCACAGATTGATTACCTTTTACAGTGACTTTAGACTTGCAGAAGTCAGTGCCATTTGCATTGCTGGCCTTGCACAGGTAATCTCCAGCATCCGTCTTTGACACCTGGCTGATCTCCAGATTGGCCGTTCCACCAACAAATGAGATTTTGGTGTTTCCGCTGGACACGAGCTCTCTCCTGTCCTTCATCCACTGGATGGTTATTGGAGTAGAGCCGGTGACGTGGCACTGGAGGCTCAGCTTCTCCCCTTCACCCACAGTCACTGGTTCCAGAGGAACATCAAATTTGGGAGCCTGGCCAGTCTCTGGAGAAGTGGTGCAAGAACCGACAGGATGACTACAAATACTCACCTTTCAAACAGTGAACTGTTCAACTGAAGCTCATCCAAAATCTGGATGGATGCTAGCAAAACAAGTCACTGTATTTCATTCTGAAAACAGTCATAATTTTACCCAAATATAGTAAAATATTACCCAAACATTACTTTAATACAATGAAAGTGTCAGGTTTTAATCTTTAGTGCCATAAGAACATCCTGTAGAGTCACATCAGCTTTAGCTGCATGGATGAAAAGGATCAAACCCTAAATGACAGAGTCCTACCTGTTACTGTGAGAGAAACGTTACAAGAAGCTTTGCCAGCTTCATTGGAGGCCTCGCAGGTGTAAACACCACCGTCAGAGCCCGTGGAGCCTCTGACACACAGCACGGCCATGTTGTTTTTGAAGCTGATATCATATTTGTCCGAGGCGCGGATCTCACTGTTGTCCTTGTACCAGGAGACGGTCAGAGGTTGAGAGCCGGACACGCGGCCCTCGATCTTTACGGTCTTACCCACTGAATCCACCATGGACTCCGAAGGCTTCCTGGTGAAGTTTGGAGGAACTTTGCGCTCTGTTAGTGGGGAAGAAAATAAGAACGAAAATCATGCCATGCAGTGGCATTGGACGTTTGAGATTCCAATTTAAGAGTTCAGGCCACTGGGCCTTTACCACAGCTTCAGGAAAACAGTCTGGCACAGCACACGAGACAACATACAAACAACACAAAAGCAAAGAAATACTAAACATCAGAGATTCTGACCAAAAATCTCCTGTCTATGAAAAAGACCATTATCTGACCACTACAGCGTTGGTTTCAGGCATCTCTCAAAGCTTAGTAAATCCTTATTTCAAGACCTACAAAATGCAGAGCCAGCCACTGAAAACACCCTAAAATATCATCCTGGTTATTCCTGGCAAGCACAAGATCACAGGACGTCAAATTTATTTCCATAGCACTTTTAAAACAACAGCTGGTCACCAAAGTGCTGAACATCTAAAAGAAAAGTCAAATGGCATAAAAAGATGACGAAAGACAACAGAATTTAAGAAAGTAAATATAAATCGAGAAGATCTGAGTAAGAAATAGCACAAAAGTAATCAGAACTTATTCTGGTTTAAAAGAGAATAAGAGGGTTTTCAGGTGGGTTTTGAGAGTGTCTAATGTCCCACAGTTTAGGTGAAGCCACAGCCAAGGGCCAATCTCTGTGCTGCAATCTGAACCTCGGGAAATGTAGGTGCATTTGGTCCGCAGACCACAGGAAACAGCTACGTTCAACAGCATCAGTAATTAGAAGGATATCTGGGAATCAGACAAAGGAAACGTGTCGGTTCGTGCACCACCTTTTCTGACATGACTGGCATCTATGAATTATTCACTTACTCATGTTACATAAACATGGGAATTGTCCTCTGAGTGTTTCAAGTATATCTTCAGTCTCAACATCATGCCAGGCAAGCTGGTTCTGAGAAACAATGGTTTGGTTCACGCTTCCCCTGTTATGCTGCCATCTAATAATAATAGGTGATGGAGGTTATGAAATATTGGAGATAAACTAAGATCAGTTTTTAGACCTCGATGACTAAATACTGTGTTCCTAAACAACAGCGGGTCCCGGCTGCTCTTTTGCAGTACTTGTCTGAAAGGTGTATGTCTGTGAAGGTTCTCAGGCATCCAGGTCATCGTAGTCAAAGGAGCTTGGAAAGAAAAGCGTCTGGACTTCTTTAAGTTACTTGAAGACGTTTCACCTCTCATCCGAGAAGCTTCTTCAGTTCTAAGGTCAAATGGTGGAGAGTCCCAGATATAAACCTAGTGGGAGTTTCCCCCCACAGAGGGACAAAAGGACCCCCTGATGATCCTCTAATCGCCTGAGCCAAGGTGGTTTGAAAGAGGAGTGAAAGAAGCATCTATGTCCACTGTGAGCGACCATCTTTGAACAGAGGCGGGGCTTACGACACCAACTCTCTGCCATCTATAATCCAGTTTTGAGATCCCTCCCCAGACGCCTTAACGCCCACTCACATCAGGGGCCATCTGACCTCAGGAATTCGCATGATAAGGTGGGGCCAGGTTTCACAATGAGCTCACCCGAAACTCTGGCTGATTGGGACCCACGCCCAGTTTCACACCTTGGCTCAGGCGATTAGAGGATCATCAGGGGGTCCTTTTGTCCCTCTGTGGGGGGAAACTCCCACTAGGCTTATATCTGGGACTCTTCACCATTTGACCTTAGAACTGAAGAAGCTTCTCGGATGAGAGCTGAAACGTCTTCAAGCAACTTAAAGAAGTCCAGACGCTTTTCTTTGCAAGCTCCTTTGACTGTCTGAAAGGTGGGAAACCTCTAAATATGAACCTGGATTAAAGCTTGCTGCTGACTTTTAAGATTCCTTGTAACTCAACAAAACAGCTCGAAAAATGTCTTTAAAATATTGACAGTCACACCAGGCTTCATTCATTCTTCATTAATGTAGAAAAATGAAGTAGTGAACGTGAGCATCACCTTTCACAGTCACGCTACAGCTGGTGGAGGCTGAACCAACCCGGTTCTCGGCCTTGCAGATATATTCACCGTGATCAGACTTGGTAGATTTGAACAGTTGCAAAGTGGCAACGCCATCTGCAAAGTCCATTGAGCAACTGTTGGACTTGCGCAGCTTTCCATCCTCTTTAAACCAGGCGACAGAGATCACAGGAGTTCCTGCAATCCTGCACTCTAAGGTCACCGCCTCACCCATAGTTACCTCCACTGGCTCCAGCTTGTCAACAAAGTATGGTGGTTCTAAAGTGAGACATCAGGGTGGTTTAGTTTAAGTACAGATGTGTAAACATACAAATGAAAAATGTGTTTAAAAAAATGGCCAAATTAATGAATGTATGGTCATAAGTCACCATAAGAAAAACAGAGGGATCCACATTTACATGCACAACCAATCATTTTACCTAGGATTGTAACTTGTGCTTCACATTTGTCACTTCCAGCTCCATTGTCTATCTCACAATAGTATCTACCAGCTGCCTCCATCCTTTCAGAGTTCAGAACCTCCAGGATGCAAGAGGTGTCTGTGGTGATCATATTGTGCAGATAAGAGGCTTGGATGAGTTTACCATCCTTTTCCCAGGTTACATTTACAGTTGGGGTTCCAGCATATGTGACCTCGAGCCTCAGAGGCTTGTTCTTTTCAATGGAAATGTCCCTCAGCCTCTTCACAAAGTGGACTGGCTCTGAGAGGGGTAAGTCCACCGTCAGTTAAATAAAAATCAGTGCATGAATTGTAAGACGGGCATATATAATGCTAACAAACCTTTTACAAACAGAAAAACTGAGCAGCTCTCCTTTCCTGCATCATTAACGATCTGGCAGGTGTACTCTCCTGCATGAGACTTTTCAACCTTATGAAGCACCAGCGTGGCGACGTCGTCCTTCAGGGAGATCTCGCAGCCTCTCCCGTGCTGCATTTCCTTGGCTCCCCTGAACCATTTGACCTTTATGGGAATGCTGCCTTTCACTTTAGCCAAGAAAGACACACTTTGGCCAGGCAACGTTTCTCGAGCCTCGGGCGTTTCAGAAAAAGATGGTGGTTCTGATTTCCAATAAAAAGATTCAAATAAAAAAGATTTGTTGTAACCAAACTTCTGATCCTGGCTGAGGAAACCATGTTTAAAATATTCTGGTCTCTGGATTACTGACCTGTCACATTCATTGAAGCACTTGTCTCACTGGCTCCTGCAGCGTTCACAGCTTTACATGTGTATTTGCCAGAATCTGACGTCTTAATCACTGGAATTCTCAGCGTGCGCACATTATCCATGCTGCTAATGTCATAGTTTGGCCCACTGTTTATCTCTTGGCCATTATGGAACCAGGAAGTTGTTAAAGGAGTAGAACCGGTAATCTTACACTCCATCTCACCAGGCTTACCCACAACAAGGTGGGTATCTCTCAGCTTCTTTATGAAACTCGGTGGAATCAACTTATCTATTGTAAAGAAACAATAACATGGAGAGCTGATTGCTTATAAAAAGAAGAAGACAAGAAGAAGACAAGCTCACAAATCGGCAGCGAACACAAAAAACACAAACCTGAGACTGTGAGCTTAATTTTGCAAGAGGATGTTCCAACGTGGTTCGTAACCTGTAGTGTGTATTCTCCGGCATCTGCTTTGTCAGCAGACAGAATCTTCAGGGTGGCAAGCTGCTTTTTGAAGCTCAGATGATACTTTGCATTAGCAGAGAGCTCTTTGTTGCCCTTGAACCATGTAGTTTTCAGTTCTGGTGAGCCACATACTGTTACCTCAAGAGATACAGTTTCTCCTGACTTCACATTCAACAGCTCCGGGCTTTCCACGATAGCAGCAGGTTCTAAAGATTATGCAAGAACGCATTAGGCTAAAGAAATCCTGGTAATTAATTGCAATGGTAATGCAATTAACTTTGGAGTTCTACAAACCTAGAACCGTCACTTGAGAGACCGACTCGACCGCTCCACAGTCGTTCCTCAGCTGGCAGGTGTATTTACCAGCTGTGGTTGAGTCAGCCTGGGGCACTACGAGAGCAACCACATTGTTTTCAAAGGTGATCCTCCTGTTGTCATCTTCTCTGAGAATATGATCTTTGTCCTGAACCCAAGACACAGTCAGTGGCTCCGAGCCGTGCACGGTAGCTGTCAGCGTCAGCTGCTGACCGAGTCTCACTGACCGATCGACCAGTTTCTCCACAAACACTGGTGGTTCTGAACAGTGATGGAAAGATCACAGATGAGGAGAGGTGATCGCACGTGGCCAAGCTTTGAGGAAATGACCACTAATATCACACTAACCTTTCAGAGTAATGACAGTCTGGCACGATTTACTTCCTACATTGTTCGACGCCCTGCACTCATAAAGCCCAGCGTCATCTTGCTCCAGCTTTATAATATGAAGTGTAGCAAAGCTGCCCACATTGACCATCTTGCATTTTCTATCCTCCTTTAGTGGCCTGTTGTCTTTGTACCAGTTAACCTGGAAGGGTGGGGTGCCAGACATCTCACAATGCAGACTAGCATCTTTGCCTTTTATGCCCTCCACAGGGCTTGGAGTTTTAACAAAGGAGGGGGACTCTAGAAAATACAATGAGATATATTAACAGATGAAGCATTCATGAAGACGTAACACGAAGCAAGCAGTTCATCCGGACAGTTTCAACCAATAGAAATACTGTGGAGGGTTAAACAGAAAAAGAAAAGCTCATGATGAGAGTCCTAATATTCATGATAGGAGAGTAGGTTACATCGTGTTCCCCAACATACTGGAAGACAAATTTGATTTTGAAGAAAAAAGACACGATTGCAGAAAGAAACAGCGAATCCAAGCTTCCAACACAGGGAATTATCCTTTTCCTCATGCAACATATGTTCAGAGGAGGCAAAATCCACAAGCCAAGTCTCCACTCAAAAGCTGACCTTGAACTGTGAGAACGCTGCTGCAGCTTGCACTGCCAGCATCATTATGAGCCTCACAAGAGTAAACTCCGTTATCGTCAAATGTTGCATTGGAGATCTGGAGGTATGCAGTTGAGTCAACACACATTGTTTTATAGTTGCCTCCATCAGTTATCTGTTGGTCATTTTTGTACCAGCATATTCTCAGAGACTGTACACTGGTGACCTTGCATTCAAAGCAGTGTCCCTCGTACTGTTTCACAGACGTAGTGGGAGGCAGTTTCAGGACAAACTGAGGTGGTTCTGCAAAGTAAGAAAAATATCAAGTTACTATCCTCAGCATAAAGTAGCACTTGAGCAGTAATGGGACGGATGGAGGATGCAGACACATGACTGGCTGCTGTGGCAGGGGACTCTGAAAATAACACAGATATTTCTGGAAGGCAATAAAGCAAAGAAAAGACACATGAAGACAGGGAAGAGCTGTGAAAAATGGAGAAAAAAGATGGAGTTAAATGCACGGCGATGATGGTGGACAAAAAAAGAATAGTCCAACCTTTCACCAGTAACTGTGCCGCACTTTTCGCCGTGCCTGCTTCGTTGCTAACTTGGCAGGAATAAATCCCAGACTGCAGAGTGCCCACTGAGCAGAGCTCTACAGAGGAGGAATATTTCTCCAGTCTAACTCTGCACGATGGCCCAGTGATGAGTTCGATGCCATCCTTGAACCATTTCACCATAAACGGAGACGTCCCTTCAAAGACACTTTTGAAGAATACGTCAGACTTGGGAATAACAGCCTGAGACTCAAGCTCATCTATGAATCTTGGCGGCACTAAAACCAACAGAGAAGAATGATGATGATATGTGACTAAGAGCCCGTGAGCTGATAAACCCATAAACTTTGAATGCTAACCTTTAGCTGTGAGGACTCCACTGCACACACAGCTGCCTGCTTTGTTGGTAACTTTGCAGGAGTACTCTCCTGTGTCAACACTCCCAGTAAGTTTTAACTCCAGCAAGACTCTATTTTCAGTGTGTACAAGTTTGTACTTGGAGCTCTCTGTAATCTTTTGTTTCCCTTTGCTCCATTCAACAGTCAGAGGAAGCGAACCGGTTACTCTGCACTCCATGGTCACCACTGAACCCATGATTCCTTGAATGTTTGTTAATTTCTTAATGAATGTGGGAGGAATCAACTCTTCTGTTTAAAATGATAGCAGAAGATAATTAATGTCAGAGAAAACCTTCAAATATCCGTGTCTTCTATTTGTACTGTGGTAAATACACATGTAAAGCTGTAAACCAAGAGTGAAAGGTGTCTACCAACCCAAAACAACCAGCTTCACTTTACATCTGCAAGTCCCAACTGCATTTTGGGCTTCAAACATGTACTCTCCACCGTCTTCCAGCTGAGAGGACATTATGTTAAGTCTACTGAGGTTGCCCCCATAGCAGAGATTATGCTTTCTGCTCGAATGGAGCTCGTTGCCATCTTTGATCCATCTCACACTTATATGAGGAGTTCCAGCTACCCTGCATTCAAAGCTAACTGGATCTCCACAAGTCACTTTAACAACCTCCGGTTTCTCTTCAATCGTTGGTGGTTCTAAGATGCCAAAAAGAGAAGAAGTAAATGTACTTCTTGGTGTAGTTGGAAATCAGCCTAATATTAGATAAACTGCTTGAAGTAAATGTACCTTGCACAGTCAGTGTTGCTGAACACACATCTTGCCCAGCCTCATTTACAACATGGCAGGTATATTTCCCCCTGTGAATAGCCTCACAAGCAAGAACCCTGAGAGTGGCCTCTTTGTTCTGGAAAATTTGCTTGATCTTCGGATCATCTTGGATCCAGTTTTCATCTTTTTTCCATAGCACAGAGAGTGGCAGGGGCCCTTCCACAGAGCAACGAAACACTGCAGCATCTCCCACAACAGCGGAGACACTCTTTATCTTCTCAATAAACTTTGGAGGCACTAACAGGGAGAAGACACGGTTGTAATACCAGAGCATATATAACACATTGAGTGTGGAGTCATCGATAAAACCAACCTTTCAGAGACAACACCACCGAGCCAGAGCAGCTCCCAACCTCATTGGCTACCACGCACTGGTAGGTGCCCACATCATCCACGTCGCAGTCCTGGATTTTTAAGCCCACATTTTCACTATCAACAATAATGTACTTTTGGCTGGATAAAATTGCCTTTTTATCTTTAGACCACGTGACACTGAACGGAGCACTTCCTGCAACTTTGCTAGCAAACGCTGCCGTGGAACCTTTAACGACTTCCAGAGATGATAGCTCTTCAACAAATGACGGAGGCTCTGAAAATAACAAAGCAAAGCGCTCTAAAGAAACCTTTGGATCAATTAAAAATAATAACATACAGAACTTAGCATTCAACTTGATCTTAATTTTCACATAAACAGAGAAAAGAAAACCAACCTTTCACTACAAGCTCAAAAATGCAACTCTCTGTGCCTGCTTCGTTGGAGGCCTCACAGAAGTATTTCCCGCTGTCTTGTTGACTAACTACACAAACCTCTAAAACGGCAACAGAGGTAAAAAATGATATCTTGTATTTGAGGCTTTGGCGAATCTGAACTCCATCTTTGAACCATTTCATGGAGATCTCTGGGGTACCAGCAACCTTACACTCAAACACCTTGCTGCCTCCGACACTCACTAATGACACCGCTTCAGGTTTTTCAGTGAAAAATGGGGGCTCTGAAATAAATACATGAAGAAGCGACTTAAAGACGGTCATCATTTTCAAAGTGAAGAAAAGGATGAAGCTCCAATATTAACCTTTTACAAAGAGCGCTGCCTTGCATGAAGCGGAGCCCACAGCGTTCTGAACTTCACAGACATACTCTCCAGAGTCAGAGGTTTTGGCAGAGAAGAGCTCTAGGGAGCTTGAAGTGTTGTCTTTGATTACAGAGCACTTGGCACTCGGAAGGATTTCTTTTTTGTTTTTAAACCATTTGATGGCGAGCGGAGGTGTGCCAGAGACACGAAGAGTAAACCTAACCTTTGATCCAGGCAACGCATTCTTGGAGTCCGGTTTTTCAAGAATGCGTGGTGCTTCTGTTGGTGGAAAAGCCCCAAAATGCTGTCATACAACACAAGTCTGTAAAAAACTGAAAAAATACTGATGATGCATGAGATCAAACCTTTAACACACAAACTCCCGGAGCACTGGGCAGATCCTGCCTCGTTTTCAGCCACACAAGTGTAGCTCCCACTGTCTCTACTGTCGAGACAGCCGATTTCCAGGAAAGCAACATTTTCGAAAAACGTGCATTTATATTTTTGACAAGTCTGGATCTCTGTTTCATCTTTGTACCACTGTATCGTCATCGGCAGAGAACCAGACACGAGGCACTCTAGATGAGCACACGATCCTTTTATACCTTCAGTCTCTGTCAGCTTCCTTGTGAAGGACGGTTTAATAATCTGATCTATTACATACAAGTTGAAAAAAACATTGTCAGGGTGACTGTAGAAAGAACTGCAAACAGATTCAACAAAGCTTTGGGCAAACCGACCTAAGACTGTGACTGATGCGTCACAGGAACTGTGCCCAGCAACATTTGAAACTTCGACAGTGTAGTCACCGCCGTCGCTCTTCTCTGTTTTTATCATCTTGAGCACAGAGCTCGTGTCTGTGCTCTGTATTCTGTATCTCTGTCCTGACGGCAGCTCCTTTCCCGCCTTAAGCCATCTGACCTTCAGCGGTTTAGTGCCTGAAAACCTGCATTCAAGTCTGGCTGGGTCGCCATGGGTTACACTGATGGACTTTGGGTGCTCTGAAATACTTGCTGGCTCTGCGATAACAAAATGATTCAAAGGTAACTTAGTTTTGATCACTGCGCTGCATGCGACAGATGAAGCGGCGAGCTCGACACAAAGGCAAAAGCGGACGATTGAGACCCACGAACATCGTACAAACCTGTCACTATGAGCACCGCGGCACATCTCTGGGTCCCGGCTTTATTCTGCGCCTGACAGACATATTTCCCGCCATGTGACAACTGAGCATTTTTCAAATTCAACATGGCACTTTTGGTTTCACAGGACATCTTAAAATGCTCGTCTTCCGTAAGCTCACGATCGTCCTTGATCCAGGACAAAGTCATGGGAAGTGACCCAGACAACATACACTTCATGGAGATTTCAGAGCCCACAATACAGGACATATCCTTTAGTCTTTGAACAAATGATGGTGGTTCTAGTGAGAAAACACATATGTTGTCATCATTCACAGGCAGTCTAAATGAAACTGAAATCCTAAACCTTTGCAATGAAAGTGGACGCATGCAGCGAGGCAAACTCTCCCGCCACAAACCTTTTAGAGAAATCTGGCAAGAGCAAGATGTCTCCCCAACATCGTTTGAAACAGTGCACTTGTACGTTCCTTCGTCTCCGGCCTCACAGTGTGAGATCTGAAGAGTGATTGTATCATTTTCCACGCTGATTTTATGTCTTTTGTCATTTCTGATCAGCTTATCGTTGAGGAAGCAGCTTATTTCAAATGGAGGGGAACCTGAAACGATTGCTTCCAAGATAATCTCAGACTCCGTAACAAGCTCAGCTGATTCAAAAGGCCTCACAAACAATGGAGGCTCTACAAAACAGAGAATAAAATTACATTTACAGGCATGAAGAAATAATTCTAGTCTGATGTGGGAAGTCTGGTCCACAGAGTTCATTTAGCCTTTAAACTCTAGTTTCTAGGTTTTCTGAGTAACAGTGAACCTGTAGCAGACAGTGGTTTTTAAATGACTGGTAATCCTTGGGTTACAGGTAATGTGTCATGGGTTTATTTCTTTAGACCATCTGCTGAGGCAAAGGGCCAACGCACCCTCATAAAACATGGACATTTCAGAGCATTTGAATAACCTGCTTGGCTCTTTATTTTTGATTTATAGGGTTAGCATGGCACGGCATATTCAAAACACAAGTTCACACTGTCAGTTAATGCAGTCTGTCCATTAAACATCTGTACGAAAAGGTCAGCTGTTAATAACATGGCTGACAACCAGTTACACCAACAGTCAGGCCAGAAACCCCTCCTAGCTTCTTACAAATATACTGTTTCTGGGAGTCTCTGCTTTGATGGAGAGTAACTAAACCCTGCACTGACGTCCATATAATGCATGCAGCACCGAACATGTGAGAAACCCATGTGGACCAGACTTTAGATGGAAACAAATGTAAAGTTTGAGGACAGCAACAAGAGTAAAATCAATTAGCAAGTTTCACAAACTAAACCTAGATGAAGACCTGCGTCTTGAACCAGGTTTAATCTTGGTGTTGGAAACGGAGTCTTTGACCGGTGAAGAGTGAACCAACCTTTCACTGTTACTGAGCTGCTGCACTGCTCCCTGCCGGCCTCGCTGGATGCCACACAGACGTAATCTGCACTATCCTCTACAGAGCAACTCTCAACCTCCAGAGTGGCCAACGAGCCGTCGAAGGTCATGTTGTGTCTGCGGTCTGAAACCATTTCTGAGCCATTTTTAAACCATGTGACAGTAATAACAGGAGTGCCCTGCACTTTGCAGGACAACTCCAGAGGTTGTCCTGTTTTCAGCAGCTTTGAAGGTTCAAGCTTCATCGTAAATGTTGGGGCTTCTGTAAATCAAGAGTAACAATTATAGATGCGATAAAGAGGTTAATTAAAGGAAAACAGCTTTTTAACACTTTTTAAAGAAAGAACGAAAGCAGCAGCTTTTCTGCACCTTTTATGAAGAGCGCTGCAGTGCAGTCAACCTTCCCAGCGTCGTTGGATACTTGGCATGTGTATTTGGCAGAGTCACTGGGTTTCACAGAATGAAGTTCCAGGGAGCTGGAAGAGGAGTCTTTCTTTATGAAATACTTTCCCCCAGTGAAAATCTCTTTCTCCTCTCTGAACCATTTAACGGTAAGTGGAGCCGATCCCGTAAAGTCAGACTTTAAGACAACGTGTGATCCCGGGGATGCATCAAGAGATTCAGGTTTCGAGGTAAAGGCTGGAGGTTCTGGAGGCATTTGGGAAGAAATACAGCAGATCAGTTCACACCCTGTCACTAAGCCTGTGCTGATCTCTAATGGCTACTGCTTAACTTGAGGTAATGCAGCTTCTCTGACCTTTGATGGAAAGAGTACCACTGGTTTCTTTTTCTCCAGCATCATTAGAAGCTTTGCATGTATAAACTCCACCATCGCTCTGATCCAGGCCAGTTATTGTCACAGAGGCTGTACTCTCACTGAAATCAAGCTTATATTTTGCATCGCTGTGGATTTCTTTATTGTCTTTGTACCAAGACAGAGCCATCGGCTGAGATCCAGCAAGCCTGCAATCCAACGTGATATTACTGCCAATGCTCCCATTCACTTTCTTTAGAGTTTTGGTGAAGGACGGGGGAACTGCACGATCTGTGTAGGGAAGTATATCAAACATATTACAAGCTCCACTTGTGCTGATCGGACAAATTGATATTAATGATGTTTTATTGACTAAAACCGACCTATAACTGTAACCGAGCACGTGCACTCGTCTTTTCCAACTTTATTGGACACTTCCATCTTGTACTCGGAAGTGTCACCTTTATCTGCTGCGAGAATCTTTAAAATGGCAGTGTTCTCCTTAACTGCTATTTTATATTTACGACCACCGATCATCTCCTTGCCGTCTTTGAACCATTTCACTTTGAGTTCAGGGCTTCCAGAGACGGTGCACTCCAGCGTGGCAGAGTCGCCTGCAGTCACGCTGATGGAGGCTGCTTTCTCTAAAATCCGAGCAGGTTCTAAAACACATTGAATTTTACACTTAACAAACAGTTAGATCTGAACTCTGAAGACATTTGTAATGGGAATGTTTTCTAACCTTGAATAGTTAAGATAGCTTCACATTTTTGCTGTCCTGCCTCATTTTCAGCGAGACAAGTATACTTCCCACCATGCTTCAGCTCAACAGATGAGAAGGAAACACTAGCGATGTTGTTCACAAAGGACATTTTGATGTTGGGATCATCATCTCTGAGGAGCTCAGAGTCTTTCATCCATTTAATTGTGATGGGAACTGAACCTTTCAGGGTTCCCTGTAATTTCACTGTATTTCCCAAAACTGCTGTAGCGCTCTCAATCCTCTTTGAGAACACAGGTGGCTCTGAAACAACACGATTGGTATCATAATGTCAACACCTGCCAGACTGTGGGACGCTGTAATGAAAGTCCTTTTTTACACCACTAACCTTTTTGTTTAAGTACTGACTTTGAGGTTGCTGACCCAACCTCGTTGGATACGACACATTCGTATTCACCAGTATCAGCGCTCTCAAAGGACTGGATCTCCAGAGAGGCCAGCGATCCCTGTGACACTATGCTGTACTTCTTATCTGAGGACAGGCGTTTCTTATTCTTTTTCCAAGACACTTCGAGCGGTGCAGAGCCTGCAATCTCACACTCCAGCACAGCTACCGACCCTCTGACTGCCTCGGTGGACAGTAACTCCTTTCTGAATGACGGAGGTTCTAAAGGGAACATACAGTTCGGTTATATGTGTTTTTGCACAGACTTGGGCCTTTTGTTGCCAAAAACTCGACACACCTTTCACTGTTACTTTAATGCTGCAGCTTTCACACCCGCACTCGTTGAGAACCTCACAGGTGTAGTTTCCACTGTCAGTCAACAGGACATCGTGTATCTCGAGAGTGGCGACACTGTCCTTCAGACCGACAGCGTGTCTGCCACCAGTGGACAGCTCACTGTTATTCAAGAACCAGGTGCTGTGGAGTTCGGGAGATCCTTTGACGGTGCACTGCAGGCGAGCGGTGCTTCCCTGCTTCCAAATCGTTGTGGCTTCCAGCCGCTTTACAAAGACGGGTGGCTCTGCAGAGGTGTGTGGTTAACAAAAAGCTATTGTGAAGTCAAAGACTGCATTTAAAAACAGCAACCACGCAATGAAAGAGGAGAGATTTAAGTCGCTGTCTATCATCTAAAATGGACACCAGAGAATTGAACTGTGTTAACTTCCAGGACTGCAGATTTGCAAAAGTTACAAATGCTGCAGTTTCCCTGAAACTTAACTAGATAGCTCTTACCTTGTACCTTCACCGTGGTGGAGCAAGACGCACTGCCGGCTTCGTTTGCCACTGTACACACATAATTTCCACAATCTTTCAGTGTGGTCTTTAGGATATCAAGAGTAACTGTCTTATCCTCAAACAACAGTTTATAGTCGGGAGACTGGTGGACTTTTCTGCCATCTCTGGTCCAGCTGACAGTTACTCCAGTGTCCTCATCCACCTGACACTCAAGGTGCAGAGCAGCTCCGACCACAGCGGCGACTGAAGCCAGGGGCCTTACAAAGTTGGGTTTATCGATAACACACAGCTCCGTGTGGCACTCAGCTGTCCCAGCTTTGTTAGATACCTTGCACACATAAAGCCCGCTGTCAGCTGCCTCAACACTGGGTATCTCAAGAGTGTGCTTATTCTTTTCACAAGAGCTCTGGTAGTGTGCGGGCACTTTGGGTAAGGCCTGGTTGTCTTTAAGCCAGACAACATTCAGAGGAGCAGTTCCTGCTATTACACACTGCATTACAGCCCTCTTTCCAACATACACAGTCTGAGGGTCAGGCTTACTTATAAAGACAGGAGGAAATTGTTCTACAGGGATTAAGAAGAAGAGAAACAAATCAGTGTTAATAAGTTTTACCTTAACCGAAATCAAACCAACAGGGCAAGAAACAATTGCACAAACAAAACGCCAGCACAAAGACGAAAACGCGCCATTCATCCCCTCGGAGGGGAATGAAAACAACATGCGTTCCAAACTCAACCAGCCAAGAAGAAGGAAAAATGCACTGCTCTTACCTGTGACACCGAGGGAGGCGGAGCATTCATCACTGCCGTGCTGATTGGACGCCTTGCAGGTGTATTCGCCACTGTCATCCTTGGTTGTCCTCAGAAGCTCCAGGGAGGAAGTGCTGAAGCGACTGATAATCCTGCACTTTTCACCCTCTTTGATGGGGTGTCCATCTTTGAACCACTTGAAGCTCACGTTTGGAGCGTCCTCAGTTTCACATTCAAACTTGGCAGAGCTGCCAATGTTTATCTCCACTGGGACGATTCTGTTCCTGAACACAGGCTTCACTGTGTTTGCAAAAGAGAGAAAAAGGCAACAAGAACATGTGAATATACAGCAGGTGCTGAAATGACACAAAAATTAGTGTTTGTACTGGAGACGGTGATGAAGTGAACCTGGGACGGAAAGCGACACACAAAGTTATGGTGGGATGAAAGTGGAGGAGAAAAAATGAACAGGCTGAAGTGATGAACAGGAAGTCTGTGACGACAAAAGGAGAGAAGGCATGCAAACATGAATGATTAAAGGCATGTGGTCAAAGGAGACTGCTTGGCTGTGAAGGTTGTAGAGGAGTAGATGGAGTGGGATGTGATCATGTCACTGCTGTCTGCTGAAAGCCTCAAAGTCCAAATGCTTTTCTTTTGAAAAAAACTGCACGCCAGGTGTCTCGAAGGTAAATGAGCTGTGGGCTGGCAGCGTCCTCTCATTGGACGGCCACCTTAGTGTTGAAGTGGAACAAGAAAAGCAAACAAGCAAACTCCCACAAATACTTCTGAAAATGTTTGTTTTTCAAATTTCAAATATTTTATAACGAGACGTTTTTTCCTCACTAATTGTGTTTATTTCGTAGTTCAATGAGGCGTCACTGGTCTGTCTGCCCACACACGTGGCAGCACTTCTGCTATCATTGTGTTCGTATTTAACAAAGTAAAAATGCAGACATAAGTGCACACGTTCGTCAGTTTTACAGGCCGTGACTTTGGGACCCCTGCTGTAAGCCATTTTCAGTTCTGCCTTTGTGCTCATTTCCTAAACTTTGAGTTTTGGTTGAGGTTTGCAGACAGCAGACGTTCACCACAGCGTGAAGTAGGGCTGCTCGATTATGGCAAAAATGATAATCACGATTATTTTCACTGAAACTGAGATCTCGATTATTTGACGATATTTATTTAACCCTTTAAGACCTACCATAGAACCAAGTCCGCCAGAGCTTATATTATTATTTTTTTTACATGCTGTAGTGCCATTGGGAGCATTTCAAGTTGCTATACAACTGTTATAGCCCATATTTTAATAATATGTATGCATTAAGTCCATAGTAACGACATAAATTGCAAAAAAGTGCAATAAACTCCAAAAAAATTGACAATTTAAGAGGTTTATCCCTCAAAACTTTAAATACAAAAAAGTTGCAAAAAATAGTTTCCCACCACAGGAAATTTATCTTGAGTGTGTTCATAGTTTTATTTTGGAGATACAGCAGTTTTTATATACTGCAGGAAAAGCAAAAAAAACAATCCTATGATGCAAATTTGCAAAGAAAACAGCAGGTGCATCAAAATAAACTATTTCCAGCAGTGCAATTCGAGTTCTAAGCATCCCAGCAACTATTCAGAAAAGTCAAACATGACCTATAAAAACACCAGTATAGGCTTTTAAGGCCTACAAGTAAAAAAAATACATTTTCCGTGAAAATGACGTCACTTCCTGTTTCGGGCAGGAAATGACGTACATGTGATGGTTCGCGTTGACGTCTTGTTCAATGTGGGAAGTGTTACGAACAGCTGATCGGATCTGCAAAGTGTGTTTCTGGAATATTATGTTTTTGTTCCTGCAAGCGCTTTTTATGCAATTTTTGCAAAACTTTATGTGGAAGGAAACCGTGACCGAGGACAAGCTGATGGCATAAGATGTAAGTACAACTCCTCCGGTTTCCTATGCAAAACTAATTATTGTGCTAGCTTACATGGTTCCGGTTCTACAGGGATTTAAAAATAGTTACACAAAACAGAGCGTGCCTCTGCCCGGCTTTAAAGGGTTAACAATTACAATGTGTTGAATAATGACTTTAAAAAATAATATAAAATAGTGCAAATACTGATAACAGTGCAAATGTTTGCAATATAAGAAACAAATGAAAAATGTAAACATCTATGTTTAGTGAACTTTGCAGTGTTGCTCTGGTGCAGCTACGACACCGTAGCAAAGTTTACACACTGTGTCTACTTGATCCACGTCTGACTGAACCCATAATGTTTCCACACCACTGAAGTTTTTTTACCTCTTTTCAACCAACGGCAGTCACTCTCCTCTCCATATAACTTCTGCTGAGCTTTCCGAGCTTCCCTCGGGTCCTCTTATTGTTGTGACGAGTGTTCGAAATGCAGAGAGGTGCGCTCGATTTGCCACACGGAGCAGCGCGAGAGTAAAGCACGAGGGAGGGGCTAATAATCGGCTCAGTCATTTTTAATGATCGTTGAAAGCCCAGATCGTAATCGAGATTAAAATTTGATTAATTGAGCAGCCCTAGCGTGAAGTTAGTGGATGATGATGATATCAAAGAATTTCCCATCATCAAACCTCGTGGCACCACAGTCAGCCTCGAAGATGTCGTCGTCTTGCCGACTTCATTCTCAGCCTCACAGACATACTCTCCTTGATGGTGGTCTTTGACAACGTTGTCAATAACTAGTGTGTATGTGTCACGGTCTTTAAAACACTTGAACTCTTTGCCAGATTTCACCAGCTTCCCATTGAAAAACCAGCTAACTTTGGTGACGTATTTAACACTGGCAGTAAGCACAGCCTTGCCATTTTCCTCAGCACAGACATCCTCCAGAACATCTACGATGATGGGATAATCAGTGATACTGTCCGAGGACTCACTGATCATGATTGCCTCTGAAAGATATTCCTCTCTGGTTTCTCTGTGGACAAAAATGTCCACATGCTGTTCAGCCTGGCATACTGTGCCGTCCTTCTCTGATCTAACCGTCCTGCTGCTCTTGGACTCGTGGACCTCGGTTTGGCTCTGAAGTGTCGCACTTTGAAAGGAAGCCCTGGCTTCTGTCGTCAGAGCTGCAGACTGAGATACAGCAGGAAGTAAACTGCCTGCGCTCTCTGCCACCACCACAGAGTCCACCACAGAAGACAACACCTCCTTGGAGGACACTGAGCTGACCTGCACTTTTTGAGGCTTATCAGTGTGCATGGTGCCCGGCTGCTCTGATGTAAGACTCGGCTGTTCTTGGGAAACCATAGCATGCAAAGCTACCTGGAGTTCATGCCTAAGGTCAGCTGTCTGAGGGTAATCACCTTTAAAAGTCAGCGTGATCTCCAGGGGGGAACCTGGAGATGTGATAAGATAGGAACATGCAGCCTGCCTGGGCTCTCTCTGAACCTTGACCTCATGGACCTCCGCTGCCTCTAGTCTTCCAACAACATCAGCCAGTAAAACTGGTGGATTACTGGCCACAGCTGAGTGAAGAGCATCTCTGAGCTGATGTCGTACATTCAAACTAGATGGTTTGGGGGCATAAATGATGAAATTCAGTTCCTTAGGTAAAGTCAGAGCATCCTGAGCCTCTGGGACAAAAAGAAACCCTTTAGGCTGTGTCTTAACACTGACCGCGGAGCCCTCGAATTTACCAATCTCACTCGACCGCTCTCCTACGATGACTTGTTTTTCTTCTAGAAACACTGACTGTCGGACCGACTGACCTTCCTGGATCTGGACTGCAAAGTCCCCCTCAGCCGCCTCTAAGATAGTGCAGCTTTCGGTGGCCATTGCTTTTTCCTCTATGAAAACTGGTTTTTTTGGTATCTTGGCCTCAATTTTAATCTCAGGCTTAAATTTTTCATCAGTTTTGAAGCTAGTAGTGTGACCCTCTTCCAGACTTTGATTGTTTGTGATGATCAAAGACTGCATGATATTCCAGTAATCCTCTTCCTGGACTAATGCTCGCTGTTGCGTGACGCTCGTAACAAAAGGAGTCTCTTTTGGGAGCTGCATGGGCTGGGAGGACACAGCAAGGCTGCGTAGAGGCCTGGACTCAGTACGCGGCTGTGGTTGAGCGCTGATCACAGACATGTCAAGATCTTTGTGGTAATCCGCAGTGACCTCCATTCTCTCTTCTGAGGTAGCTGCATGCCATCTAGCCTTTTCCAGCTTCTGTGCTGCCACCTGCTGGTCAGGTTTGGTGACAGCGAGTATGCCTTCTTTTGGTAAAACTGTTAGAGAATGGACCGACTGAAGGCGTTTTGGTTGCACCAACTCTTGCTTTGGCTGGACGGAGGTGGCGTTCATCTTTGTTTCGAATTCTGAAGCTGCCTCACAAACTACAGTCCTCTGTTCTTCTTGAGTCACTGAATGCAGCAAAGTCGGACTTTTGCTCGCTTCTGCTTGTTCTGTTGGAGGTTTTTCACTGCTCAACCTTCCCTCACACAGTAAAACCTCCTGATCACTGATAACCTGCAGATTCAGAAGCTGTTCTCCCTCCTGCTGTGGCTGCACACTTACAGAAAATGCCCCATGTGGCACTTGTCCTGTTTGATCAGCACAGAGCTCATATTTCTCTTCGGTCTGTACGGCTGAATTATAAACCATGTCTTTGCACGGGGTAATGCTCTCCTGCTCTGGTCTTTGTGTTTCAAGCTTTTGCTCTTTGGATAAAGCCACTCTGGCTTCACTCACTGGTGCTACCACTGGTTTCGGCTGCTCTTTGCCAGCTGAACCTTTAATGTCTGCATCTAAAGCTGGAAGATGCTCAGTGTGTCCTTCTGTAAGTTGAAGCTGTCCTGCATACTGAGCCGAGTATAAAATCTTTACCCCCTCTGTGACTCTGAAGCTCCTCTCCTCCTCTTGTCTGTGCATGTCTTCTGAGATTTCATCAGCGATAGGTACAGCGAGCTCGACCTGGTGACTAGTAACAAGTTGCCTCGGCTCGCTGGAGGTCTTTACGTGTTCTGGACTCTGACCTATCAGTGCCTCAGCTCTCACCGTGCTGAGGGGAAGGACCTCCTCAGACGTAGCTGACACGAGCTTGGGCGGTTGCTCTTTGGCTGACTCCAGCTCAACCACCTCGGGGCTGAGAATCCGTTCAGAGTGCTGCGCTGTGATCTTTTGTCTCTCCTGGACTGAGGATAAGAAAGCAGCCACGTGATGCTGTTTAACAGGGACAGCTGAGACCTGAGGTGGATGGCTGGGGGCTAATGAAACCCTCTCCTCTATTTCATGGGACTGCAGCACCGCTGCCTGGTGGGTAAGTTGCTCACGATGAAGGGTGGCAGAAGAGATGCTGAGCTCTCTGAGCGTTTCCACCTCTTCACTGGGAATAATCTGTCGGTCTCCAGTACTAATGGTATAGATCATGTGTTCAGACTGGGATCTTTCCTGGTGAAATCGGAGTTCTGCGGTTTGTTCTGCCATCGATATCGTCAAACCTTGTGTTTTCTGTACTAACGTGTCCTCTTCCTGAGCTTTCTCCCTGAACACCAGCAGCTCTGCAGTACAGGAGGCTTCCCCGTACTGGTTTGAGGCCTTACAGGTGTAAATGCCGCTGTGCTCCTGTTTTACACTCTTAATGTTAATAAACCCGGATCCATCCGGGTTGTTCACAATGATACAGAACCCACTAGGCTGGATGTGGGAAGTGCCTTTAAGCCACTGGACCTCAGGGAGAGGATCTCCAGTCACAGTGTAACTGAAGACACCCTGAGCCCCCTCCTGCCGCTGAAGAGATTCTATAGTTTTAGTGAATTCTGGGCGCTTACCAGTCACTGCAAATGTTCTCTCCTCGGCTCTTTCCTGCTTTTCTGGCTCCTTCACCTGAACGTGCAGGTAGGAAGTGCAGGTTGACTGGCCAAATCTGTTGCTGACCGTGCAGGAGTACTCTCCTTCACATTCCCTGTGAACTGTGTTAATCACCAAGCTGTACTCATCGTGTTCGTGAATAAATGTATACACGGATGAACTGGTTATAGTGTGCCCGTTGTGAAACCACTGGACGGTGGGCTTAGGGAAGCCGGACACTCTGACGGTAAACGTAGCCGTTTCTCCGACAGTCACAGCTGCCGGAGAAAGTTCACTGAGGAAAACTGGTTTTTCCTTTTTCTTTTCCAAAGTGCTGGAGAAGCGTTTAGACTCTGGTTCAAGTTCAAGTGTTTTGGTTTTGTCTGCTAACTTTATGCCAGTGAAGTATGACTCCTGGGTTTCCTCTTCCACTGTGACGGCTGAGCTAGAGAAGACTGAGTGGAATAATCACAGGTTAAATCAGCCTCACACTCCAACCACAGTACAGTCTGCTGAAAACAGGAAAACTGCAGCTTCAGTACAGGAGCAGTGTTTTACATGTTTGACTAAAAACTTCTATAACGCTGCATCCAGGATTCAAAGACTTTTTCCTCAATCAAAACAAATTCTACATCATCAGAGTCAGATAATAAAAGTCCCGAGTCCACTCTGAACTTGGTTCAGTTATCAAAGTAAACTCGTAAAAGTGCCCTTGAACTTCTTACCAACACAACCTGTAGACAAAGAACATAAACAACTAAGACCAAGGATGGAGACATCACGATAAAAGCCATATTTACCTTTTATCTCCTCCTGGACCTGAGTCACCTTCTCCTCTGTAGTTACTGTAAAGACACAGATGTTCACAAATTAAAAACATTCCTAAAGATTCCCGGGAGACTGTTAGAACCAGTGGTGGCTCGTGCATCCATCCCTTTTTTGTTTCGTTTAACTGACGTTTGTGCATGCTCCTGTTTGGTCTCTTAGTGTGCAGCACCGCTGGGCTTTTTTTCAAACACTAAGTGGTGTGAGCACAAAGTGGTTATGACCTCGTTGAAGAAGTGTTGTCACCCTGTGAAGAAGTGTGCCTCTGCTGGCTGTGTGGGTGAAGAGCAGTGTGAATGAGTGGTGTAAAGAAGCCTTAGCGAGCAGAAGGACCAAAAGCATGCAGATGCCAACCTTTCGTCACTGTGCTGCGCTCAGCATCTCCGGCTGAGCTGATATTTTTGCAAACGTAAGAGCCCCCTTTTCCAGGTCCCACATTGTTAACTTTTATACAGCTTGAGGGGTCTTGATTTTTCACAGAGTAACACACAGTTTCCTCAGCATTCAACTGGTTGTAAAGCCAAATGACAAACGCAGTGGGAAGCCCCTTCACGACGCAATTCAGGGAGCCACTGCCTTTGTTTCTGATCAGCAGCTCAGGGGGGAGTTTGATCAGGAAGTCGGGGCAGCTGGAAGGGCGATGACCTTGGTATTCATTAGGCACGACGTCAGGGAAATACAACAGGCTGATGAGGCTGTGAGGTCTCTGGGAAGATGGAGGTGATGGTCCCGGCTTCTCCACCACCTCCTGCTTGTCTTGGTCAGAGGGATCTCTAGGGCTCTCCCTGTGTGCCTGTAACACTTTGTGCACTGAATCGGTAGGGATGGGGGTTTCTGCTTTGAGATTTGCTTCTTTAGCTGGGTAAGAATAGAGTTAGGAAAAGTAATTAGGGGTCACAGAGTACATGGCCATGACTCTAAATGCTAAAGGGTTAATAGGATGAATGATGAGGTTAGCGTAGCGAAGCTGACAGGAGGGGAGGATAAACTGGACTAGGGTTTGTTATTTTATTACACTACAAGAGGTTACAGGATAACATATTAAATATTAAGTCATGGGGGTGGGGGAGCACTAAGCAGGAGGAGCAGCTGGAAAGGTGGGATGGACCAGATGGAGAGACAGGCTGATAAAAAAAGAAAGATTAACCACCTTCAACAGTGAGCTGAGCAGAGGAGCTGTTGTGGCCATGTTCGTTGGTAGCGGTGCAGCGGTACGTGCCTTGGTCCGCCACACCGACGCCCTGGATGACCAGGGACAAAAAGCCACCGCTCTGAGAGCTTCTCACCCGCTCGGTGTCCACCAGGCTCTCGCCGTTATGTTCCCATATCACCCCGGAGAAGGGCTGGCCGTCGAATGAGCAGCTGAACTCTGCCATTTCACCACTTTTCACTCGAACATCGCTCATTTCCATCAGCAGCTTCGGGCTGGCTGAGAGTTTGAAGTCAAAGCTGCTCTCAGAGCTCCTCTCCATCGAGCTTATCTCAATCGTGCTCCAAGACACAGAGGAGCTCTCGGTGATCGTCTCAGTAAACTCAACACTGTGGGCTGTTTGTCCCACTGACAGAGAGCTGAAACTCTCACTCTGAGCCTCCAGTCTCTGAAATAGCTTAGCCTCAGCCCCAGTGCTTGACACGCTAGCTAAGGCTTTTTTATCTGGGCAATAAGAAAGAGTAGAAGAATTAGGTCAACACATCATCACGCTACGGATTTCTCCAGGTTACTGTCACAGCCTGTTGCCAACAGTGCAGTGGGAGTGGCGCGTTGAGGATCAATAATGATGAGTGAGGGAGTGGACAGTGGTGGGTGTCCGCTGTCAATCATGCAAGCTCGACTGGAACAGAACAACAACAAACAGAAAAACACAGCCAGCGATCACGTCCGTGCTTGAGTGTGAGGAACATTTCCAAAGTCCAGCAGTGGCTGAACCATGCGGCATTCCTCTGACATGAAAACTCCAGTTTCGCAATAAAGACCATTAATACTGTTTGTGTTGGAGAGAAGACGTCATGCATTGCAAAGAGACCTTTAAGATGATGCTTCCAGTGAGGATAAGAGCAGATTCAGTGTGGAGCAGCTGCATGCTCACAGAAACGAGTCAGTTTCTCACATCATCGCACTGAAAGTATGAAATCTGAGTTTGATGGAGTGGCTGGAAAATCGTTCCAGTCCAAGGGCTGGTTGCACAAAGATCCAGGAGACGTCATGCACACAGTGACTGTAACATGAGCAGGGCTCATGGTTTTCCCCACGACGGTATAAGAGCTGACGTGGCGTCAGTGCTAGCCGCTGACAGCTGCAGGAGATTTGATCTGTCCTGAATTGACATTTTAAATGTTTTTACATATTGAACAGTTTTATTTGTGAGTGCTAAGCTAGGCTCTGTCCTCCACGAGGATATTAAAAGAAAAGGAAAATCTTTGTGCAGCCAGCAGCGTTGATCTCCAGTACAGCTGACATGCTTGCCACTTCCCCCGGCTGAACCATGCATCTTTCTATTGGCTCAGTTAAGGTTGCTTTGCTTGCCAATAGATGCTTCTTTTTATGTTTTGCCAGTAAGTAAACTTCTTGTGTAACACGCTCTCATGGCTCCGGACGGATGGAGGGAGACTTAAAACACACCTGGCCAATCAGAACGTGCTTACATGCTGCCATCATTATATCACCGTAGTCAGCGAGTGCTGTTAAACTTTGACTATCGGTTCTCGATACGTTGGACGTTATACATATCAGACCTTGTCTTACAGGAAATCCACATGATATTCTAAAATTAAAATCAATCCTGTGAGGAACATGCACCGACTTAGGGCCTTCTTGGCAGCTGATGAACGTGCAGTAAGAGCCTGTCAGTTTTATCCAATTAGTATGCGAACGTCTGCTGAACTCACCATCAATATTCAGAGTGGCAGCACATGTGACCATTCCTGCCAAATTTGTAGCAACACACGAGTACTCTCCTTCAAGGCTGGGGAGAACTCGGGAAATCTCCAGCAGGCAGGTGTTATCATAATGAGACATCCTGAAGATGTCCGACTGTTTGATCTCTCTGTCATTGCAGAACCAAGAAATCTGCAGATCTGGAGAGAAAGTGTTTTCTCATAGTCAGGAAAAACCGTTTACGGCACACCACACTGATGACAGCTGCGACAGGATTTATGGTCAATGAGTATTTAAAATGCCGTATGACAGTAAAGGGGACGAGTAACGGTCAATACCTTCCCCAGAGACGCTGCACTGGAACTGGGCAGGATGTCCTTCTGAGATCAGCAGGTCCCTCATGGGAGCGATGAGGACTGGAGGGGAAACCTGAGCCACGGCTTCAACCACCTCCGGAACTGCAGAAAAGACAAAGACACCGTAAGTCATCGCTCGATTTGGTGGCTAATAATTCATAATTCCAATCAAACACTCCATATGTACCTTCCACAGTGAGAGATGCAGAGCTCGTCACCTCTCCGTAGTTGTTTTTGGCCTCACAGCTATAGATGCCTGCATCTTCAGGGAAGACTTCAAGCAGCAGCAGCGTATGCTCATCTCCATCATGGAGGAACTTGCACTTGTAGCTCGTGGACAGAACCTCAGAATCTTTGTACCAGAACACCTGAGGCTGAGGAAGGCCGCTCACCTGTGTCGAGAAGCGAACTGACCTGCCCGAGATCGCGGTTTGGGGCTGCATCTCCCGGATGATCTGAGGTGGCTCTGGCACTGAAGGAAAGTAGAAGAAAGAAAGGTTAATACTCTGCTTGGTCCTCTGGTCAAAGAATACTTTGATGATAATAGAAACAGATACGTTTAAACAGTACAAGTATCATTTTTAAGCTTTTCACTTTTATTTTCAGAAACTGTCCAGTGGTTTTTCACGCAAAGAAGGAAAGCAGTGCTGGACTGATGCAGGACTGGAGCTCTTACATCTGACGTGGAGGTTCACAGAGCTCCTGTTTTTGCCGGCTAAAAAGGTGTACTCTCCAGCATCGCTCCTGAAGGTCTCAGAGATGGTGAGACGGTGGAGCTTCCTGATGGTGGCATAATTGAACCTCTCCTCCACAGTGAACTGGAGCTCCACTCCATTTCTCAGCCAGTGACCTTCTACATCATCCTCATTCACCTCAAACTCAAAAGTGGCTCTCTGCTTCTCAACAACCTGAAAAACACCACATGATTAGCTCAACACCAGAAACGTCCTTCTAGTATTTCTAAAAAAATAATCATTGTCACAATTATTAAAAAATCTCTTCCTGTAGGACAAAATATCTGAAAAAGAATATATTAAATGATCGGCAGTGTGTGCTCTCAAAGATCATAAAGTCTGAAAAATATTTCTGTCATCGTCACACATAAACTGACAGACAGTATGAAAATCCCAGGATTTGGTGCATTTTTATGGAGTCTACCACCTAATCTTACCGTGATGTCCCTGGTGGCTGGCTCTGAGATTCTGACATCTCTTCCCTCGACTGCCAGGTGACCCTTGGACATGCTTGAACCGGCCACAGCGGTGTATTCACCGGCGTCCGACAGACGCACAGAGGGCAGAACCAGACGGTGCACAAACTGGTCCGATGTCATTTTGTACCTGTAGCAAACAAAGAAGGTGTAGAAGGTTTAAGAGTTGATCCCTATGTTGGTAAAACTCAGTAATTGTTCCCACAACTGACTATCAAGGACTCTACCTGTCGGACAGCTCCAGCCCCTGACCATCTTTCATCCACATCACCTGGATGTTTGGTTCAGAAACTTCACATTCAAATGTTGCCCTCTTCTTCTCTGTGATCTTCAGGTCCCGCAGGTGTTTGGTGAATTCAACCACACGGGCTAAAACAGGGACACAGATACAGTTACTTTACCTACATCTATCAGTGTGTCTGACCTTATGGAAACAAATCACTCATGAGCCCAGAGGCTCTAGTCGTCCTCTGCAAGGTTTTCTTCCTCATTGAGGAGGTACTACTAAGAACAAGATTCCAGGAGTCCTTGGGGAAGTTTGGACGTTCACAGTTTTAAATGTCTATTAGTAATATTAATGGCCGTAAGAAAAGGTCTGAAGGGTACCTTTTAGAGGTTCTAGTAGTGACAGAAAGAATCGTGTATGCGTTCCTATGGCATTAACGAGGATCAACTTATTTGGGGAGTTTCCAGAAGTCCGTTGAAAAGTTCAAAGTGTCCTGTGAGTGAGTCTACATGTCAAATGTGTTAGATTCTGCTGGTTATTTCAGAGTTACTCGTGATAGTCCATTAGAGTAGCTTTAAGAGTCTTTCAGTAAGTTCTAAATGTCTTTCAGGGGTAACGGAGATGGTTGTACAGGCAAACGACAGACACACACATTTAAAAACCAGCTAAAACACGGTGAGGTGTTGAAATAATTTTATTTGAAGTTGATGGAGTCCAAAAACATCTAATGTGAAAAGTCAATTGAAAAGTTAAATTAGAATCAAAGCATTTTACCCTCAACGTGAAGTTTAGCTGAAGTGACTGCAGAGCCAGCCATGAAGGTGTACTCGGCACTGTCTCCAAAGTGAACATTCCTGATGCTCAGAGAGTGAGTGAGCTGTTTGCAGCGAGCCTGGCAGCGGTCCGTAGAGCGGATCTCCACGCCGTTCTTCAGCCACTTGTACGTTATTCCCTCGTAGTTCACATTCACCTCAAATGTGACCGTGTCCTTCTCCTGAGCGTTCAGGTCTTCAAGCATCGTTGTGATCAGAATAGCTGGAAAACAGCAAAGTGATAATAAGTTTGAAGAGATGTTTAAGTACAGTGAAGAATACAAAATTGTGTTTTTTAATCTGTAACGTCATCCTTAGTGCAAACATCTGATCGGTTAGAGTTTTCACCTTAAACTACAAAGTAATTGAAAGTGGCTTATACTTATAATTTGTCATAAATATCCAATTAGAAAATCTGAATGTGCTAATTATTTCTTTTTTTTAGTAACAAAAATGTTTAGATTTCCAACTCAGAGGAGAAATGAAAGAATCCAATTAAAGTTACTTAAAGACATTTCATGGTTTGATACATTGTAATGATTTGGCAACATGTGAAACGTCTCTGAAGAACGAATTGATGAATTGATACATTGTAAATCTAAAGGTTTAAGTTTCACTGATGGTAACTTACGGTTAACAGTTAGCGTTGCAGAGATGCGGTCGTTCCCACAGACAAAAGTGTACTCTGCAGAGTCTTCATTGCTGGTGTTCATGATCTTCAGCTGATGGAGTTTCCCTTGAACCACAATCCTGAACTTCTCACTCATCTCAATCTCCACACCATCCCTCAGCCAGGTGGACGGGACATTGAAGTGAGAAACTTCACATTCAAATGTGGCCACCTGAGTCTCTGTGACCTCCACGTTTTTCATGGGCCTTGTGACACGTAGAGCTAAGAGTAAAATACAGACATGTTTAGTCCTAATGTGACCTTGGCCTGTGTTTTAGCATTTTTTACGTCCAAAAACTACTGATGTGATAATGCTTACACTCAACAACGAGGTGAGCGCTGCACTGCAGGTGTCCTATGACAGCAATGTAGTTGCCCTGCACGCTGTCGTCCACGTTGTGGACAATCAGCTTGTGGTTCTTCTTCTCAGAGATGATGCTGTAGCGCTCGTCAGACACCAGGTCTTTGTCATCGAACATCCATTTCACTGGGATGTCATCCTCTGAGATGCCAACTTCAAATACAATTGTTGCTCCTGACAGTGCTGTCACATCCTTTGGCTTCTTCAGGATCTTAATGGCTGTGGGAAAAGAGGTCTTCTGTTGGTAAAAAGCTTTAGGAATCTAGAGGTCCCATGTGGTTTAGGTAAATTTCCCAACCTTGTAGGCACAGAGCCAAAAAGCTTTTTGTTTTATTCCAAAATCAATAGTTAATACTTACTTTCCACATTGAGTCTGGCACTTGCAGACAGTTTTCCCAGTTTGAAGGAGTAAACAGACTCATCCTGTGTGCTGCAGTTCTTGACCTTCAATGTGTGAAGTGTGCCTTCAATACTGATTTCATATTTATCACTGGGCTGGATCTCAACGCCATTCTTGATCCACTGTGCTCCCCTTACATCCTCATGGGTCAGTTCAAGGCTGAACGTGGCTTCTTGAGTCTGGACTACATTCAGGTTCTTCAGGGTCTTCTTGACTTTGACAGCTGTGGAGAAAAACACCAAGAGGCAAGGTAACAGTTAAACAAGTGAAGTGGCTGAGTCCAGAATTAAACTCTCACAGGGTGGGTCTTTGTGGTTGTTGCTGTGGGCAGGTACGAGTCAGCAGACTAGATCTAAATGATTTAAATTTAAAGTATCATTCGATCATTTGGAAGAAATGTCTGCACTCATAGAGTCAACAAATGGTGTGTTTTTATGGCAGGTTGCTGGTAACAACTGCAAACTGGTTCTTTGCTCAGTTGTCTGTTATGTGTTGACACAATATTTCTTCATATCAGTGAAGAGACATAAGACAGAAAAATATAATTGCTCTGAAAACTGGACTGGACATGAATAAAGAGGCAGCCCGTGTTCAAAGAAACACTTTAAGCACCTTCACAAACAAATTCAGCTTCCTAACCTCCTGATCCGCATTGGCTGTATGATCTACGTGTGTGTTTCCATGGAAAGCTGGACCTACCCTCGACTTTCAGGTTGGCTGAGGTCTTGGAGGTGGCGACCTGGTAAGTGTACTCTCCAACGTCAGTGGCCTTAGTGATGATGATAACGAGGCGTCTGACAGCACCGTCCACCTCGCTCAGCACGTTCTCGTTGAAGTCAACAGGCTGACCGTCTTTTAGCCACTTGCCCTCTGCGGATGGGTTAGCAACTTCACACTGCAGCACAGCGGTCTGGGAGTCAGCTACCACCAAATCATGCAGGGGCTTCTTAATGGCACCACCTGGGGACAGGAGATAGCCAGTTACTGCCTGGTGACAGAAATCTTCTCTGAACTATTTAAGTGTGCAATAAAAGTGTGTTTTGCGTACCTGTTACGGTGAGTGAAGCACTGCACATCTTCTCACCAGCAGCAAACATGTACTCGCCCTCTTCATCCTTCATTGCATTCATGACCGTGAGCCTATGCCTCTTTTCCTTGGACTCCATCTTGTACTGGGGACCAGCTTTAATCGGCTGCCTCTTAAAGGTCCAGAAAGCGTCAATGTCTGGGTGAGAGACCTCAACCTCGAAGGTGACATTTTCAGACTCGGAGCACTGTTTGTCTTTCATTGGTGTCACAATCTGGACAGCTGTTGAGACAGAACGATAGTTAAGCCTCGAACTGATGTACAGTAGAATAGAATAGAATAGAATAGCCATTTTTATTGTACATGTACAATAAAATTGTAGGAAATGTAGATGACTTGCTTTCACTTTTTCACAATTATCCATCTGACTCATTCAATACTAAAGATGCACCACATGGGCTTGGTTCTAGTTTTGTAAATGCCACGAGGTCATGATGTTCATGTCAGACTATATATGTAAGAAGCAGGTGCAAGTTTTCATATGATTTTAAAGAAAGTTGCATTCAGCAGAATCTGAAACTATTGTGTTCAGCAGAAAAATCATTTCTTATGTTGCCAAGCAAATATTAATGACCCTTTTCAGGTAATCAGCTTGAATAAGATTTCTGGAAGCTGAAAGCAAAGACTCTCATGTCATGACTCTCATGTAGTTTCTTAATAGTTTTCTACAGGTAAACTTCATGTGACTAGTGGTGGTCATGGTTTATTAATTCAATTCAATTCGATTTTATTTATATAGCGCCAAATCACAACAAAAGTCGCCTCAAGGCTTCATATTAGACCTAAAGATTCATAAACTTAGCTTCCAGGTCATTCCAGAATATAGATGATGCAACTACAGTAGTAAAACTCCAAAACATGCTTGGACCTCATAATGGCGTAACTTACGCTCAACAGTAAATCTGCAGCTGGTGTCAGCTCGGCCAACCACCAGTTTGTAGTGTCCTTCATCTGAAGCGTATGTTCTGGTGAAAACCAGGCGCTGCTTGGCTCCCTTTGCCACCATCTGGATTCGCTCACTGGCTGTCAGCAGGTTGTCATTGTGGTACCATTTGACTGAGCTGATGTCCTGAGCAGAGATCTTTGCCTCTAGGACGACCTTTGTACCCTCAATTGCATGACTGTCCTTCAGTGGGATCAGGATGCCAATAGCTGCAAGATGAGATATTTTGATTAGAGGATTTTATTTTGAAACAAAGTCATTAAAGAAAAACATGTGCATCTGAGGTGACCCACTCTGAATGACCAGCTTTGCAGAGGTTGAAATTCCATGATCAGGAACCTCGAAGGAATACATTCCAAAGTCGTCCTTGGTTGTATCTTCTATAAGGAGTTTGTGAATTTGTTTGTCAATAACTATATGCACACGGCTGGAGGCTGTGATGGGCTGCCCCTTCTTCATCCAGGTTCCTTCAACATTCTCCTGGGAGAACTTGACCTCAAGCTGAGCGATGTCACCCTCGCAGACGGTCATGTCAGACAAAGGCTGCATCAAGGTCACTGGACGCACTAAAAAATAAAAATGTCACTGTTAGCACTCTACATGCGATGTGTGTGTGTGTGTGTGTGTGTGTGTGTGTGTGTGTGTGTGTGTGTGTGTCTGGAAAGGCCCCATCGGGGCTGAAAGGTATGAACGGGCTTTAGAGAAACATCTGCTCCATGCAGACGTGTGTTTCAGGAAGGCCTTCGTGTTTGAGCAGCACGCTGCTAAACTGCAACCAAACACCCAGCGATGCTACACCATGGGACACGTGGGCCTGTTTTTGAGACATGTCGCTGCCTCAAATACAAAATAAACTTGTATTAAAATGGTTAATTTTCTCACCTTTCTCACCCCTTGATATGTTTTCTATGTTTGATTATGAATAAAATATGGCTTTATAAGATTTGCAAATCAAAGTATTCTGTTTTTAATCTTTATTTTACACAGCACCGCATCGTTTTTGGAATTGGGTTTGTGGCACTTTTATAAAAACCTATCATTTAGATTTAAATGTATTTTGAGGGAAAGTAGAAATGGTTTGTCCACAAACAGGAGAAGATGGTTAGCCCGAATTCCAGTAACACATTTTGTTGTAGTCTGAACAGTAGACTTAACTTTACTTCTTAAATACAATAACTTCCGTCCATAGAGTTTCATCATCCATATCCAATTCAGTGCCATGGGAACAGCAACTCACATTTCATCTTCAGAGAGGCACTTGTCTTAAACTCGCCCACTTTGAAGGTATATTCTCCCTGGTCTTCCTTCTTGACGTCTTTCACAGAGAGAGTGTGTCTTCCACGGCGGGAGGAGATGACGTATTTACTGCCAGGAGTCAGCAGATTATCTCCAAAGTACCAGCTGCCTTCGGCATCTTCACGAGAGACAATACATTCAAACTCTCCGGAGTAAGTCTCGGGCACCTCGGTGCTCTCCAGCTGCTTTAACAGCTCCAGAGGAGCTCCTGTTGGTCACATAATACAACAAGAGTTCAAGTCAGTCACAAAGTATACATATACCATATAAGTACCTTGAGGTAACCGTTTATGTATTTGGAATAATTAATAATGAACTGTGTTGATTTCATTACCTAATGAACAGAATATGAAGAACCTAACCCACCTTCAACATTAAGCTTGGCGGTTGTCCTGACAGTATCATCTTCTACAGCCACGCATGTATATTCAGTATCATCCCTCATTTCGATCATCAGCACAGACAGGAAGTGAACCTTTCTGTCAGAGTGCATTCTGTATTTGTCTCCAGAGAAGATCTCCACATTATTCTTCAGCCATTTGACCTTCACAAAAGGCTCGTTGGTTTCACACTCAAAGGTAGCCACGGTATCCTTCTCCTTGGCACTGACGTCCTCCAACTTCTGAGTGAAGTTAATGACTTGTTTTGCTGCAGAAATGACACCAGAGCATTATTCAGAGAATGCAGGATTTAAAATCAGAATTATATGTACATGATCAAGGTCTGTGTTACCTTGCACCAACAGGAAAGCGTGGCTTGAAGTCTCTCCAGCAGTACTGGAAGCTTTAACCATGACACTGGCAGAATCCTCTGCTGTGACATCCCTGATCACCAGTTCACAAACATGGTCCTCAGGCCAGTACCAGTAGACACGGTCAGACTTCTCCAGCTGAACTCCATTCTTGAACCACTGACACTCAGGTTCTGGTCTGCCGACAACTCTGACTCTAAACTTGACTTCGTCACCCTGTGCGACTGTCTGGCTGGTGATACGCTCAAGGATCTTTGGCGCTTCCATGCTGGGTGAGAGCTTGACCCTCTCTGGTTTTAGAGGCTTGGCAGTAACTTGGCGATGCTCTTCCTCCTTCTTCTTCTCAGCCTCCTCCTTCTCCTTGGCACGATGAAGCAGTTCCTCCTTTGTCTTCCTCAGCAGGTCCTCATAGGAGTCATCTCTCTTGCGAGACTTGAGATCCACTGCGGTAATAGACTCGTAATAGCCTTCCTCTGTCCTGCGCTTGAACTTACTCCTCAGCTCCTCTGACTCCTCACTGGCTTTCTCATGGACAATTCTCTGGGCCTTCTTGAGTTTGACGACCTCTTTCAGCTGAGTGTCCTCTGTAGGCTTTTCAGCTTTAACTACCTCAAATGGTACTTTTCCAGGTTCAGGTGCAGCCTCGGCTGGCTTAGCCTCAGGGGCGCGGCGCAGATGAGTTCTGAAGTCCTCCTTCTGCTGAATCTCCAGTTTTACGACGTGCTCAACGGAGCCCAGATTGTTATCTGCTACGACTCTGACCTCCCCTGAATCATATGATTTGATGTCAGTTATCTCCAAGTAGTAAATGCCATCATAGCGAAGTCTGTATCTCTTGCTTTTGCGGATAAGTTGTCCATTGAGGTACCAGTTAACTTTTGGTGCTGGATATCCGGTCACTCTGCAGCGGAATCGAGCCGTTTCACCCTCTAAAACTCTGATTGGTTCTGGAACAAGGACGATCTCAGGCTTCATCTTCTCTGTTTCTTCTTCAGCAGTGACTCCATAAGGTCCACCTTCATGAGCCAAACGCTCTATCTCATCGATCCGGTGGGCACCTTTCCTTCCTTCAGGAAGTTGTGTTTCCTCAACAAGGCCCTTCTCATCCTTGACAATCAGGGTGGCTGAGGTTTGGTCAACTCCGTACTTGTTGGTCGCTCTGCAGGTAATGACGCCGCTGTCTCTAGCATAAGCGGCTTCATAGTCCAGGCTGCAGTAACCAAATTCATTCACCATGCGCAATCTGTTAGCAGCAGCCAGAGGTTTGCCGTCGTGCAGCCACTCCACCACCATTGTGGGGTCACCAATAGGAGTCAGTCTGCACTCAAAATGAGCTGGACCGAAGCGCTTCATGCGGACAGATGTCAGCTTCTTCTTGAACTGTGGTTTTTGCTGCTTCTCTTTGTCATAAAGGTCGCCTTCCTCCCACTGCTCTTGACCATATCGCAGATGAAGCGGCTCCACCTCTGGAGGAGCGATCTCTTTGGCTTTGTATGTTCCTTTGGGAATGATGAGTTTCCTCTCTGGTTCAGGCTCAGCATATTCCACCTCAACATTGACTCTGCAGCGAGTGGTATCTCTGCCAGCCTTATTGATGGCTGTAGCGGTGTACCAGGCGCTGTCTGAGCCAGCTGCTGATGGGATCTGGAATTTAGCCTCTCCTCTGGTTCCTTCAATCCTGGAAAATCAAATTCTCATTTTAGAGAAGAACTGACATTTGACACGTGTTTTTAATTGAAATGAAAATCTCAGGTTGCTTTGAGGAATAATTTTACTCTCCACAAACGCAGCGTTTCATTAAAAAAAGTGTGTTGCTGCATCAAGGTCATTGAAGCAAACAGATGTGATCTACATTTAATGCTAAAGTCACAGAACATACTTGATGCTTGGGTGCTTGTGTGGGGTGATGATGTCGCTGTTCTTCAGCCAGACGATATCAGGCAGTGGGTTTCCAATGGCTTTGACAGCCAGTTCAACCAGAGTGCCCTGCTTCACACTGATGTTCCTCAGTTTCTCAGTGAACTGTGGACGCACCAGGGTTTCCTTGGCTGAAAAAGAAAGTTAAATGAAAGTAAGCCAATCCCCCAACATTTTTCCTTCTGGAAGAAACTTCAAGTTGAGAGAATATGAAGTTGCATTCTTACCATCAACAGCGAGAGTGACGGAGATGGATGTGCGTCCAGCTCTGTTCTGAGCCACCACAGTCCATTCCCCGGAGTCTTGTGGCAAAGCTGGGACGATGATCAGGGACTGAGTGCCATCCTCTTTAACCACGATCTTGTGGGTGTGGTCACTAACTATTTGTTGCCCTGAGAGGAAGATAGTTGAATGGCTTGTGAGATCAACAAATTTTGTTCAAACTCTTTTTGAAGATTTCCTCTTTGTTGTACTCACCATTGTGGAACCAGTACGTCTCAGGCATTGGTCTGCCCACAACCTTCAGGTCAAATCTGGCAGTTTGTCCCTCAGAACATTTATATGATGAAGGCTTCATGACAAAAACAGGCTTGTAGAGTCTTTCTAGCTGAGCCTCATCAGTCTCATCTAGCCGACGAGCAGGAGAACGTCCAGGTGAACGACTGGGAGAACGGCCAGGTGAGCGGCTCAGAGAGCGAGGAGATGTGGACCTGAGAAAGTATTAATCCTTGTCATTTCCCTTATCGTCAGTGTTCCCTGTTTCAAGCTTTGTGAATTTCTTTACCTGATCCTCTGCACTGCTGGCTGTGGTGTGAATTGCTGAGGTGTTACTGTTTCACATGGCTCCACATAGAGCTTCCCAGAACTGACAGCATTACCCTTCATGTTGGTGGCAAACGCGGTGTACACGCCTTCATCTTCGGGTATCACTACAGGCAGGCGAAGGCTGGCCCGTCCATCCTGAAGAACCTCTATTTGGTAATGGTCTCCAGCCCTAATACGCTGGCCATCTTTGAACCAAGCAATCTGCCAAGAGATACGACGTGATCGTAAAATCATGTGAACTCTACTTTAGAGCTTTTTATGTATTTCAAGACCATTTCTCTAATTGTAACATATTTCTTAAAGATTCAGCACCTTGGGGAGCGGCATTCCAGACATCTTGCAGTGGAAAGTAGCGCTCATCCCCTCCATGATCCTGTAACTTTTCACTGGCGTGTCAAAGGCTGGCTGTACCGCCTCAGTCTCAGTGGCAGTCACCATCAACTCTCCGTCCTCTGTCACAATCTCTCTGTAGCTGATTTTCATAATGGTAAACTCAATCTCCTGGATGATCCTCTGCTCAATGACAGACAGATGGAATTCCTGCAGATATGATATGATGTCAGTCAGTGGGTCCTGATCATAGTCAAGCCCAAGGAAAGGTCTTTGTAGATTACGAAAATGATGATTTTTATGCTTGCTTTAATTTTTATGCATCGGTTATTATATTTTCTTCCCAATAACGTGCATATTTAACGCATATTTAAAGGCACATAAAGGTTTTACTAAAGCTGGATAGTCAACCAGGTAGTGTGGGAAATTCAACGACACCAATTCTAATGAGAGCTTAGTCTGACAGTGCGCTCTGAATTACAATATCAACTGCAGTTACTACTGACAACAGCAGTATCTGCAGCTACAGGGACCCCAGCTTTTTACTTAATCTCAAGGTAAAGTGCTTACTTAAGTTTGTGCTGTACTCATCGTCATGATGTGATATACAGCACACAAAATGATAGAGGTGTCCACATACTAACTGTTCTATCAGGATTTGAGACTTTGTGGCATCTCCAGACTTTTTTTTGTAAACAGCTCACTGGAGCTCATATAAACTATTACACAGGATAGTGACAAACACTCCACATAACCATCTAGTTCCTTATGATGGCTTTGACATGGTTTGGTTTTGTATTATGATCACAGCTATGGCTAAGGATTCTCTACCTGTCCAGAGATAATGGTGGTGGTTATCTTCTCCATTGTTGTGACAGTGACAGGGGGAATATCTCCCACCTTGGGCTCTTGCACAATGGATGTCACTTCAGTCTTAAACATTGCTTCCTGTTTCTTCATGTAGGCTTCATATTCCTCTGTTGGCAAAAAAACAAAATAAAAAAACAATCCTATGAGTTCAAGTAGTTTCCATCATCTCTTTAAGGACTGTGCAAGCTAACTGTTTCTGCATGAGCTGTATGGCATAATATCCACTGACAGTCCCTTTATCTCTGCTCCTTGTGTTATATCTTTAGGACAGCAGTTTGCCATCACTGCAGTATTTACTGACCTTCCTCCAGCAGACTGGCGGAGGCAGAGACTTCTCCAAGCTTATTCTTGGCAAACACGGCATATTCTCCAGCGTCATCGGCGAAGGTCATGGAGATCTCTAAACGGCACTCTCCAGTCTCCTTCTTGTAGGCAACTTTGTATCTGATGGAGGGGAATGAGCATTACAGGCCCCTGAAGGCTGCAGCGTGATCCATCACAATAGGAGCAAACAGTGTCCTAATATTTTACCCATACTTCGTCTTACCAGCACCGTTTGTCCTAAGAGCCCACTGAAGATAAAATCATGGATTCAGGTCTAAAGGGATTGATCTCAATGCAGAAGCAGGAATGAGAGCTGGAGCTTAATGTGCTGGCGGCTCATTACTGGGTGAGACAGTTGACCTTAGCTGAACCATGAGCCAGATGTTTGGTTTTGCTAATCCTGTGTTATATCTGACAGGGACTTTAGGATTGGTGTCAGTTGGGTTTGAGAGGGGGGGTCCGAGTTGTGTATTCTGGTAGAAAGCTGAGCTCTAATGACGTGTTCATTTCTTACAGTTTTACAGTGATGACTTTAGCACTTTAGTCCTTGAGTTAGGGGATTTGTTTTGCAGCTGCATTCACACGTCAGATAAAATATAGATCACGTAAACCACAAAGGTCTCCATGTAAGGACAGTGAAAACCTGAGCACAGGTATTACTCACCTGTATCCGGTAGTGAGTGGGACACCACTCTTCTTCCAGATGATGTGTGGTTTGGGGCTTCCCCCAATCTGACATTCAAACACAACACTTCCACCCTCCACTAGCTTCTGGATGGTGGGTTTCTTGATAAAGAAGGGAGCGGCAGCAGCAGACTCTGACTCCACCATGCTCACCTGGGTCTCCTCTCTGGTTTCTCTTAATCTGGAAATAAAAATGATTCCTTATTTTCAGGCCCAACCTGTACCGCTTGTCATCCGTTTCAGTGATGTAAAATAAGAAACCAATATGTTTGACGATTTGATGAATGTAACTCAAACTTTAAGTGACTCACTGAGCAGTTTCAACATGTTCTGTAACAACAGCAATCTCCTCTCTGCTCTCGATGTCTTCAGACACTGGTGGGGAAAGACAGTTCATCACTGTAAACGCATGAATATGCAGAATGTATAGACGGGAAGGGATGAGATTATGTTACGGGAAGATTTCAGGTCCTGTGTGTATCAAGAACAGGGCTCGGTGCATGCATGTGAACAGTCTCTGAGGAAAAAAGGGCTCAAATTAAAGTTATCCTGATATCTGCTGGACAGGCTGGGCATCGTTCCTCAGTATGTTACAGCATACTACGAAAGAAGATTACTTCCTGTGTGAGTGACACTGCATTCTGCTTGCACTGACCCTGGACAAGCAGGTAACAGGACGTGCTGACAGTTCCCGCCTCATTGGTAGCTGTGCAGGTGAAGCGGCCGCTGTCTTCAGCGAATGCTTCACGGATCACCAGTCTGGCAAATCCGTTCTCGTAGGTGATCTGGAAATCAATGGAGCTCTCAATCTTGTAGTCCTCTCTGAACCACATAATGATGGGGGTGGGATGACCGCTGATCTGGCACTCCAGGGTCACAGACTCGCCCTCGATCACATTTGTGTTCTTCAATCCCTGCACAAAAAAATATCACAACATCTTTACAAAAAGGTCTCTTTCCCTAAACAGTGTGGACATGTGATCTGAGGGCAGTCCACTCACAGAAATCAGCGTGGGAGGGACCACGGCACCACCGGCAGAAGGCACCGCAGCTGCCTCCACCACCTGTAAGATATTCACAGGTATGTTGGGAACATTAGGCTGAAAAACTACAGCAGCTATAGATCCCACACATGGACACAGTGACAGAAACAACCAACACACACACACACGATGAAGAAGAGATAACACAGCACATATGATGGAGGGAAGGCTGGATGGGCTGCAGAGGTGAGAATGAGGTTGTCAATAGCATGGAGAAGCCAGTTAAAGTTTATTACAGGGATATTTAATTATGGATTTTCACAGAAATCAAGAAAACCATCAAGAGAAGTTGTAAAAACCAGAAGTATGACCTGTGTCCCACAACATTTTTCTTCAGCTGTTCTTTAGTCTAATAAATGGTGAAAATGTCAATGAAATCAGGAGCATTCAAACCCGGGGTAACTTCTGCCCTTTCAATCAGATTTTTCCAGGGTTCAAATAGAGGTTTTTCAGCCTGTGAACGAGGATCTAATCAGGCAGCTCATATTAGGATTTATCATCTTGAAAATATCTGATAAAATTCACGATACTTTGGCCAGCTGTTGGCAGCTAACGGATCGTATGGATCTTACATCCACATCAGGTTTTCTTGTCCTGTTTAGACCCAGCTCTCTGAGCTACATTACAAACCTGGGCTCCCCAGTCCTCATACATTCTCTCCATTCTGCCTGAGTACACCACCCCGGTCTGTAACTCAGAGCCAGAACGACTCTGATGTTTGTCAGTGAAGTGTTTGAACGGTGGTGGGATGGTCTCCAGCATCTCTCTGGTCTCTGCTACTCTGCGAGATGGACTGGGAGACTTGACAGGCTTGATGATCTTTCGAATAGTGGCAGAAGACGAGGATAACTCTTTGTGCAGAGTGGCCATGGCCGAGCCGGCGATGGAAACCTGACCGACCCAAAGAGGAAGAGCCACACCGTCATCAAGAAAATACTGTTGAGTCTTTTCTGAAATGTGTGTTAAACCACAGCACAGAGGAGCTATGGCACGTTAGTCTGATTAATGCTACAACAGGGTCAGATAGAGGGACTTTAATTAAGATGGATTAATAGGAGGTACCGGATCAATCAAGTTTATTAAATAAGGGGATGAAGCAAAAGAAGGTTAAGGGAGGATTGATTTAGTTATTTTATGGATAATATTTGATCACGTTGACACTGCATTAAAACACAAGTTTGCATTTCAGCCAATCAGCAGTTCAATAAGCTTGCCACAGCAACGGTCCTATCACATTATTATTGTCCACAGCTCGCCTGATGCTTCCTGTCTTACCTCACTGCTAGACTCGAGTTTTGGGACAGACACTTTAGAAACTGTGAATTGTGGAACTGGAGACGGGGTGAGACCAGTGTCCACACGGGAGGAGATTTCTGTCACTCCCTGAATCTGGAGCAACCAACACAACAAGAGTCAGAACCTCAGGAGGATTTTAAAATCTGCACAGTATATTTAGAAGATGACTATGTGATTATCAAGAGATTTGTGCTTCAAATGTCTTTTTTATGGTTGACTACGAGGTGACTTCACAGAGATGAATCGGTCATTATTCACCAAATAATTCAAACAAGACTTTGCCCAAAGACACATTTCATACATAATTAAATAATTGATCGGACATATGGACTGTTTTTTCTGAGATACTCTTTTTGTAATTGTGCAAAATCATTTTTTGTAACTTTTTCATTTTGATGGAAAATAAAACATCCATCTGTTCTCTTCACCAAAAAAGGGGGGGGGGGGGGGGGGGGGGCGGGGGCTGAGTAAAATACCAAAATAAAAAATAAATGAAAGAATTCAAATCTGCTGATAGTTTGGTCAAATCTCTTGGTAATCGTTGTTCACTGGAGGCCTAGCTAACCTGAGGCTGCAGCACGGCTGCTTCACGTGTAAACTCCTGAGCAGTAGAAAGCATGTGCCCACTTTGCACTCTTGTTGATGTCAAAGCAGCTTGATAGCTTTGATCAGCAGCCACGGCGGCGGCCTGCTGCCTTAAGTCCACCTCTACAGCCTCGTCCTCTTCAGCTCGACCCCCCTCGACAAGCGCGGGCTGACGGACACGAGCAAGGTCGACGGCAGCCACCACGGTGGCCACTGCCCCCGCTCTTTTCCCTCCCTCAGCCTGGAGACACAACAGATCTCAGGACATCCAGCACAGCGGTACAGAAACAGACAGGTTCATGGGGGAAATCACTTTGGTAAGTATCTCCATCCCCTCGTTCAAAGAAAAATACAGAGCTGGGAGAAAGACCTGATTTGCCCAAATTTGCATATAGACTGGGTTTAGTTAGCTCGACTCTGTTAACGCAGGTCTAAAACTCTGGGCTGGATGGTTGTCCAATAAACAAGAGGCTATTGAATGAGCTTCAGAGGTAGATCTTGGATTACGGGCAGAGCCAGATTAGCTGTCTCCCCAGCTTCCAGTTTTTTGCAAAGCTTAGCCTGACTCCAGTTATCCAAATGAGATAATGAGGTACTACGGTTTTTAAAGCCTGACCCATGCAAGCTTAAAGGTTTAAAGTCATTTGAAGACAGCACATTGGTTCATCTGTTTGTCAGCAGTAACATTAGCTGCAAAGAAAAGTGACAGCCACAATCTTGTGGCGACACAATAAAACAATAAGACCAGTCTTCTGAGTTAAGCTGAAGCGATCTCAGACACATCAGGAGGATGTGGTATCAGGAGGACATCAGGTATTCTGACAGCATCGTCAGCTGAACCGAGCCAGGCTTGCTCTCTACTGGAAACAGGTGCTAAAGTCTTGTGGTTAAACACAGAGGACACAGCTCTTTGAGGGTGTATTTTCCTCCTCTTCTGTGAGTAAAGATGTTGCTTCTTGGTTTTTAAAGTTTTCACATGTTTCCCCCCCTCACCGTATGAATCTGTGTGGGGCTGAAAGAAGTTACAGTCCCGCCCAGCCTGCAGAGATGTCCCATCCCTCATCATCCAGGGTAAAACGCACATCATCAGCTTCAGATGATTCTCTTTTCATTTCAAAGACCAAATGTTCAGACTGCTGTGTGATGCTGTGCCAATGATGTGAATATGAGCAGGGCAAACAATCAGGCACATTAGAACAAGGAACATATGGAAAAGAATTGGCTGTAAGGTGGAGGAAGGTGGATGGCAGGTTCTGTTTTTCAGAGTAAACCCATAATACCTTTAAACAAGGACCTGAAATCCACCGCAGAGGCTGTGAGACATGAACGTCACAAATAGAGAAGTGGAAGTAATATTTCATGACCAAACACAGTCAGGAAGCTGATGGTAACGCAGCTGAACCCGAAGAAGAGAGACTCAGGAATCTGGGAACCTCACGTTTCATTGAAAATGCCCATTTTTTGTGAAGTGTCTCCTGGAATGGTTTATCTGTGGATGGGAATATGTCGTGCTACCCCAGGGATGCTCACCTGTTTGACCATGGTGACCTGCTGCTCCCGGACCAACTGAGTGACAGTCCTGCCCTCGGCCACGTAGTCTTCCTGCTTCCAGGGCGGGAGGACGTCACCGGCGGCCTGCTTGTGTGCGGCGATAGGGGACGGGACTGCCCTGAAAGGTGAGACTGAGAGTTACACAGCTGCCCTGATTGGTTTATTCATCGAGCACACCGATCAGCAGATCTCTGTCAGTAATCATTCGCTGACTTCTTTCCATGTAAAAGTTACGAACAGGCAAATAACAGCCAGCGTTAACCCCTCCCAGACTCTACCCACCTGACAGGCGTGGGTGTGGGTGCCTTCACATGTCTGACAGGTGACGGTGACTGTTGCCGTCCCCCGGTCACCTTGGCCACCAGTGATGGCTGAGTTGGTGACTTGGATGTGGGTTTCGGAGGAACTCTGGGTGGAGTCTTGTGAGCCAGCTCTGCGCCCTCTATCTGCATCTCCATCATGGCGGAGGCCTGGAAACTGGCCTCCATCTTCTGGGGACAGACAGCAGAGTTCATGAAGTTAGATTAAGTATGAGTAAATTAGACAATCACACATTTCTTTGAGGATTTTTTTACCTTTTCTACTCTGGTGTGTCGGGTCTCTGAAATCTGGGCGGTTGAAATCAAGGTCTTTGTTTTCTTTGCTGGAACGGCTTCTTCGCCTGAAAATGTCTCTTCTTTAGTCTGTGTTTTTCATCAAAGCAATTTCCAAAAGGAAGAAGAAGCAGAGACGAACGGTTCTTACCCTGAACCAGCAGTTCGGCTGTGGAGGTGGCCCGTCCGCTGCTGTTGGTGGCTGTCACCGAATACGTCCCAGAATCCTCTGGGAAGGCTTCAGCAATCAGCAAGCTGTGCAGGTCTCCGTCCTGGATGATTCTGAAGTCGGTGGAGCTCTGGATCTCGGCCCCTTCTCTGTAGAATTTTACCCCAGGTGCGGGGATCCCGGTGACTCGAACATCCAGCCTCACCTGGCTGCCCTGTCTCACCGTGGAGCTCTGTAGTCTCTGAATGAAGCTCGGAGGAACCGTCTCCGCTGGAGAAGGAGGTACAGGTCGCTTTATATCAGCTGATCTCAGCATTTCGTTGTGCAAGTACACAATAAAATAAAGCCAGTTTATGACTTTTTAGAAAACTGAATTTTTAATAACAGTTTGTTTTCAGTTTGATTCAGACGGGTGTTAAAAATCAGCTCATGATGTTGCAACGTCTGCCGACCGTTATCCACTGCTGTTTATCCTTTGAGAACTCTGGATGGCAGCTAAATGATAACATATACACAAACAAACCTTCTTTACAATCTATAAATATCAAAATTTTAACATTAAAATTTGCTGTTCGTAGCAGCTTTTTTGAAAAGAAATGTATGGGAAATGTTCATGGAGCAGAAGTGCTTTAGTTTACCACTTGAAGTCCTCCTGTGAGCTCACCTGTAACTAAGAGTTCGGCTGTGCTTGTGGCTTGTCCAGCACCGTTGGTGGCTCTGACAGAAAATCGTCCGCTGTGCGCGGCGGTCACAGCAGGAATCCTCAGAACAGCGCGGCCATCGCTGAACGAGATCTGAACGCCGGGCAGAGCGGCAGCAGAAAGTACCTGGCCATCACGGAACCAGCTCACCTCAGGAACTGGAGAACCTGCAAAGAGATGCATGAGACTCTGTCGGAGAACCCACAAACCAACATGCACCAAAGGATCCGGGACTAAGACCTGAGCCACAAAGTCAGTGCTTTCAGTAAAACAGTGAGATTTTAATGCATGAAACAAAAATGTGAAAGGAAAAGCAAACGACGAACGAGTGGGAGAAACTTTATTAAGAGTTTAGCAAATTTTCATGTTCAACTTTTTATTTGAAATTTAAAAAAATCATCTTTAAGATTAACGTTGTTCACATGAGGTTTTCAAATTGTTTAAAAATATAGAAACTGAAAATGTGACATTTATTTAGCTAAAGTAGAAATTAAACATTTTAAAACTGGGTGGATGGATTCAAAAATACAATTACTGTTTAAAATATACGAGAGCTTTAAAGGAAATAAGAACTAAGATCAATACAACAAAGAGTAATTCTTTTGAATCATGAGACCGTCAGTGAGATGAAGTCAGAGCAGAAAAACGTCACTATCAGGTTTGTTTTACCTGGTTAATCATGAAAGAATCAAGACTAAACTTCAGAAGCTTCATATGTTTCCTTCATGTGGCTTCATCGTTACCTAGCTCGACCTGCAGAGCCGTCCCTGTGTGACTGATTGCACCAGTCTGTCAGGAGAATAAAGGACGGCTGCTCTTATACTCACTGGTTAAACTTAGAACAAATGACATTTCTCCTTTTAAGTCAAGCAATCATTGGGTCAAAGCAACAAGAAGCAGACTGTTCTCCCCTCAAACACTGCCACCAATAGCAAGCAGCAATGCAGCAACCATCTCAGCTCCCTGTGGTTTGGGCTGTTTGGACTTAAAACAGAAAACTGAGGGAGAAAGGCTGAAGAGCCAATCAGGAGCTGTCTGTGTAAATGTTGGCACATGCTTCCCCTGAGTTCCTGAAAGGGAAAGGCATCTGCTGAAATTCTGTCAGCTTTATTTTTATCACAGGCATTGACTCCAACCTTCCAAATGTCAGAATGTCCCTGAAAGCAGCAGCAGCCTGTAAAAGCCTCGCTCGCCACGAGAAAAGAAAGAAAGGTGACGAGAACATTTACCCCTCAAAAGTCCATCATTTCTCTCTATAAATACAAAGAGTCCAGATATGAATGTTGCACAGTCTGCAGTGAACCTCTGTACCAGCTGCATGGCTTCAATGTCTAATAGTTTTTATATGAACTTTAACATTATTTCTCTCCTTTCTAACTAATGAAGTCAAACATCTGCTCATTCTTTGTATCTCCAGTGTAAATACAACAGTGTCAAACATCGTCCTCTGCAGAACGTCACCATCACACGTTTCTCTTACCACTAACTTGAGCCTCGAACGTGGCGGCACTACCCTCCAGTGCCACGACGCTCTGTAGCGGCTGCGTGAACGTCGGCGCTTGAGTTGACATGATGATCGGCACCCTGGAACACAAACGAGGTGATCAGCCCAGAATAAAGAAAACAGCAGCAGGCTTTGGTTTCATTGGCAGAGAAACTGACAGATCAGCAGCAGGTGGAGCTAATTCTCCACCTGCTGCCACTAAACCAGTGCAGGAGTAGAGCAGCCACTAACAGCTGCAGATACAAACAAACCTGCAGCCTTTTTAATACGAATGAAAAAATCATCAGATTTTCACTTTATTGTTTCAGTCATTGCAGGACAAAAACGAGATTACAACATGTTTTTACAAATATGTAGATTTTATGGCTGCATGAGATCAATGCAGTGAGATGAAAGATGAATAAGTGCTGCCAGGCTGAGGATGCAGACTGGGTCAAAAGGTGTGGAGAACTGTGGGTGTAGCTGGGTGTAGCTGGGCGTGCAGAGCAGCGGAGGAACCAGAGTGGAACCTAATCTGAGCAAATACAGAGAGACGTGAGAGCAGAACAGCCAATCGGACGGCCTCAGGCTGGAGGCCGAGGTGGTGGAGCAGCAGATGGAGGCGAAGCTGCAGACGGAGGTGGAGCATTGTGGATGCTTCTTCTCATAATGTTGTTTCTCCAGAAAACTTCAATGATTCAGTTTCAGTTTAGCTGCTGTGTTATTTGTTGCAACCTGTGTTTACTAGTTTATTCGAATCCGTATTTTAACTTTATCTTCTGTGATCAAATTTAAAACTAATAAAACAAGTTTTATGTTAAATACTCGTTTTGTCAAATTTTACTTTCATTGAGATAAAATAAATGATTCATTCAGTCATTTCTTTCTTCTAGTGCTGATCGCTCATCCTATTCTTTATATCACTTCCTGTTTCCCACGCTGATGCTGACATCATCACGCTGCCTGCCTTCTGTGAACCAATCAGCTTCCATTCTCTGCTTTAAATCACAAACACGTGTTTTTCTGCTGCTTTTCTTGCTGTGTGATACATTTCTTTCCTGATAATGTACAAATGTCTCTGATATCCTACATGTGCATATCCAGATTGTTCGTTTGAACCTTTAGATTTCTTTAGTCTTCACACTGGACAGTCCACAGGTGAGTAAATGGTTGTGACGTGCACTTGGGTATGTTGGCTTGGGTATATTCTCTGTTCTCTCAGTCCTTTGATTGGCCGTGTTGTTGTGATGTCATAGCTTTGTGACGATGCTAAGGTGTAGCTGATCCCCCGCTGGGATGGTGCTGTAGATCCTGTGTTTATAGATGTAACCAACATATAACAGAAACACTTTTCTGATGTTAGTCGTTGTTTGCAAAGGTTGAAGAACATTCGTACACTTTCAGCTCCGTCCATCGGTCCACAGAGCCCGTCTGTGTCACAGGGCGAGAAAGCTCTGTCGCGTTAGAACCACAAAGGAAACGAGAACCTGTGAAAGCCCATCGAGACGGTCACCGACGCAGCAGCTACTGCGACTCATGCAGCACGCTCTGGGTGGAGACGTGTTAGATAACCATTGTGTGAAAGAGTCACTGACCAATCATGTGGCTGAAGTGACTCCTGTGAGGACGCCTCATCAGTCCTTCAGCAGGATGATGTAACAGTCAGGCAGAGCTGCTTCCTCTTAACAGTGAAACTGGTTTAATGATAACTAAGTAACGTCTGCGTGAGCACGCCGAAGAACAAGCTGCGCGCTCACAGCAGTGTTCAAACGATCAGAGACGCTGACAAAGGGTTTCAAAGGCTCATCAGCGGCAGCATTAACTGACTATTATGATCTAAACACTGCACAAACTGGGAGTCCCCGTGCTGATAAACAGCTTAGGATAAACTATAGTATAGTTTATCCTAAGCTGCTGTAAATAACAGAGCAGAAGAAGAAATCCGGTTTTTACACTGAGGTGACCCAAACTCTGAGCTCTGCATTCAGAGTTGCACCTGCATGTCGTGCTTGCCTGGGTTGGTAGGAACACAGGATGCATTTGACTAATTGATGAAGTGATTAACTCTACTCGGGTTTGTGTTGAGGGACACATTTACATGTAGTTAAAAGCAGCTGGATGGAAATGTGCTGAGTGTCTCTGCAGCTTCACTCAGAGGTTTGAGTTTCAGAGCTGTGAGACAGGTGAGACGGACGGCGGCTATAAATGTCTGACGGGCGGCAGCAGCTGCAGGTTTGCACTTTTACAAAGAACATTTATGCTGCCGCTGACACAGAGATGAACAACATGACTCTGATTAGCATGCTGGAAAAAAACAAACTGATTTTAAATAGAAATAAAAGTTTCCCTGAAAATACAAAGTCTGATGAAAAACTCAAATGTGTTCTGGTGTGAACTGTTAAAGGTCCACTGACCAAACACTGATCATGTCCACTCTGCTGTGACCTCAGTGTGGACGTGGACCAGTTTGTCTTCATTGATATAAACAAATTCAATTCAACTTTATTTATACAGCACCAATCACAACAGCATTCAGCTGAAGGTGCTTCATACTGTAAACTCATCCATCATCTTCAACATTTAATTAGCTGTTTCCAAGTAATTATAACCATCAATCATCAGATCAGATCTAAAGCTGAGTCTGCTGTTTTAACTCTTTGGTTCCTGATTTTACTGCAGACTAAAAACCATAATAATAATAATAATAATAACAACGACGCATGTTATTAGTCAGTGCAGTGATGCAGTGGATCTTCTCACAGGTTCGTGATCTTTAAATAAATGGAGCTCGTTGTTGTTTCCACTTCATGTGACACAAACTCTTACAGGTGAAATGTGCTGTGGAGTGTTTTTATCCACCACATTGTTATTTAGACATGATTCTGTGTTTATGTTGATTTTGTTCTAAAATCTCTTCGTGGCAGAATTTGGACTGAAATGTTGATTAACACAAATCTTTGATTTTGCTGTGAAATCTTTTCAGACGAGTCACTGTGGGTTTTCCACGTTTGTCTCCACTCATGTTCTTATTTCAAGTTTCTTTCTCTCTGCACTCTGGTTTCATGTTGCTGACAAATAACCACGTTACATATTATTGAAGCGTTAAATTAAATGGTTCTGATTGTTGATTATTCGCTGTGGTTTTTGTAAAAAACAGAAACAAAGATGTTGTGCTTTCAAAAGCTTTTTCTGCCGTAATTAATTAAAAACATCTTTTGTTTTGTTTTTTTATTTTGTTACAATTTTATGAATTTAAAATTTAAAACCTCAATTTTCTCATCATAAAATGGAACCACATAACGTGTTGGTTATAATTATAAGTGTGATGAAATTAGTCAGTTTATTGATATTATGAGACTAAAGCTCGGGTAACATAAAGTCATTTTTATACTTTTTTGGCACAAACAGGCTTCCATACTTATCTGAGAATCAAACAGTCAAAGCTTTGATTCAAAGACAACTCCCATTGAAACCTTATAATGACAGGAATAAATGAAATCTTTCACCTGTAAAAGCAGCTTAATGACACTTCATGTAAATGTGACGATCAGATCAAAGACACGAACAAACATGAAGCCGTTTAAACGTCGTTCCTTTTGTGTCCACGATGCAGCTGCAGTAATCCTGGTTTAACGCTGGCTGCAGTCTAGCGTGCAGCTGTTTCTGCTGTCAGACAGTTATTTAAAAACCTTTACTGTCACATGGTTAACATCTCGAGTGTGACGTCGCATTTATTGACTTTGGACGCTCAATCACAGAAACCCTGTAAAAACGTACAGCTGGAGTCTGAGGACGAGTGTGAAGCTCCTTAAAGTAAGACTAAAAATCCTCCAGTGCTGTGAATCTGAAGTCTGTGGAAACAGGCTGAACCACTCTCACACCTCTTTAAGGAGCTGGTGATCAATAATCAGTTACTGGTGATTGATTTGTTCCTGCTCTCTGACTGTGACACTGAACGCCTCGCTGGGACAGCTGCTGCTCTTTTTCAGCGCTGTCAGCTGATTTCAGGCAGAGTTGTGAGTCTCTCACCTTCTCTGTGAACTTTCAGCACCTGATCAGCTGATCGCAGCCTTATCAACAATCAATACGAACACTTCGCTTCATCATAAGCCAAACAGGATCAGACCTGATAAACTCAGCCCATATTTACAGATCGAGCTGAGCGACAGATAAGGCAGTGGCCAAAAATATCCACCACCCCCTCCCCAACCTCGAGCAGCTTGATTGACAGACAGCATGTGGCGCATAGCTGGGGGTGAAGTGATAGCCCTGCTGCTGATTCCCTTAAAAAGCCATCAGCCGCCCAGCTGACAGTCCACTCTCATGCTATCAGCAGCTATTCTTGGCCTTCCTGGGGTCAGTGCACAGCCCGCTGAATAGGGCCAACCTGCAATCTGCACCCGAAAAACATCAAACCAACACAAAACCCAAACACAGTTCACCCAAACCCCGAGCCCTGACCCCCCAATCGCCGTAAACCCCACGAGTCAGCATCATTAGGGGACCGGCGAGTACTCACTTGTATCACAAGAGTGCCTGAAATGATGGGACGGAGCCCGTCAGAGCAACGAGCAACGGTCTCCTTATCCAGGAAGGTTTTTCCAGAAAAATCCAAGATGAGAACGGTCGAGCCTCGAAATATCCCCCGAAAAAAAACAAAACTACACAGAATAGAGGCCGTGTAGTTTTGCTTTCCCTCCTCGCAATCCCTCCACCCGAGGCGAGGTTGGGAATGCTCAAACTGCTCAGGAGGGCCCAGATGGTGCTTTAGGGTTTTATACCAGGGGGACAACCTGCATCATCAGAGCACCGACGCTCCCCATTGGCTGCTGAAACACTCAGGGGGCATGATGGGACATAGCAGCCATTTATGCACCCTGCAGCCTGTGAGGCTGCCCACCCCGATCCTCTGATTCGGATCAGGCTAAGAGTGTGTGACGGCAGCTCGTTCACACACACCTGAACCTCCGTGTTTTAAAGGAATCGCAGAGAACAAGTTCATCTGCAGACCCAGAGTCACTGAGAACTGCTGAGCAAAAGGAGGCAGAGGCTGTTCCTGTCAGTCAAAGCCCCCCTCCCACCGGCCGGCTGTTACAACACCCCAACAAACCCACGCTTCATATCTCAGGAGTCAGCGGAGCTCCTGGGGCTCATCCTGTGGATCAGAACCTTTCTGCTGCTTCATGGTTTGGTAGCAGAGTTTAGTAATGCAGCTGTCAGTCGTCCATCATTGTCCTAGCTTGACCTGGAGGTCAGTTAAGTCCACTAATGTAAGAAGTGATTTCGGTGACAGCACATTGTGTAAGTTGTGTATTGTTGCTCTTTATAGACACTTTCTGTTTGTCTGGATCCGTTTTCATGAAAATTTGGTTGCACCTAAATATTATTTACATTTTTTTTCAACATTTTGCTTTTTGACTTGTTGATTCCTGAAGGTAAAATCTGCCTTACTGAACTGTACACCTGAAGAGTGTCATGAGTCTCAATCTTGGTGAGTTTTTCCTGCTTTTATCAATCAGGTCATCCAGTGACAGATGGAAGCAGTGCTGGAATCTACTGCAGGAATGTCTTAAAGACATAAAGACCTGGATGGCCGCTAACTTTCTGCTTCTTAATTCAGATAAAACTGAGGTTATTGTACTCGGCCCTGAAAATCTTAGAAATATGGTATCTAACCAGATTCTTACTCTGGATGGCATTACCTTGGCCTCCAGTAACACTGTGAGGAACCTTGGAGTCATTTTTGACCAGGACATGTCCTTCGACGCACATATTAAACAAATATGTAAGACTGCTTTCTTCCATTTGTGCAACATCTCTAAAGTTAGAAATATCCTGTCTCAGAGTGACGCTGAAAAACTAGTTCATGCATTTATTACTTCCAGGCTGGACGACTGTAATTCATTATTATCAGGAAGTCCTAAAAACTCCCTGAAAGCCTTCAGCTGATCCAAAATGCTGCAGCAAGAGTCCTGACAGGGACTAGAAAGAGAGAGCAGATTTCTCCTGTTTTGGCTTCCTGTTAAATCCAGAATTCAAAATCCTGCTCCTCACATACAAGGTCTTAAATAATCAGGCCCCATCTTATCTTAATGACCTTGTAGTACCATATCACCCTATTAGAGCACTTCGCTCTCGCTCTGCAGGCCTACTTGTTGTTCCTAGAGTATTTAAAAGTAGAATGGGAGGCAGAGCCTTCAGTTTTCAGGCCCCTCTTCTGTGGAACCAGCTTCCAGTTTGGATTCAGGAGACAGACACTATCTCTACTTTCAAGATTAGGCTTCAAACTTTCCTTTTTGCTAAAGCATATAGTTAGGGCTGGACCAGGTGACCCTGAATCCTCCCTTAGTTACGCTGCAACAGACGTAGGCTGCTGATTCCCATGATGCACTGGGTGTTTCTGCTTCACTCACCTTTCTGTACTTAATCATTAGTTGTTAAGCTCCGGCTCTCTTCCACAGCGTGTCTTTTTCCCGTCTTCCTCCCCCTCACCCCAACCAGTCGCGGCCCCTCCCTGTAAGGACAAACTGGTTTAGTTGCTGCTGTTTCACACGTGCTTGTTTCTTGTTAAACATCTTCCTGTGGAGGATTACATGTTTGTGTTTCCACCAATCACAGTTAAGCTCAGATGTGAAGCAGCCCTCACTCGTCTTCACATTAAAGGTGCCTGAAGTGACACAGCTGTTGTCAGTGGTGTGAAAGCCTCAGCAGGTCGATGGTGTGCAGGACTCATCGTCTGTGGCTGAAACAGACTCACACTGCGGTACTTTATTCACAGCTGTGATCTTGAATGTGTTTCTATTGTAATTCTATTTTTAGTCACAGATGTGAGCGAGCGTAGTGAGAGTTCCCGTGTCTGCCTGGCTGGGCCGTCTGTCGGCTAAAAACAAGCTTCTTCACAGGAAGTTAGCCGGGACTGAGGAAACTATAAATCACAACAACAACGGAAGACTGGGAAGATTTATTGGTTTAGTAAAATGTACTAAATTAAACACATAAATGAGGAAAGCTGAGACTGACTGCAGGAGGCTCCAGGCCTCATGAAACACGTCCTTACATATAGGCAGTTCATCACGGCTGCTCACAGATCTACTGTTAGAGGAGACGTGGTTAGTGACGGCACAGGAGGAGCTTCCAGTGTTTTAAGAAATACTTATTTCATGTTGTAATTCAGGCAGTTACCAGTTAAGGATTTTGTGATCTAAACTGAGGACTAATTTTGCCATATGAAGCCTTTTAAATGAAAATAAAGATACTTTGTCACAGGACTGACAGGTCAGTACAAAACTGGACTCAGCAGGTAGGTTTACAATATATTTATTAGTTAAACTGGAAATCGTGACAAGGCAACAAAACATAGAGCTTGTTGTGGCCTGGGTAACGTGGCTCGGTGGACGTGGATCTAAAAACAGGGAACGGGCGCAGAGATGCAGACTGGAACGGGACAGTTAAGGAGTCACATTGTAGGAGGAGGAAATGATGGGAGAGGGGTGACGTGATCCGGAGTGAGCTGAGCGGTGTGGAAAGGCGGTGTGACCTGCGATCCGGACGTTCCTGCGATCCGGACGTTCCTGCAGGACGGCAGGCAGGTGAGACACAGAGTGATTTCCCAAATGGAGAGACAAATGTCAGTGTGAGGCTTAAATCACTCTCTTGATGGCCTGCCATCAGCTCCAGCTGTGAGGAAGTGGAGGAGGACGTGGCCCCGCCCAGGGACGGATACCAGGTAGGCTCGGGAGCCTGATGGAAAGTTCCAGCCACAGACCCGGACCATGACCCGAAGACTGCAACAGAAAAACGACAGAGACAAAACGCAAAGAGACAAAGAACACACAAACATTCACTGCCAGGTGCAAACGTAGCCCATGTGAGGTTTGCAGAGCACTGAAACGTAGGAAGGACCAGAGTGTGAGCTCGTTAGAGGGATAAGACACACGGGCTGCTTATTCAAGTATGAAAAAGGTTCTCACAGGACAGCAGTGAATATTCCACCAACAAGTGTAAGCACCACAAACAAAGAGACGTTTTCCTCTGGTTTGGACTCTGTTAGCTTTAATCGGACGAACCAGGATCCAGTCAGGTTGTTCCAGCGTCACACAGGTCACCTTCTCCTTCAGCGAACACTGAGCAGCTCCTCGGGGTAACGAGGTGTTCAGGTTAAGAGGTTCATCATCAACGATGGTGATTTTTCATTTTTATCTTTGTTTGTTTTTGTATAAACAATGAAAGGTGGTGGATTAGCCAACTGGTCATGATCAACTCTGGGCTGGACCAATCACAACACATCCGTATGTAGGTGAAAGGGAAGCGATTCGTGCCGGACTTCAGCTGGAATGAAACAAAGACACAAAGCTGCAGTTATTCTGTGTCTTTGCTGCCCAGCTGCCTCTTCTCCTCTCATTCTCCCCCCTCCCTCTCCTGTTGCTACTTCAATCATGATCAATGATCAGCTGATGGTGATCGGGTGGTCAAGGCGCGGACTCCCTCCTGAAGTGAGCTACTTTTTAATATCTGAAACTTTTTAAATATCTGAAACCGGTTGCTACTGTTGACCGTACATCGAAAGCTTTGAAATGAATTCTAGCCTCTGTGTCTGATGACTGGCTGCTAACATTAGCTTCTTTGTTCAAATATTATCTATGTTAGCTATGGCCTCCACAGTCACCTGACCTGATCCCAGTGGAGATGGTTTGGGATGAGATGGAGCGCAGAGTGAAGTTAAAGGATCAACAAGTGCTCAGCATCTCTGGGAACTCCGTCCAGGCTGTTGGAAACCATTTCAGGAGACGACCTCACGGAGCTGATGGAGAAGAAGAGCGAGCAAAGCAGGGATCAAAGTAAAGGGGGCTGTTACAAAGAAGCTAAAATATAAATCATGATTTGAGTTATTTTATTTTACACTTTTGTGTTTACTACATGATTCCTACATAATGTGTTCATTGATATTGTTGATGGTGATGGAAATAAAGAAAAAACATTATGTGAGAAGGTGACTGACTATGCTGGATATTACAAGTTATTTTCATGGAGGAGGATATTTTCAGCTAGTAGCTGCTTCAGATTAGTTGTACCTGGGCAACGTCAATGTTTTAATGTCAGCATCCTCACTTCTGATGTTAACTTGAAATATATGCACCTCTTATTTTCTGATGAGAGAAGTGTGGAGCTGAAGGTTATCAGCTTGCTAATGCTCGATTCCTAATGTGTGAAATGACCTGCAAATGCTGTGCTGAGACACTTAATGTCTGAATGTTAATCTCACTGTAACATTATCATTTGTGAATGTCAGAAGCAGCTAATACTAACTTACTAACATTTGTAATTAGGCAGTTGCTGTTTTTGCAACTACCTTGCTATAAGTAGTTAAACTTGGCAGTTAATGTAATCCTGACTGACGCCGAGCATGTAATGCTGATGATTTCTGTGTCTGAAATATCTATTGTCATGTACCAGTAACTGAGTAAAACTACCAGTTGAATAAACCCAGCTACACTGAATTAGATTCAGCTAAATTAACGAGTACTGACCGCCTAACCTAACCTAACCTTAGCGTTTAAAAATACATGATTGAATGGGTAAAGTGAAAGTCTGAGGCTGTGCTGCTGCTGCTGATCCATTTCTGTCTCTGCGGCTCAGATATCATCAAAACTAAATGTGTTTAGACCCTGGAGCCATTAGAACTGCTCAGAGCAACAGCGCCTTCTAAAGGCGCTCAGGAGTACTGCAACAAACCCACACTATCTGCATTCACTG